AGATGAAGATTTGGAACAGCCGAAAAATCTTGACCCTCAACAAGTGTATGAGGTGAATATGGAATCTTTCCAAGAGTCTAAGAAAAATTCGGCTGACATGGTAGAAGAATATCGAAAAATGTTTGCCGACATACAAAAGACTCCAACACCAGATGAAAATATTCAGCATAGAATGGAAGTACTGAAAGAAAATGTACGCAAATACAATAACCCTTTTTACTTACGACCATATAACGTTCAATCTTTGGCTGAACTCGGTGAAAATAAAAGGTTAAATTTCGACAAAACATATAGAAATGAAACATTGTTTAAAGTTCATTCAGAACCTAACCAATATGGAAACAAACCTACTTTTGTTTCTGCAGACTATGGAACTACAATGAGATGGGGTCATAAAGCTAATCCGGATAGGTGGTTCATAAACTTACAACCACAATTCCAAGAAGTTGTAGACGCAATGGAAGTGAATGGTGAACCAGATATAGCTGGTATTTTCAGCGCGGCTTTAATGCCATTGAAAGATATGAAACATGCAGATATTTTGGACCAGTATGAAATGAACATGGCTGATGGAAATATAACACCTGACGTTCTAGAACATTTATCTCAAAGAACTACACAGAACCATAAAGATGGTATATTTGGTGAAGAGTTTAGAAAGAAAGTTAGGGATAGAGAAGGAAGAGAACCTATTGTACATGACCTTGCAAACGAAAGTTTACAAAATGTCATAAAAACTTACTTTGCAGACAATGAACCGAGAAGGGATGAATATTTAAGAAAACTCAAATGGACAGTACCAAATGAAATGTTAGTATTGAAAAACATGTTCCTTGACAAAATAAAACCAACTACAGAAATAAATGACGCAAGACTGAAACGTTGGGTAAAAGCTTTCCCATTCACAAAAGATATTATTGGTAACATGGAAAGAAAACCAAAATGGCTACAAAAACATATATTTGGAAACGAGCTTATTCCATATGGACAAGCTATATTTGAAGAGCTTGAACCGGAAACTCAGGAAAGAGTCATGCAAACAATAAGCGAAGACTCAAATACAAACTATGACAAAATCTTTCTAGGATATAGGTTACCTGAGATGGGCGACCAGAGCCCAAAGGCAAAAAGGACATGGGAAATTTACAACATACTAGGTGAACATGAGGCAAAGATGCAACAACTTGAAGCAGAGGGCAAGTTACCAAAAGCGACACCAAAGAAGAAGAGAAGAGTAGAACAAAGTGAAAGTAGTGAAGAAGTAACTTCATCTAGTGAAAGTAGTGGCAATGAAGGAAAAAGAAGAGTTAAAAACTCAGCCAGGAAGAAAGTAAAGCTTGGTCCACGTGGGTTCTATTATGACACATAAATCCAACTATTCTATATTTTTACCCATATGAAATGTACGCCGCTCAGAATATAACGCCAACAGTTTTGGATGCCATGAACGGAAATGTTTCCGAATGGTATAACGAATGCGACAATGCCATTAGAAGGTCAGAAATAGTTCCTGGAACTTACGAATATACAACTGCTGTTTCTTATGGAAACGTAGGTGAGTTTGGAGAAGGTTCTTCAACAACAGTAGATATTGCTTGCGACAGGTTTCATATTATTTCTATTGACAACTCATTCTTATACGTGGAACAAGACATTGAAATAAAACCTTCTGCCAAGTTGTCTGACAAGAAAGGTTGCAATGGAATTTTCTATGTCGGATACCAATATGCTCCAGAAGTTTTCATGGGATATAAGATATATTCTAACTCTGACTTAGTTCAAACAGTAACATGGGCAAACTATGAATGGTTCGCTTTGAGAAACTCAGTACAACCACAAGCTAGAGAACAAACAGACCAGTATGCCACCATTGAGAAAATAAGAAGACTTGACCCTAACGTTCCAGGAGTTTATGTTAACCTTTCTGGACAAACTGCAGCAGCAGTAACCAAAGTAAAACTGAAACTTAGAGTTCCTTTGTCATCTTTCCTCATCTTCAGGTTTTTAAGATACTTGCCAAACTGGGCAGGAAAAATTTCTATTGAACTTACTCCAAGCAAAAATAACTTAGTCATTGCACCAACGCAAGACCCATTCACTCTTACAGACGTAAAGGGAGCAAATCAAACGTCATTCGCCGAATTTTGCAAAGACAAAGTTGACTTAGACTTTGGTTTCTCAAACCTCAACACTGAAGTAAACTATTATTTCAATGCTGCTGGAACTGCTTGGGACCCAGTTAAGTTACATGCGAACAGTTTGAATGCAAGAGAATAGAAAGCAGACTTGCAGTCTATATGTTGGACCCAGATATTTCAAATGCTTTAGCTGCCAAATATATTGCAGTTCCACTTATGTTCCCTATACACCAAATATCTGTCAAAGACTTTGCAGGTGAAGTTGGAAACCAAAGTGCTGACCCAGGTGCAAGAACAGATATTGCCTTAACAACTGCAATGAAACATGCAGATACTATGTTTGTACTGTTCAGACGAACTATAAATGACTATTCTTGTTTCTACAACCCTGGTATTAAATATCATATAAACATAGATGGCAAATATTATCCAAGAGAAGAATATTCTACAGTTGAAGATATGAGGTCATACAACTTGACATTAGATGCTATGAACTTTAACAACAACTTCACAACAACCATTAACCCTGAAATGCAAAGTTCTATTATGCCATATGTGAAAGTATGGACCCATACAGGAAGTCAAAAAACTCAATATACAAATGGAGACCGTTCAAACTTTTGGCTTGGCATTCCATTTGCTGACTCAGAAGACTTTATGGGTGGTATTTCAACTGTTGGTACTGTACAAATACAATATACTGGTGACAGAGACGGTCCAGATGAATTGAAAGCAAAGAAGTTTACAAAACCAATAGCACTTTTCACGGAAGATGCTCTTTTGAAAATTCGTTCGATGAAACCTGCTGGAGCTCCTCAGATTGGCATAACGACAGCTTCCATCGAGCAGATTTTGGCAGCAGGTCAGTAAGTTGTTCTTGAACTGACTTCTCTCCATCAAATATTGACAGTACGCCAGTTTTGACATAAAATTGTATTATAAACTTACCTTTAGAAATATCTGTAAGTTTTGAAGTTATATTTTTGTCTGCTTCAAGAACTTTCACCATTTCAGTTATACCAACTTTCTTTGCTTTATGAAAATATTTTGGTTCAGCAAAGACTGCTATTCTATAACATTTTCCATTGTTTGTGTAAAGAACTATTCTGTCAATGTATTTGTATTGTTTGTGTGTGTAAACTTTGTTCTGCTTCAATTCGAAGAGATACTCAAATACGTCCATCTTTTTATTCTAAGTAAAATGTCATTTCCGAAAAATAGAAGCGTAAGTGTTTCAAAAGGTTTAATGGCGGTGGCAGATGTGAAGTTAAATTCACCAACTCAAACAAACAGTCAAAGTGTTATTGTCAATGTCAAAGAAAGAGATGTTGAAATGGGGAAACCATACGAAGACCAAGATGGTATAACAATAGTTCCTGTAAAAGAACCAACATACCCTGAAGTTAGCAGAGACTTAAGTTCTGTTGCAGATATTCGAAATGACTACCAACAACTGAAAGACAAACTTCAAACTCAGGAGAAGATTTGTCAAGCTTTAGGTATAATGTTAAACTTGGTCGAACACAACCCTGTAAAAGTGAACTCATATGTCATTGCACCTCATGAAGTTTTGAAAGAACTATTGAAACTTTTGACAGAGGCAGACGATATAAACATCAAAGAAATAGAACCCGACGTTAGTTGCTGTGGTGTTTCATATAATGTCATTGACAAGATATACGTTATGAAAGGAGGTGAAACGTTGAACTTAAAATATAGTTTCCCAGACGTTATAAAAATATTTGACGACCACAACATTTCATTAAAGTTTATTTGCTAAGTAAAAATGTCAAAACTTCTTGAAAGATGTTTGAAGAAAAATAATATAGACTTTATTTCATGTAAAGGACTTTACACACTTTTGAACGATATGAAAGACCCTGTTTTGTTTGTTCGTGTAGACAAAGGAAAGTTCTATGTCTTTACAAAATATTTGAACTTCTTAGACAGAGAACTTCAAGAAACGCCATGTGAAAGTTTAGATGAAGTTCTTCTCCACTTTCAGAAAAACTTTTAAATATATATAAATGGCAGAAGACACAATGGTTTATACTATTACGACTAAAAACCCTGAGTCATATAATTCTATAACAACAAACTTACAAAGTCCTCAAGGACGATATTGTAAACTAACCTTAAACACAATGACGACTAAAGCTTGTTTTGCTCTTTTGACACCAGAAGATTTTATTGTTGTGAATGGTAAAAAATACTCCTTTGAAGATACTTACTCAGATATACCACCAACAGGTTTTGTTGACTTATTTAATACTTTAAGTACGGGTGTAAAATGTGCTGCAACTAGAGCAGGTTTCATTATGTTTGGATGTCCGACTGAGTTTACTATAAACAATATGAGCTATAATACAAAACTTATATCTGGTTTTTACTACCAACAGTTTCCTATAACAGGAAAAGGTGTCATACAAGGAATGTCTGTTCCATTGACTTTAAGTACACCTATTTTATATATTGTTTCAAACTTAGGTTCAAAGTGTTATTCGAATGTCGACAGAAACTACTATGACCAAAAGATACTTATGCGTATAAATAACACATTCTCTGCTGGTTTGCCTATTGTTCATTCGAATGCAGAGTTTTCAGCTTTAGTAAACTCAAACACTTTAGCAAACATAAACTTAACCTTAGTTGACGCAAACTTTGTTCCTGTAAAACTTTTATGTCCTATGTATTTGTCAATGACGGCAGAAAGTTTCGAATTGGAAGATGCAACTGGTGAAAGTATTGTATTACAAAAACAACTTCAACAACAAATAGCTCAAGAACAACAAATGCAACAAATGGAACAAATGCAACAAATAGCTCAAGAATAAAAAAATATTTTTTTTTATTTTTATAAAAATGTACAGAATAGATGTTTCAGATTTTTATGACTTCCAAGCGTTCAGAAATATGTGTCCATTTCGAGACTATAACAAAGCAGTCGAGAATTTGAAACGTTTAGTCATTTATGTCGACTCTGCCCCAGAATGTTATGTTATGAAAGAATGGGATGTAGTCTTTAACAAACCTAAAGCGACAATAGTTTCAGAACAAGAATGTAAACAGAAACTTAAGAAAATAAAAGTCGTACAAGTTGGCATGAAGATGTTAGATGCTTGGGATATCTTATTGTCAAAGTTAGAAGATTTTTCAGTTCGTGGTATAAAGTTTTATACACCTTCTCCAAACTTCTATTCTATCTTCACTGGATATAAATACGAACAAGTAGAATGGAAAGAAAATGTTATCGAAGCTTGGTTAGACCATGTCAAAGAAATTATATGCAATGGAAACGAAAGAGTCTATGAGTATATCTTATGTTGGTTTGCAAACATCTTACAACATCCAAGTGCTAAGAATGAAACTGCTCTCATTATAATTGGAAAACAAGGAACAGGTAAGAACACGTTCTTTACAGATATCTTATGCAAACTGTTAGAGGCTATTCGAACCCTAATATGACAAACTTAGAAAACATCTGCGGTAAATTTAACTCTTCAATAGAGAATATGAAACTTATAGTATGTAACGAACTTCAAAGTATAGATACAACAAAAGTTTTGAACTCAGATGCTTTGAAGAGTCTTATAACAGACAAAGTTGGAGTTGTTGAAAGAAAATATAAAGACCAAAGAGTTTGTGAAAATGTTGCAAACTTCGTTATGGTTTCAAACAATGCTGTTCCGATGAAGTTAGAAAGTTCTGACAGAAGATATGTAGTTGTCAGAACGTCAGAAGCTCATATGCAAGATACAGAATATTTTGACGACTTAGCAGAAACTTTGACATCTGACTTTTACAACCACTTGTTCTCATATTTCATGACATTAGATATTTCTAAGTTCAATCCAAGACAAATTCCACATACAGAAGAGAGACAAACATTGTTAGAAGCAAACAAGAGTGTATATGAACTGTTCGTAGATGAAACTGACTTTGAGTGTTTAGATGAAAGGTCATTGTACGATTCGTATAAACAATATTGTCAAGAGTATGGTTATATGACAGCGTCTAAACGAACATTCTTGGCAAATGTCAAAAGTCTTTTAGACGTACAGAATGGTGTATATACAAAGAAAAATTTTTCTGAGTAAATTTTAAAAAAAAATATTTTTTTATCCGATAGAAAAGATGACAAAATTCATCTCAGTCAACAAGTACATGTCAGGACTTAAAGAAGAACTAGACCCATTCACATATTTGAATGTTTACTTCTACCATTTTGAAAAGTCTTCATTCAGCAAAGTTTGGAACATCGAACCAGTTAAGTTTGCTATTGTGACTAAAAATGGTGCGAAATTTGAAGACTTAGACATAGAAGGTTTGTTAACAGTCAAAGAAAGTTTTGACAGAAGGTTCTCAAACCTTAAAGAAGGCAAAGCATACAAACTTGTTATACCTTATGAACCAAAGAAAGCAGACGACTATGAATATTATGAGTCTAAAGTTGTAGAAGTTCAAGGTAAATTGGGTAAAAAGATTTTAGAGTCTAAGCCAGTGTTTGCTCCTAAAGAGGAAGAGAACATTGACATTGACCCAGAAATGTTTTAAAAATAAAATTTTATTTTTACATGTCAAATTTCTTTTTCTCTGGTTCAGGTTCTTTCTTCTCTTCTTCTTCTTTCTTTTCTTTCTTTTCTCTCTTCTTCTTTTCTGGTGGAGTTATGTCAAACTTCTCAGAACCATATTTTTGTAAAAGTTCTTTGTCCTTTAATAGCTCTTCTATTCTGTTTTCTATTTCATCTTCAAGAACAGCGCATGTGTCTTCTTTGCATTCTAAGAAGTTTTGTTGGACTTCATCTCTCCAAGAGGCGTCATCTCTGTCAACAAGTCTGTCATTGACAAATTTTAAGACTGCTCTGCTTAATGTTTTATGGTTCTTGTCATATTCCCAGAAACAGAACTTTAGAACAAATTCACCTTTCTTGTTTACACTATGTAAGATTTTATGGTCGACAGATGTTTTGCTGTCGAAAAGTTTGTCTCGAATATAGATAGCGAAATCGCTAGACATTTTCTAAAAGATAAAAATTTTAATTTTTCTAAAAATATGTTAGAAAAAAAGTTTGCTGACATTGACAAAAAATTTGAGAATGTTTTAAACAAGAACAAGAGGAAGTTAGAAAATGCTCAGATAAAACCCATACATGACAAGTTCTTATTTGCTCAGAATGGTATAACAGGTCTAATTGCACCGCCTGGGTCGGGTAAGACTTTCACTTATCTTAAAATGGCTGCACAACAACAAGAACTAGATGAGAAGAACCCATTCTATGAGTTAGTTGTCATTTGTAGTACTTCGGGTCAATTTGACCAAACCGTCAATTCGTTCAAAGATATTATAAAAAAGTCTAAGTTAGTATGTATAAAAGACTCTGAGTTGTTAGATTGGATAAAGAAGTACCAAAGAAGAGTTTTGAAGTACAATGCTATAAATGAGTATGTCAATTCGAAGTTTAAAGACCCAAATGAGGAAATGCAGAGAATATTAGAGAAGAAACACTTCAGAAACAAACAGAAAGAGATAGAATACATTTCGAAGAAATTGCAATCTTACGATTGGAAGACTTACCCTCACAGATGTCTTCTTATCTTAGATGACTTTGCTTCTCATCCTTTGTTAAAGAACAGAGAACAAGACATGTGTCGAATTCTTAAGAAGCTCAGACACTTTAACATCTCTGTTGTCATTTGTGTACAGACAGCAAAGAGTTTAAGTAAGGATGTAAAGAGAATACTTACTGACATTGTACTTTTCCCCGGATTGTCCGAAGACGATTTCATGGAACTTATGAAAGAGTCCATGGCAGGTAAGTTTGACAGACATGAACTATGGGAGAAGTACAAAGTCATACAAGACCCTCATACTTCTTTCAGAATTCATATCTACGCAAACAAAGTTCAAATTGTAAAAAGTCAAGCGTAAAAAATGTAAGTGTTGAGTCTTAGTCTGTTGTGGTGCTGCAGCTTTCGGTTCTTCTGGCTTTGGAATGGACTCGGTTGGTGGTACGTCGGACATTCGTTTGTGTCCTGTCGGAAGGAAGAACTTTTCCTGTTGGAAGGAAGAACTTTTCCTGTTGGAAGGAAAAACTTTTCCTGTTGGAAGGAAAAACTTTTTCTGAAGTTCGACCAAAAAGTTCTCAATTTTCGAAAATTTGAATGGTTTACGACGGACAACTGGAAAAATTTTTCCTGTTGGAAGGAAAATTTTTTCCTGTTGGAAGGAAAATTTTTTCCTGTTGGAAGGAAAATTTTTTCCTGTCGGAAGGAAGAGTTCTTCCTGTCGGAAGGAAGGACTCGGAATGCCAGAAGGATTTGACAAGACAATTGACCTTATAGAGCTACCTGAGCCATCTGAAGTCAAGCTTGAAAAATAAATGGTTCATTTACTCTGCTTGTTTGAAGTTGTCAAAATACTCTGTTATTTTTTCTTTCAGTAGCGGCAAATCTTCTTTGAAGGTAAGTATTGTACAACCTTTAATATCATAGTGTGTTTGAGGTAAAGTATCTTGAACTATTTGTTTCACATCTTCATTTGGTGTCATTGAAATCGGTAAGTTTTCGCGATAGAACCAATTTCTGTCAGATTTGTAAATCTTAGCAAGGTCGTAAAAGCTTTTGTTGTTTCTTCTGACTAAATGCAACATAACCATATCTCTGTCTTCTTCATTTTCCATCTCTTCAGTATAAATCATATACTTATAGTTCTTTTCCTTTCCTTTTGGTACCGAACGTGGTATTCTTTTCTGAAGGCTTTTGTCTTTTGCTTCAATGACTTCATCTTTTGCTTCAAGCTTGTTTTCTATCTCTTCACGTTCTTGTCTATGAATTTCATCTAACATCATGAAAATATAACAAGCGTAACGAGGTGAAGCCCACATTGCAACAGCATTTACAAGAAGTCTATGTACATACCAGCCTCTCAAACTATTTGGCAAATTTTACGATTTTCGTACGGAATCTCGTTCCTCGGTTTTTCGAGGGTCGCAAACATATGAGGAAATTCTTCTAAAAGTTCTTTTGTCTGTTGGTTTTCAAACCAATGATATGCTTGCTTTGTAGAACGAAGAGCATTCAAAATACTTTGCATTTGGTACATGTCATCTTTGACCGAACGAATGAGACGGAGTTGTTTGTTATATTGTATGTACTCGTATTCTTCATTTATGGCTTCATGAACGATAGCAGTTGTTGTGTTCTCTGTTGTTGACATATCTGTCTTTACATACAAAATAAAAAAAATATTTTATAAAAAATTAGCGTTATTTCCTGACTTTCACAAAAGACCAAAAATAAACGCTTTACATGTATTTTTCAGCAACTTCGTCAAATAATTTTATAGCTTTACCTATCTCATCTACTTCAAACGTTTCTTTACCTTTCGTGGGAGCACCATACATTTTCTCAAACTTTTCAAGCAGTTCTGTTTCTGCAGCTCTCATATCGTTAACAAACACAACCTTGACTCTATTGACTGTACTGTCATATCTTAGAGTTATATTATATGTTCTTCCTATCTTATATCTCTTTGTATTGAAGTCCTTCGGTTTCTGAACGATGTAAAGTAAGCCCTCACTGCAACGTTCAGTATCGAATGAACCATATGTTATGAAGTTATATCCAACAACTGGGTCTAACCATAACAAAACTATTGGTATAAGACTTTTGTCAATGAGATATGCTGTAGTTCCATAGAATCTTACCGATATCATAAGCTCAGGATTTCTTGTCAAAATTTTCTGAGTAGAAGCAATTCTAACCCAGTCGTGGGATGTTTTCTTTCCAGATGGAGATAAAATGTCTGACAAAGAATATTTGTTGTATTTCTTTGAGTATCTTACGTTTAAATCACCTATTCTAACCATTTTGGTGTCATTGTCTATCTTTTTAACTGTTTCAAACTCAGTGTTTGTCATTTTCTGTCTTTACATACAAAATAAAAAAAATATTTTACAAAAAACTAACTTTATTTTTTCTATCTTGTATAAAAGATATGATTTCAGGGATTTTTTTGACGAAGTGTCAAAGTTCTCTTCGTAAAAAATAACAGTTATATAATGAAATTTGGTCATTTTTTTACGATTTCAGGGATTTTTTTGACGAAGTGTCAAAGTTCTCTTCGTAAAAAAATAACAGTTATATAATGAAATTTGGTCATTTTTTTACGATTTCAGGGATTTTTTTGACGAAGTGTCAAAGTTCTCTTCGTAAAAAAATAACAGTTATATAATGAAATTTGGTCATTTTTTTACGATTTTCATGAGTTTTAGGCGACTACGTTTTTGTACGTACTCGCAATTTTTTACGATTTTCGTACGGAATCTCTACCCTCGGTTTTCCTCGGGTAGCAAACATATGAGGAAATTCATGAAATTTGGTCATTTTTTTCAGCAAAAATATATTTTAGGGTAGATGGTTAGATCTCACCTCTTTTTTCACCTCTTTTTTCATGAGGGTCACCAGGTCCCCAGGTCCCCAGGTAATTTAACTTCTCTTAAAATTACTGACAACATGACATTTTGACAACAGTCCAGGAAATAAACTTCATCGTATATGTTTTGTCAAACATGAGCGTAAAAGACCCAAAAATATATTTTAGGTGAAGAGGTTAGATCTCACCTCTTTTTTCACCTCTTGAATTTTCATGAGGGTCACCAGGTCACTCGGTCACTCGGTCAACTAACATCTTTTTGAAAATGGTGACAACATGACATTTTGACAACAACACAGGAAATAAACTTCTTCGTATATGTTTTGTCAAGACTTCATCGTAATGAGCGTAAATCAGACAAAAATATATTTTATGTTAGCATGTTAGATCTAACACGTTTTCTAACCACTTTTCTAACATAACTATTTACAAGCGTTTTACATGGTATATGTTCCATATGTCATTTTACTCAGAATTTTATACAGAATTCAATAAAAATATATTTTATGTTAGCATGTTAGATCTAACACGTTTTCTAACCACTTTTCTAACATAACTATTTACAAGCGTTTTACATGGTATATGTTCCATATGTCATTTTACTCAGAATTTTATACAGAGTTCAATAAAAATATATTTTATGTTAGCATGTTAGATCTAACACGTTTTCTAACCACTTTTCTAACATAACTATTTACAAGCGTTTTACATGGTATATGTTGCGATGGTTCATGACTTTAAACAGTTTTGTAGCTTCTATTTCTTCACGAAGGATATCAAAAGTTTTCACAATATTGAATGTATCTTTATATTTCTTCTTGACGTCAGATAGAAGGAAATCGTCAGCAGTTGGATAGTTTTTGTTCAGAAATGTCAACATGTCCATTTTATCTTCTGCTGGTTTCTCTACTTCTTTCTTTAAGTCAGCATAGTCGTTTCGCATACGTTCTATCTCTTTGACGGAGTAGTTATATTTCCTCATTGCTGCTTTACATTTTGAACATTGTGGGTTCATTTTAGCATTGTACATTGAAATTTGACCTGCTAGAACAACTAAGGCGTCAATGGTTTTCTTTAACTCAAAAGTTGCGGGTTTTATTTGTTCGTTCCATACTTTACCTCTTCTATCTTTATCTCTTATCTGCCATACACATTTTGCAACTAACGAAACAAAGTTGTCGTAGGTCTTAAATTCTTCAGATTTATATATGTCAGAGATGTTCTTATATACCATGTCGCAGTCTTTGTCCATGACTTTGTGGTTGCAATGAAATCCAAGAAACTCATAGTTAACCTTACGTATGAACTTCTTTATTTCTACTGAGTCAGTTGCTTTGACTTCTATTTCATCGAATTCAGGAATAGTAAGCTTTTGTTGTTGTATTTCAGGAAGTTTAGGTAGATGGTCAATAATATCCTGCATTTCATAAAGATATTGTTCATTTGTTTCATCTTTCGCAGTGCAATCTAAATCTCCTTGGAGAAGTTCTTGCTTTATCTTCTGGATTTCTGTTTCGAAAGTATATGAAGAAGGAATGAAGCTTTTCATTTCTACTAACATAGATGTTGGGTTCATGACTAAAGAGTTTGGTGCTGTTGTTGCTAACATGTTCTTACAATAAAAATAAAAAATATTTTTTAAAAAAAACTACCTTTATTTTTTATGTTTTTTGTGAAAGTGTCAAAACTCATGAATTTCGAGAGTTTTCTACGATGGTAGAAATGAGGTTAGAAATGAGGTTAGATCTAACATGCTAACATAAAATATATTTTTTGGTGGTACGTCGGACATTGTCTTGAAACAGTACAAATATTGTCTTGAAACAGTGCAAATATTGTTCTGAAACAGTGCAAATATTGTTCTGAAACAGTACAAATATTGTTCTGAAACAGTGCAAATATTGTTCTGAAACAGTACAAATATTGTTCTGAAACAGTACAAATATTGTTCTGAAACAGAAAATTTTTCTCACAAATTGAGAGCTTTTACGGGAAATTTGTTCTGAAAAAGTACAAGTCTTGTTCTGAAAAAGTACAAGTCTTGTTCTGAAAAAGTACAAGTCTTGTTCTGAAAAAGTACAAGTCTTGTTCTGAAAAAGTACAAGTCTTGTTCTGAAAAAGTACAAGTCTTGTTCTGAAAAAGTACAATGGACAACATCGAGCCATTCATGAGTTTTGTGTGTTTTCTACGATGTTAGAAAAAATGTTAGAAAACGTGTTAGATCTAACATGCTACCCTAAAATATATTTTTCAATACTTTTTTTCTATCTTAAGGAAATTCATGAAAATTCAACGGGTGAAAAAACAGGTGAAAAAAGAGGTTAGAAAAGAGGTTAGATCTAACCTCTTCACCTAAAATATATTTTTGCCGAATTCTGTATAAAACTCATGAGTTTTCTACGATGTTAGAAAAAATGTTAGAAAACGTGTTAGATCTAACATGCTACCCTAAAATATATTTTTTTCTATCTTAAGGAAATTCATGAAAATTCAACGGGTGAAAAATTAGGTGAAAAAACGTGTTAGATCTAACCATTTACCCTAAACTTTATTTTTGCCGAAAAATGACCAAATTTCATGAGTTTTCTACGATGTTAGAAAAAATGTTAGAAAACGTGTTAGATCTAACATGCTACCCTAAAATATATTTTTGGTTCATTTACACTCGTTACGATGAAGAAGTCTTGACATTTTCCCGACTGTTGTCAAAATGTCATGTTGTCTCATTTTTTCAGAGAAGTTAGTTTACCTGGTAGCACCTACAGTAAACATCTCATTTTAACTCACTTTTTTTCTATCTTAAGGAAATTCATGAAAATTCAACGGGTGAAAAAAGAGGTGAAAAAAGAGGTGAGATCTAACCTCTTCACCTAAAATATATTTTTTGGGCTATGTCCCACCGCTTTGCGTCTTTAGGTCAAAAATAAATTGTTTTCATGAGTTTTCTACGATGTTAGAAAAAATGTTAGAAAACGTGTTAGATCTAACATGCTACCCTAAAATATATTTTTGGTTCATTTACACTCGTTACGATGAAGAAGTCTTGACATTTTCCCGACTGTTGTCAAAATGTCATGTTGTCAGTAATTTTAAGAGAAGTTAAATTACCTGGTAGCACATGGTAACATGGTAGCACCTACAGTAAACATCTCATTTTAACTCACTTTTTTTCTATCTTAAGGAAATTCATGAAAATTCAAGAGGGTGAAAAAACAGGTGAAAAAACAGGTGAGAAAAGAGGTGAGATCTAACATGCTAACATAAACTCACTTTTTCAGCACTTTTCCGTAGTTGTATATGAAAGACAATTCGAGATAAAAGTCATAGTACAATGGTATAATATGCTGCACACCATTTGTTGTGAACCAAACTTGAAAGTCAGAGAAACTGTTACTAGGTGGTTCGTAGAATTTAGAAGCAAAGTCATAAAAGTCCTTACCGATACATAGAAAACTATTGTTGCTTGAACTGAAACTTGCATGGCACATAACATTTTGAGGGTCAAACACGTTTCTATAAACTGTCAAATCTGCTGGTGGAAGTATAAATTTAAATGGACCATCTGGTGGTAATGGTTCGTTCTGGTTTAGTAACCGAAGAAATTGTGCCCAAGAACGTTTGTCTACTTTCCAAAATAAAAACTCTGTATCTCTTGGAGGGTTAATTTCAATCTTTTGAAATGAAACGGTGGAGTTCATCTTGTCATATTCTAGTTTCAGATAGTATGTTCCATTTAGTAAAGAGTCGTATTTTTCTTGAAATTCCCAATAATATTTGTTCATTTGAGTTTGAAAGTCATTTAGAGTTTTCTCAAGACTTTCGTCTGAACGAACTGTAAAGATTCTCATTTCATCAAATTTGTCTATTAGACCATCAGAACCTTTATACTGCCCATGAAAATATACTGCGAACATAAACGCGTTAGTTCTATTTGAAAACAAAACTCTTCTAAATCCTATTGCCTTTGCATCTGAAGGACTTTGAAGCCAACGAACTGGATAGTCAAACCTGTATGCTCGGGATGAAATTTCTTCATCTGAAATAGTCCTACCAGCATTTGTAAAGATATAGTCTAACGGTTTTGTATCTGCTACTTTTGTTCTTTGTTTTTCAACCTGAAGCATTTAATATATGTAAAAATATATGGTTTAAAAATGGTATGCCATTTCATATTTCTCATCTAACAAACATGTTGTCTGACTGCTTGAGGGTTAGGTTGGTACCATTCGAACTTGACACTTGCAATTCCTTCAATTGCATTCAAAATGTCTGAGTCGGAGTCAACCATTTGTTCTCTCTTTGTAGTCTTGAAAGCGTCAAGAAGCATTGCAGCTGTTGTGACATTGCCATGTGCATAGTAAATGTGACCATCCAAATCTGTTATGGTCAATCTGAGATTGTGTCCTTTCTTATTTCCGTCTTGAATTGCAGCAAGTACTCCCATGAAGCCTTCTTTGTTCTTTCCTTCGTCAAAGTTTACTGTAAAGGTTCGACCAGATGTAATTTGACTTCTAACTTCACGGTACTTCTCATATGCATATCTTGTTCTTTCCATGGGAGCATGTGCGTCTTCACCTTTTCCTTTTTTCCTTCTCAAAGGATGCAATTGTTCGTCATGTTTCCAATAGAATCTGGCAAAGCCGTCGTGTCCTTCAACTTGAGGTTCACTAACATCGAAAGGCATGTCCATAAGACGTTCTTCTTCTAACCTCTCTAGTCTGTTTGGATAATTTGCACGTGCGGTTTCCAAATCCATTTCGTAGCGAAGACCAGACAATTTGTCATAGACTTTTATGGGTCTTCCCTTCCTATATTTAAAATTCTTCGAAACTCTCCAACCATATCTTTGCAACTCTGCTTTTATTCTAGCAGATTTTCTATCCATTCTATATGGGGGCATTTTTATAAAAATAAAAAAATATTTTTTTTCTTTACTTTACATAACCACCTGCTGCCATAAGTCTTTGACGCCAACCCATACCAGCTAATGAAGGTTGACTTGGTTTAGTTTCCAAACTAAACTTTGGTTTTGGTTTATCTTCAGTTTTTTGTTTTTCTTCTTCTATCGGTTTTTCGTCACTTTTCGGTTTCTCTGACTTTACTTCACTTGCAGGAACAGTTGTGTCGTCAACATCTTCATAAATATCATATGCCATTTGTTTTTGTTTTCCTTTCAACTTTTTGTGTTTGTTGTAAAGTTTAGAATATTTCGACTCTAAGTCAATGAGATGTTCTATAATGAACTGTTGGTCAGTGAAGTAAACTTTTCCATCTGTTGTCTCGAAAGCTCCTTCAGACTTCAATATTTTATTTGTGAGAGTCTGTTTCTTTTTTGAGATACTAGCCGTTCCATTTTTATGAAAAGTGACTTTGTAGTTAGGGTTTGTATTTCCAGACCTGGCACTTTCTATTATTGAATTTTTCTCTTCATCTGTAAGTTCTTTGACAGGTTTTGACAATGGTTCTGAACTTTTTGTTTGTGGTGTCAAATCTACCGTTTCAACTTCTTCGGTCATTTCATCTCAGTAAAAAATTTTAGTTTGGTTTGTTTTCAACTGGTTGTTGTTGTTTTTTAAGTCGGTCTAAAACTTCCTGAGGTATAGGAAGAACTTGACAAACACGTTGTGTAACTGCTGGAAGCCGACAAATCCATCTTGAACCCATTTGTCTCAATGCTGTATTGTTCATTTCATCTCAGTAAAAAATTTTACATTCCCCAAGTTTGAGGTGGTTGCGGTTGGTTATTGTTTACCCACTGTTGTGCATGGTTATATCCTCTGTTAAAGAATCTTTCACCTTGGTCCATATAGTGTCCTGCTTGGTTATAGTAGTCATTTGCTTTGTTATAATAGTTTCCTGCTTGTCTTCCTACATTGTCCATCCATCCTTGAACTTTTCCTCTTGTTTCAGGATTTGGAATAAGATTTGTTGCATCTCGTGCTACATCCCAACCTTTCTGTACAGTTTGTATAATAGGTTGTGCTTTCTCTTTAAGTATACCTAATGTACTCAAAATCTTCCTTCCAACTCCAAATACACCTCTGGCTATTGTTCCCACTGCGGGTAAAAATCTAGATGCGACTCCTGCTAATGCGCCAAATAAACCCATTTCTTATGGGTTAAAAAATGACGAATTCAAACAAGGACCCCTATGTTTCTAAAGCGACAAAGAAAGCACTCATGGTAAAAATCTTTAGTTCAACACCAAATGCTTGGTTTATGGATATCTTGGAAAACATTCCGAGAGTTAGAACAGATGGACCACCATACTGGCTAATATTTGTCGGTCAAAACACAAGATACTGTGAAGCCATACCATTACAGTCCAAAAATATTTTAGATATCTTAGCAGCTTTGACAATATTCGTTGACAAATACCATCCAACAAAACTGACATCTGACTGTGAAAGTTCTTTCAAATCAGACGATATTAAAAACTATCTGCGTTCAAAAAATGTAAACCAATATTTCATTGTCGACCAAAACCATTCTGCTCTTGGTGTCATTGACGGTTGTATAAAAATGTTAAGAGACTTAAACCAACCACAAGGTGGTGAAGCAAATGAAATGTCATATGACGACAAATATAGACACTTCTCCATGGCAAAGATGAGACAAGTTTTAAATATTTACAATAACCGTAAACAAAAGGGTTTGGGAAACCACTCCCCCGAAGAAATGAAAAACAACCCTGACTTAGAGAAAGACTATATATTTAATAATTTAGTCAAAAGAGACAAACAAGAAAGAATGCCGGGCTTCAAACTTCAGAAAGGTGACAAAGTAAAAATAGAAATACCTAAACGCGACCCATATGAAAATACTATTGACTATGACAACAATGGGAACCCGACAGGTACTCACATTCGTGTTCGTAAAAATAGAAGAAAGTATACAAGAGAATATTATGAAGTTTTAGGCAAACATGGCAAAATGTACAGACTGCAAGCAGAAGATAAAACTACTATTGTCAGACCTCGTTTCAAACTTGTCAAAGTTCAAGGTGGTATACTTTCAAAGACAGTTCCTAACAAATATAAGACAACTCCTGACGAATATGCTAAAGAAGTTGAAAATGACGACTAAGCATTTCTATACCATGCGTAAACTGTCATGTAAGGTGGCATGTAGTCTTTACTTTGTCCCGTTGTTTTGCGTATATCCCGAAACGCGATGTGTATGGTTTCCTCCTCCCTCAGTGTTACTCCAGTAACAATTTATAGCAAACTTAACGTTGTCTTTAACATCATATCCTTTACCTTTTGTCATTGCTGACCAATCCCAATATCTATGCTTATGCCAACCTGCTTGAGATGTACTTAAATCTATGTAGTGACTGTGTGCAGGTAAATTTTCACCTGAAATCGTTTTACTTCCACCTGTTTCCTTTGAAGAGTTTGCACAATACAAAAACCTGTCGACTATTTGAGTCCAAGTTCCAAAACCAAGTACTACTTCTGGTCTGGTAGAGTTCATTGACGTATAAATAGAGCCTATAGGATATAATGTTTGAAGTATTTCTGTCTTTAATGTTTGAAGCTCTGTTTTGTCTGCTTTCTTCTCATATAAATCTTGAGCAGTGAATTTAATATTATGTTCATCCTTCATGACATAAACATCTTTACATCTAATGTTTTTCATCGTCGTTATTCGTCATCCGATGTTAAACCTTGTGGAAAGTTAGGAGGTTTCCAATATAATACATCCCCATCAGGTTCTTCAACCGTTCCTTCAATACTTTCTATAGCAACAGTTGTAAAACTTGTATGTGTATGTCCAACGTCACTTTTCCTGTTTAAGGTTTCTTGTAAGTTTGTAATATTTGCAATGGTATGTGTATGTCCAACGTCACTTTTCCTGTTTAAGGTTTCTTGTAAGTTTGTAATATTTGCAATGGTATGTGTATGTCCAACGTCACTTTTCCTGTTTAAGGTTTCTTGTAAGTTTGTAATATTTGCAATGGTATGTGTATGAGTCTTTTTAGAATATTCGTTTTCAGCTCTTGTCACTTCACTTGACATTTTATTGTCAACATATGTTTTGTCTGCTAGTTCAGGATGAGTATGTTCTTTTGTTGCATAAGCTTTGTTAGCTCTTTCTTCTTCTTTTGCTATTGCATCGTCTACATATGTTTTGTCTGCTTTGTTGTCAACATCTGCTTTCAAAAGAAGTTCTTTTATAGGTTTCTCGTTTAAAGTTCCTTTTGTTGGATTTATACAAACAGTATGGTTCTTCTTGTCTTGAAACAGAAACTCATCTGTCATTGGGTTTAATGTCAGTTTTAAGTTTCCTTCTTTCAATGACTCAGATATCTTAGAATAGTTTGAAAAGTTTGTTGTGTTCTTATTTAGAGCTTGTATAATGAGTTGTCGGTTGTGTTGTATTTCTCTCATAGACGCTGTTTCATTTGACATTTTTATTATAGATAAAATATGCTTTCAATAGAAAAAGAAAATTCAAGAGTTGCTACAACTAAACCATTAGATGAACTTTTTACGAATGTCGGTCAAAAGTTTGAGACAGAGACCGTAAAGCATGAAGGCTATCGTTTGACTACCCGTTAAGATGGTTAAGAGACCCATCCGTCACAAAAGCTATTGGCTTTCGTAGAATGAAGTTCATTTCAGAAGCCATACATGGTTTCCCATTTACAGTCGGTTTTGAAGTTCGATACTATAACAAAGAAAAACGTATGTATGAGAAATTTGAACAGGGAAAACTTTTACAAGTTAGTTTGCTTGTAAACTTAGAAACAACTCTTCAAGCTTTTCAAGAAAAAATAAACGATATCTATATCGAATATGCAAACCAGTATAACATTGACGAGGGAGAGTACCATCTCGATATTATATATGACAGGAAAAATGCAACTGTTAAAATCAATAGAATAGAAGACCTTGGAGAAAACGTTTATATTTCTACAAAATATAACAACTTGGCATGGTATAGATTTCTGAGGATGTTAAATCAGCCTGCAGAATATCCAGTACACCCGGACTTTTATGAAGTCGAAAACCCTAATGGAACATATGAAAATGTTTTCGACTCAGATGCTATTATAGTTCATGCTTCATTTTCTGGTGCACAAAACTCTTTTTTATGCTTGGCAAATGACTTTTACGAAAAACCTACAAAGCTATATGAACCACCAAGTGGAAGTATTTCAGACTTTCAAGTATGGTTTACAACAGATGGAAGAAAGAGAATAATTCCATTATACCATGCGTTTTACTTAGAACTTAGTTTCATATACAACTACTATCGAACGGTAAAAATATAATTTTTTAATACGGTTGAGGTGTTGGATTTGGTTGCCAACTTGACTGTGGTGCAGGTTCAGGCTGTTGTATAACAGGAGCTTGTTCTTCTGGTTCAGGGTCTTTAGGTATAATACCAACAAACTGACCTACTCTTTTACCAATATTTTTGACTCCGTTCCAAATTCCTCTTCCTACGGTTTTTATTCCATTCCATATACCTCTTCCAACATTTCGAAAGAAGTTTCCAATACTACTGAAGAAACCCATTTACTATATGTAAAAATCTAATGTCCGCCTAGTCTCTTACGTTTCCTTCTGAGTTCCATAGCATTTTTTAACTGGAGCTCATACATTCTGTTTCTCCTCTGGTAGAAAACATATTCTGGGTCAACTCCTGTGTTCGCGTCATCTGCATAAAGTTGTTTATATCCCACTTCGGGGTTTGTATAAAACTCTTTCCATCTCATATTTGCATACCATGGTGGCAAACCTAACGCAGCGTCATTTGACATGGCAGTTTGCATTTGTACATCTGTTGGCACTTGACCATAGTTTGCCATTGCAGTTTGTATTCTAACTTCATTTGGAATATTCTCTGGGTTTGGTTGTCCAGGTTGCTGTGCATTCGCTAAGTTCTGTGCGTCCATTTAATATTAGATAAAAATATCTCTTACGAGTACATATACTGGACATTTGCAGGCATTGGTTCATCTTCATATTCTCTATATCTTTCTGCCACGTCAAATAAATAAATGACACAATGGAAAAAACCTAAAACAAGTAGTCCTATTTCAAACCACATTTACTTACCAATAAAATTTCTTTGTTATGACACTTTCTCCGGTTTATAGGACCTCTCTCATATTCTATCTTGTCATATCTAAACTCATAGTCATGTATGTCCTCTAACCATCTCATAACGGTTTCCAAACCACTTTTATCGGATGTAAAGTAAAAGCATGGATGGTTATGTAAAACGTCTAAAGTTTCTAAAGAGTCTCTCAAAGTCCAGTCTACTTGGTATTGAAAATCGCATGTGTTATAGAACGGCGGGTCCACTATAAAGAAAACATTTTCCTTGTCTTTATATTTTTCATACAACTCTGTCCAACGACATCTCACAAACTCTATACCCTCAATATATTTTTCTATGTCCTCTTTGAAAACATTTGTATAGTTAAGATATAAAACATTTGACATAAGTGTTTCAATGTCATGAACTCTTATAGAACCACTATATAATAGTCTAGCAGATATACTATCCCAGTCAATATATTCTGCTTTTTTCAAAACCTCTCTCACAATATTTTTCTTATCTAATGGTATACGTTCCATCTTACCTATAGGTATCTTTTCTTTTAACTCTTTCAATATATTGTTTGTGTCTGGTATATGTTTGAGACGGTCCATATAGTTGTCGAAGTCATTGCATATAATCTTTGAGTCTGGGAATATTGTATGGCACAAATGGGATATATAGAAACTTCCACCGAACAAATCTACAAATGTTAGACCATTCGGTAGTTTCTTAAGTTCTCTCAATAGAATATCTTTACATCTACTCTTATTTCCAAAGAAGGGTAACGGTGGTTTTGTAAAATTCATTTATATATAATAATAAAAATGTTTTTTCCTGAAAAGTGACAGAAAAGGCTTCTCAAAGTATACTTCCTTGGAACGCCTGTAACTTTTCCTGTAGCGACGATAGACCCTTACTTGTCCGGACAAAGTTATACTATTTTGAGTGCTCTACCAAAAATTTTTTATGGGCTAGAGGGCGCAACGCGCCCGGGAAGCCCCCAATACCCAAAAAACTTCATTTATACTAAACATCTTCAGGGCTAGAGGGCACGAAGTGCCTGGAGGCCCCACTACCTTTTTTTTTTTTTTTTTTTTTTCTATTCAAAATCAAATAGTATTTACTATGATTTTGGCTTAAATTTGAATTGTGTAGGGGTATCAATTTTTTTTAAAATTGTGTAAGGAAAAATAAAGTTTGAAACCCAAAAACTGTTTGAGTTAACAGATTGTGATGATTGACAATTCTATTGAAAGTTATTTTTTATTGGAAAATTCCAAAACTAGATAATTATTAAAAATATAAAAAACATTTATTAAAACATTAGCTATAAAAAGTCAACTCGTCGATATTCGGAGTTGAAATCGTATGAACATCTTCAATGGGAGGTCCTTCCAATGGAGTTTTAGAACTCCCTGTGTATTGAACATATGCAACATCCCTATTTTCTGATACTTTTTGCTTCAATTGTTGTGATTTTTCTGGAATATGTTTGTGAATGTTGTTCATTTCAATAGATTTCCTGTAATCGTAGCATTCTTTGCAATGAGGTCTTTCGTGGAATGACTTTGCAAGCGGTGGCTGTAACCTACAACCACAAACTCTGCAAATGAAGCAATGAGTATGGTAAAACTTGCCATTAAACTTAACTTTATCGGCCAAAAGGTTGAATCTCTTTCTGCAGAACATGCAGGAATCCTCGTAAGGCGCTCCATGCTCAGGACAATAAAATTTATTATGATGAACTATAAAATCATCGCCTTTTAGGACTTTATCACACATACAGCACCTAAAGTGATCTTTGTGGAAGTATTTTTGGTTGTGAACAACGTAATCGTAACTAACAATTGAATTATGACAGTAATTGCACTTATGCTTCTTCATAAATTCATCGCAAGCCTTGCAATACACCTTTCCATCAATTTCGATGTATGATTGGCCCTTTATTGGCATGCAACAACGATAACATCCGATACAATTCGAATGGAAGACTTCTCCAGTATGAAGAGTAACTCCATCCGCTGGATTTAATATTAGTAAGTTACATGCTTTGCAACGACGGTTCATTGCTGCTAATATGCATTCTTTGCACATCATATAACCTTGAAACTGATAAGCATTATCATCGGAGAGGACTTTAAGGCATGAGGCACATTTTAAGCACTGTACGTGATAATATATTCCATTTACAAATTTATATTCGCCAGTAATCGATTTTTTGCAGACTTCGCAAAGATGTGAGAGTGCCATTGTACTAAATTCAGCTGGAGCTGCAAACTTTGAGTTGAATTTCGCGAAATCTGGAATTGTTGGAAGTTTTGAATTTGATGGCGCAGGTTTAAGCATAGAAGCTCCCTCCATGAAGGTAAGACCTGTGGATTGTAACTGATCTTCAATGCTCTTAGTCATTGGATCGTAGTAGTTGTGCGTAGGCCTTAAATTATCTGTTTGACTTGCGAAGATATCGGAGCCGAACTTGATATCTGCAGTAGGTATACTATCAAATGATGCGCTGTCAATCGCTCCAGAGTCCATTCCGTCGTAAATTTGAAGTTTTGGCTCATCTGGGTTTTTAGACTTAGGTAACATGTATCCTGGGCGACTCATTACAAAGTTTTGGTTGGGGAGTATGTTAAAGCTCTTGTTTTCACGCATTTTCGGCTGTTTGAATTCTTCTTGTTTCGGCAGTGGTTTATAGACTTCAGTATCATCGAAACTGGTTGGAAGTATCGAAGTATTGTCGTAGATAGGAGCGTTTGTGAACTCGCCGTCTAAGAGATTTGTAGGAGTTTGCGGTGGAGATAATAACATATCACTATCCATTTTAACAATACCATTATCTTCATTAGCGTTGTTATTAGCATCCGCTATCCATGAAGAGTGGCTGGATTCATCGATTGTACGATCCCCATAATCTTCTCCAGGAATTAGTAGTGTTGTAGTGGATGAACCTTGATAATCTTTCGGTTTTATCTCTATTAAACTGGATTTTTTCTTTTTGTCGGAACGTTTTCTTTTGATTAAAGCTTTTTTATCTGATTTTGATTCAGAATCGCTATAATACTCGTCAGAATTGTCACCTACGGCATTAACAACGTTTGTATTTGAACTAATGTCGTCAGAAACTAGTGGACTTGCATATTGATTCATATATAAAAAAATTTTATGAACCCTGTAATTTTTATTTACACCCTTGATAAATTGTGGAGAAAACGATTATCATAATGTAAGAGGATTTTTCATAGCAAGCAACACATGATTCCAACTATTGGAAATTTACATTCATCTTTTAGACTATTGAATTTGATATTTTGCTACATACTTACTACTTGTAGAGTGAATTTCAGAATTTTTGATGATCACCAATAGATTGCTCTTTGAAACATTGCAAATTAGAACCTCTGATGCTTCTTTATTTTGATATTCTTTTTGCAATCCTGTGTTGTACATATGGAGTTATTTGATCTTAAATTTTATTAAAAAAAGAGGGGACTTCGTCCACAACAAAGGTATCGACCAAAATCGTTCCCATTATGCTTTACATATGAGGTATAGTAATAATGTGTATGGACTCATAGAATGGCTTTCTTTTGATTTCGAGATATATTATGATCTACTAAAATATCCATATTTTACTTGATAACGCATATGTTTTATCGTATTATGAAAATTAAACGAAAAACATGGCTCAAGAAGAGCAAAATTCGATGCTAAAAAGTAAATTGTTTATTGATTTGGGTGCTTTCAGGTATTTTTTGAAGTAACACTTTACTCCTTTTTCTTTCTACATGTGTATATAAAACATGCACAAATAAGGATTTAATATTAAAAATATTTTTCGAATTGGGTAAATTATTCGTTAGATCTTAGATTTTAATAATCATTTCTTCTTAAAATGAGAATGCAGTAATAGCAACTGTGTATGATAGTTCGAGTATTGTTAAACTGCGCAAAATTTTGATAAGTTTCGAAAACGATTTGCAGTGTGTTCAAATATATTAGGATTTGATAACATGTGATAACATCGACTGCAAACAAGCGACATTAAGTGATTGATGAAAATCAATATCAATATTTATAAATTTCGAGACCTTTTTGACTGAAAGCAATTGTCTTGGATATCTAGAATGAAATTCTCCTAGGTGAATTTCTCCAAATTTTTTCCATTTTATAAAATGCCTAAGCAATTTTCTAGTAGGGTTTTGCAAAGTGGTTATCATTGGTTATCATTGATAATACGTAAGGTTGCTACTGTTGTAATATTTCGAAAAAATAAAGGTATCAACTTTAATGCAAGATATGATGAGTTAAACATCGAATAATTGGATTTTTATAATATTAATATTCTTTAGTCCCTAGTATATCATTGTTTCATACTAATGACGTGGATCAATTCCATTTCAATGATCAGATAAAGCAGAAACAATATACTCAGGTGCCACTTTTTTGGTCTAAAAAATGAGTTTCCCTTTTTTCGGGACTCAAACGAAATTTTTATTCATCAACTAAACAATTTTCATTAAAATAGCCTCCAAAAGTACTTTTTGCTTCTTCGAAATCGTTTTCAAAAGGATCATCTTCCATTATTTTGCTCACAGAATAAAGCGGATTGGTAAATATATACTGAGAAGTCATTTCTGTTATTGCATGTTCTGTTTCTTCTTGAAAGCTCTTCTCTGAAATTTCTTCTGCCTTCATTGAGATCATATATACAATTAGCCATACAATCACTAGTATTTCGATTACTGCAATTGGGATTAAAATATATATTAGTGTTGGAGTTTTAGATTTGGTTGGTGATATATGAGTAATCTCAACAAACTCTGAAAATTGTTCGTCTTCTGAAATTTCTATATTTTCAGAATTAATCTGAGAACTCGATGAGCTTCTCTCTTCTTCTTTTGGATGGAATTCTTCTTCTTTTCGACTGATTTCTGGTTCAACTTCTGGTTCATCAGGATCAACAGTAATTGGACATTTTTCACTTCTACGGGAATTAGTTTCGTTTGGAAGATCAATGTATCTCGGATTTTTAGGATATGTATAATCCATACTTTGCATAATTCTCGAAAGGAACTGCAGAATCACATTCACTGAAAATAACTTCCTTTCTTGGTTTTTCGTTCCATATCGACCTAATGTAAATATCAGATACAAAAATTCGCGGAACATCCAAAAACACATCAACTTTAACATTTCCACCATAACAAAGATTGTGCAAATATGGTGCGTTGAATATTGGATTTTGTTCTATTATTAATTTCGTCCTAATTACTAAAGTTGTTAAACCAAAATCAATAACTTTTCCTGTCGTGTAATTATATTTTGGATATGAATTGATTGCATTATTTCCAATTTCTTTGACATAAGAAGGAACAATATATGTTGACAATAACTTTCTATATGTCATCACTAATTTATAAGTTTCTTTTTCAATAAGTTCATACGTTCCCAACAAATATTTTGGATGATCACAGCTTATCTCCAATTCAAGATCTTCAGCACCATAAAATGCCTGGGGATGTATCCATGTGATTGATTTGGTAATAACAAATTTCTTCAGTTTTGTAAATGCGAAACAGAATTTTTCAAGCCTTGAAACAGATGATGGGACTGTAATTTCAGATAAACCTGTTGAGTTGAAACAATATTCTGGAATTGAATATATGCTGATATCACTAGCGAATTCCACTTTTTCTAATTTATCACACATATTAAATAATCCATACTCTAATCTATCTGGAATGGTAACCGATGAAATCGATGTGGAATCAAAAACATATGAACCAAAATTTACTGATGACTTAGGAAGATTGAGATGTGATAAACTCACACATTTGTAAAAGCAACATGATGAAATATAGATATAATTTGAAGGGAAAACAATATTCTTCAATGATATGCATTCGGCAAAACAAAAGCTTCCAATTGACCGTATTCCTTCTGGAATAGTTATTGTTTCTAATGCAATGCATCTTCTAAAGCAGTCATTTTCAATTCTTTCAACACCACGTTGTAAGTTAATACTAACAAGAGAGATACAATTTTCAAAAATACTATAACCTAAAGTCATTGTTTGTTGATCAATATTAATTGTGATCGATTTCAAGTATTTACATCCCTTGAATGCATTGGCACTTATAGAAATATAATTATTAATTACTATTTCTTCAATTCTTGATGCACTAAATGCATATGGATGAATTTTTCGGATATAATTAGGAATTGTTAATGTTTTATTTGAAGCTGCTGGGACGTGATAAAATATAGGGTGTCCAAAGGTGTGTTTAGCACAAACCTGAATACTGCGAATAGAAATAAACAAGTTACATATATATAAAGTTTATTTAAATATAATCACCATTGGATTCAATCACGCGTTCGCAGCGATCGATCCAGGCTTGAAAGACACGCTTTAAATCATCATGAGAAAATTGCTCAAATTGCTCTCTTACAAAATTTTCAAGATCATCTGGACTCGCGAATTCGCGTCCTTCAGCTCTCTTTTTTAGCGTGCCGAATAAATAAAAGTCAGAGGGTGCAATATCAGGTGAATAAATTGGGTTTGGAACAACTTTGACATTGTTTTCCACCAAGTAATTCATTACCTTATGACTTTTGTGAACTCTTGAATTATCAAAATGAATTGCAAACTTTTGTTTTTGTTGTTTGGATTTCTCAAACTCATCAGAATTGATAATTTGAGTAAGAACATTGTCAATTAGATACTGAGCATTCATCGTATTAGGTTTTTGAAGAATATCAATTGCGATGATGCCATTCACGCCCAAAAAAACCGACAACATCATCATTGGTGTGTCAATTTTTTTCTTCGGGAATGTTTGCGGATCTTCATCCTTCGGGATCCACATGATTTTGGCTTCTGTTGCATATTGAAACCAAGACTCATCCCCTGTTACTAAAAAGCGAAACTTCTTGGATTGATACGCACGCAATATAGAGAGGAGCTCTTTCGAAGATTGGACTCTAGATTTTTTTGAACTGAATTAAGGTTGTGCGGAACCCAACGTGTATACGCTAGTTTGTAGTTCAAATAATTGTGCAGATAATAACTGACTGTTGTACGTGGTATCTTTGTCATCTCCTCTATCCTTCTGAGTGATGCTCTTGGGTCTTCATCTAGCGCTTGAAGAATTGCTTTGATTTTTCTTTGATCCGGCGATTTTTTGTCAATTTTTATGATGGGCGCCTTTTTGGTCATGAAGTGATACATCCTAACATGATACGTTACAGTGGAATAGCTAGGAGCATCCATACTGAAGCATTTTACCAATGTCTCGTAGATTTTTTACAGTCTTTGCATTTTTTTGCAAGAGCGAGGATGTTTTCTTTATGATTCATTAAAAAAATGAAAAAAATCCCGCCAAAATTTCCCGCGAAACCGCCTCTTGTCTCAAAATTCATTTTATATCCCGGCATGGCGCCAAAATACAACTTACTCATCATATACATATATTCATATTTTTGATTATATATTTATAATCAGCATATATCTCCTTTAATAGTCTCATATAGAGCGCTGTGCTAAACGCACCTTTGGACACCCTATATTTCATTATCTTGTATCATCATACCATTTTCTATACGAAAATATGAATACTGTCCTAATGTGATATTAGCATTATTTGAATCTTGAAAATCTTTTCCTCTGAATTTCTGTTTCCCTGATCCCAAAATAATTTCTGTGATTGTTGTAACATCTTTAAAGGGATTTTCATCCGTGTCTTCATTACCCCAGCATCTATCACGATAATAAAAGTCGCATTGAAAACCTGAGTAAACAAAATCCTTGCCTATTTTTATTCTTTCAATTTTGGTTCCTTTAAATGAATAATTTCCAATTTGATTTGTTTCTGATAGGTCTAAAAATGGAACTTCAATAGAAGTTCCCATAAATGCATAATGTCCAATAAATTTTATTATATCTGGAAATTCGATATTTTTCAAACTAGAACATCCATAAAACATTTTATCAGGTATATATTGAATGTTATGAATTACTACTGATTCAAGTTTTGAACAATTCATCATTAATCCAGTTTTTGCAAATGTTTGAACATTGCAACTTATTATTGAGTTGCAAAATGCAAATGCATATTCATCACCAAAAACTTGAGGACTAACACTAGCTAAGTTTTGGCATCCATAAAATGCTCGTGATTTTATTAATACAGTTTCAGTTAAATTAATATATGCTAATGAATTACAAAACATAAATGCTTTATTACCAATATTGGATGGATTTAATTTAAGAATCTTTAAATTTATACATGAGTAAAATGTTTCATCATGAATGCCAACATATGAAATTGATGATTTTACTTCAATAAGATTATAACAGTTACTAAACATTTCACGACAAGTCCAAGAGAGAGGGCCTAAATCAACAGTTTCTAAGGAATGACAATTTTTGAAAATCCCTTTTGATTCCATTATTGATAATTCATTTTCAATTTTAACATTAATAAGATTACTACAATATTCAAAGACATCATCCCTCAATGAGCCTAAATTTAACTCAACTTCCCTTAAATTTGTATTTCTGAATGCTCCTTTTTCCAATGAATTAACTGATTTAAAGTTGAATGATTCTAATGGACAATTTTCAAACGCATAACTACCAATGTAAGATATATAATAATTTTCTGGGAATATTATGTTTTTAAGATTAAAGCAATCATTAAATGCAGACCCACCAATTGAAAATGAACTCATGCGGATTGTGACTGTTTCTAAATTATGGCAGCCAGAAAATGCGAATGACGAAATTGTTTGACGATCGTTAGAATTTGCTGATAGAACAATTGTTATACTTAATATATTCGTAAAAGAAAAGGCACTTCGATCAAACATTGAACATATATTAGGTAAAATTGTGATTAAATGCTTACAGTTATAGAATGCATTTTCATTAATATAGTTGGTGAGCCAGAAAAACTAATGAATTCTAGTGTAGAATACGAAAATGCAGATTTTCCTATTAAAGGAATCCTCTCACCAATATAAACCTTTTTAATGTTTCTATTATGATGAAAGTAGGACTCTGGAATTTCGCATGATAAAAAACATTCAAATGTTTCAACAAGTTGAATACCAGAGAATTTAGGTAAGCTAGTTATTGAAGATCCTTCAAGTCTAATTGTATCAATGTTTGAATTTTTCATTGTATTTAAAAGTTCTTCTTCATTTTCAAAGTCTGACCGTTCATTTAATATCATTTTAGAACCTTCTATTGTTACTTGTGTGCTCGTCCTCACTATTTTAGTAATTAATGATTTAATTAAGATACTAGAAATCATATTTATTTCTGAATGAATTGAATGGATTCTCATACCACATTTCAAATGTTTACAATATTTTTATGTAAATGACTATCAAAAATAAAAAATATATTCTGAGTTTGTATGTATCAATATTACAAAAAAACTTATAACTGTGATGGAATTGCAAAAATTCTTTAAAAACAGAAGAAAGATTATAAATTTAACCTCCTAAATCTTAGTTAAGTACATTTCCTATGATTAAAATTGTCAACGTCATAGTGAGTCAGCTTGCCTAACGTTATAATCTTATTTTAAGGTTAATTTAAAAATATAACAAATATTATGTAGCTATTATGTATATCAATTTATAAAAGATGGAAATTTTTAACAATTTCAATACTTTCAAAAACCTTTTCTCAAAATCGATATAGAAATATTTAAACTTTTCAATAGATTAAATTCGTCATGGAAACAAATAATTAAATTTTCATAATAATATAACAGATGCCTTGAATATTTTTTAATTCAATTTTTCAATACATTCATTTTTTTTTAAATAATAAATAGAAAATGTTTCATATGATATTTATGAATTTTATGATTAAAAAAGCAATCTGTAATAATATGGAAGCTCAAAACTCAATAGTAATCAATGATATTGAGAATTTAGAAACAATTTCTGCAAAGATTAAGTCAAATGGAATAACATTGAAGTTAGGTGAGCTGAGTAACTCCAGACCTGTTGGCGAGACTCCATAAAAATTCCAGCCTCTCATATATCTATTTGTGGTCCAATAAAATGTGTAACTTTCAATTTGGATTTGAACAGCATGGAAGTCGATTGTGATATTTGGTGTTTGATCGCCTGATCCAGAAACAAAACGACCAGAGAAGTTTGTAATTGGATGACCTAAAATACAATCAACAGAAGTTTTCATTAAACTGACATCTCCGGTATCATATCGTGATGAAGGTGTTACTGTAACAACATCTTGCTCTGTAAGATTTCCTGTTTGGTAATGTTTACGCATATATGAAATGATATCGTACACTTCCCCAGTAACATTTTTAACATCAGTAAATGGAATGCGTTTAGATGGGATCTTCGCATATTTTTCAAATTTATATGCAAGCACAAAGCTTAGCATTGATTAATTTGAGTGAATTATAATTCAATTGTTCAATTGAAAAGTCATCGTTAAAATAACTAAAATGAATTTATTGGTGTAAAGTTAATAGTTATAAATCGGACATTTAATTTTCAAATTGAATTGAAAGATTAATCCTATGAAAACTGAATTGAAATAGTTATGTGCATAATCCCGATAAATTATGATGATCTAATGATAACACATATCTTTCTAAATTGTTATTAGTTTGAATTAAATATGATTATGAATTTATCAAAAGTTGATAAAACATATGTGTAACATGTAACAAAATTAGCTAAATTTATGATAAGATTAACTTCAAAATGTATTAATTTTTTATTAAATAAATCATTAAATTTCAATGTACACATCAATTTTAGTTATTATTATATTTTGTGAAAAATCTTTCAAAAATTAACTTTTGAGACCAAATCAATTTTTGAGTTTTCTGAGATTACAGAATTCATAACAATGCAAGAAACCTTTATACAAATATATAGAAAATTCAGACCATGGAACCGATATTTTACAATTTTATTTTGATTTTATTTTATTTGATTTGATTTTATTTTTTGATAACATTGAGCAAAATTGTATTTGAATATATAATGCCAAATTTTAGTCTCTCATTATTAATGCCCTTTAATATAAAAGCAAATATACTATCTCAATAATGACCTCATTGTAAATTTCATTGAAAAAGTTTAAGCCATGTCTGTGATATGTTGACTGCTTTGTCGTGAATGCAGAATGAACTAAGTGTTGTCAAAACACTGCTGATGTATGGACTAATGTCTATTGGATAGTTGACGATGATGTTCTTGATGATACGGAATGTACGATCGATGAAGTGTTCGTCACGTGATGATTCTGTGAGGATGCGAAGGATGACTGTCCAGCCTGAGTGGAAGTTAGAGTGGAATGAGAAAGCAAGTTTACCAATAAAATCAAGAAGAACTTCTTGAATGTGACGATGGCTTGCACCCTAATAGATGTCAAGCATAGGACTAAGGAATCGTTCTTGGTAGTGGTAGTCTGTCTTCTCTTCTTTAGCAAGAAACTTCTCTGAAAGGTCGATGAGAAGTTTGATAGAAAACTCTGCAATGTCTTTGTTCTAGTGTGAACCACCATAAACAATGTTTGGAGAAATAGCTGTCAAGATCTCGTTCTAAACATACATCTCGCGAGAATGCTAAATTCAGGTTTTAGCAAAAACCGTCCAATATCATATCAAGATTTGCAAAAAAATCTTTAAACACTAGATTATCAAATTAAGTTAACTAAGAACCAATCTTTATTCATTTACAAATTGGATAATATCTCAGAATATCAAATCAGTATGTTCTTGCCAATATAGGTTAAATATTCTCTCGTAAAAGTCTTTGTTCAAACCCTCTGTATAAAGGTGTCTACAACTTTTTTTTCGTTGTCTACAACTTATTTCAGGAAATCTATGTTGAAAATATATATGTTAAAAATCATAATTATCATACATACAAACATTATTTATTCTATTCTATCAGATATTTTGACTTGGCGACTGCAATGTTCACCAATCTATCCTGAAGAGATGGTTCTTCCATTGCAATAAGTGTGTACATATGTGTGTGCACTACAGCATCTTTATTTTTAATATAAATATTAACAATTGTGTCGGCGATTTGAAATCCAAAATCAGAAGCAAATTCATCTGCATTATATGTTATTCTCTTATGAATTAAACCACGGAGAACATCAAATGAACAAAGAATTGGATAAAAATAGACAAATGAAATTGGGAGAACAATTGTAAGAAAATCTTTCGATTTGAAAGAGTAACTTAGTTCATTGCGTATTATATAGTTAATTATTAGGAGATAAGACACAAATTCTAATAAATATGTAATAATTACTAAAATTCCTTCTTGACTGCATGCTCTATAGTAGCAAACTGCAAGGAACGTCGCAAGTTGATGATTTGATAGGTGGTTAATCGTATTATCCGAAATTACAATTTCTCTCTTTAAAAATCCACCAAAATAAGCATTTAACTTAGTTGTACGAATCGAGTCTAATCTCATCTTGGGTCTGTTCAAGGATATGCCTTGAGAAGTATTGAGATAATGTATTGATCCCATTAATTTTCCGTTTGGTTCAACAATGCAATCTTTATCATACCAGAAATTCTTGTAGACCGAGTATATGCAAAGACTAGCTGCACAAGCAATGAAGAAATATATAATCAAAATTCTTAAAAATTGAGGATAATAATTTTCAATTGTTTTGTTCTCTTTTCTTGATACCTTTGGTGCGCTTTCCGTGTTTTCATCAGTATTGTTCGTTGCTACATCATTTTGTGGATCAATTATTGATAATTCTACTTTTGATGGCAAAAATTTCTCTGATATGTAATTAAATAGGTATATGTATACGTAGGCAGTCATTAATATTAAAAATTGAGCTACTAATTCTTTGTATACGTAAAACGAAATTGTAATTTTGTTGAAACCAGCCGATGTATCAACGTAATATAGTTTAATTAGTTCAACTGGAAGGATTATCATCGCAAATCTAAGTAAAATATAAAGTGAAATTGTTTCATAATTTGAATTACTTAATGCTGTAATAACTCCTGAGCCATAGTATAAGCCAATGTAAAATGCAGCATGAAGTAATCCATCAAGTAAATGCAAAAGTGCAACTTTAATTGGGTATGAAAAATCTGCATTTTCATCTCCTTGTTCTCTTGAGATATATTTCTGTTTGTTAACATACATGCATTCATTTAGATATACAAATACATCCAATACAGCTATGACTATTAAAATCTGTATAGAACGCGGTATATTAATGTTTTTCATTTCTAAAACTTATCGGAAATTTGTAGAATCTAAACAGACGAGAAAAAAACAAAAAGAGAGATATTACATAGAGAAATGTAGTGGGGAAAAAAGTTAGATTTATAAAATTAAATTTTTTTTTTGAAAAGATAATCAAGTCGTAATTTTTAGCATATTGAAATGTAATGTTTAGGCAACGAGAGCAGAAGCTGTCTGAGCGTTGTACTTCCAGTTTGGAGCAAGAACACGGCGAGTCTTGTAATAACGTGTAAGTCTGTGAATACGGGACTCGATAAGGATAAGACGGTACTTGCCATCGACATCGTGCTTAGCGTGTTCGAGGTGCTTGCGAACGTTTGTAGCCTTCTTGATAAGGTGGTAAAGTTCCTCTGGAAGAGCTGGAGCAAGGCCATTAGCCTTAAGGATGCGGAGAACCTTGACACCAGTAACAGCACGGACCATACCAACGCCATTGCGATCACGGAGGAGAGCGCCGATCTGTGATGGGCGAACACCCTTCTTAGCATAATCGCAGATCATTCGGACGCAGTTCTCGGCAGAAAGCTGGAGCCAGTGTGGTGCTGAACGACGGTATGGGCATGTTGATGAGCTGATACCCTTGCCTTGTGAGTGAAGACGACCCATTTATAGAAAAGGCCGCTCCATGACGATTATTTTCAATTCAATTTATCATTGGGCCAAATCAAAATCTTCTTATTATTTCTTAAATTAAAAATAAGGATATCTTCATCCATTACTTTCTCTTACTAAATATCTAATAAAAACTTTATTATCTTGAAAATTCCTGATGAAATAAAAATATCTATCTTTGTTGAATGATGTTGCATTTGAAGATATAATATCTTCTGCATGATATTGTATCTCGTATAATCTGCATGGTTGAACTTCGAATTTTAAAATCAAAATTACATTTAATTCACAAAATATATAAGATTTATGTTCCTCCCTTGTTCTAGATTTATAGTTTTAATGTAGTGTTAGTCTTTGGATTTTTAAATAAAAAAATAATTTTTTTTCTGACAAAACAATACATTATCTTTATTCAGAAGTAATTCTATTATATAAGAGCATGTATGCCTGCAATCCAAGGTGCCCTTCATCACCAAGTTCAGAAACTTTATCATCATCGAATTTCAGCCATTGTCCATCGAATCTTCTTGCGTAGCATACGTAATGTCCTGCATCTGGTCTTGTTCCAATATGTTCTACGACAGCACTGAGCTGATAAGAAAATTTTTCGTCGTCAGCCTCGAGTCTGAGAATTTCTGGGTATTCGACGATACCAGTAAGTTTCATTGGACCATAGTCATTGAATCCAAACCTTGTAAAACCGATAATAAGTGACATTGGAAGAGCTGTCAAGTGATTTCGTTTTGAAATGGTATCTGTGATCTGTTCGACTTCAAGATAGCGTCTAATGGCCTGTCCGAGGGATTTTATTTCGTAAATTGGTAGTTGAAGAACTAATGTAACTTCTGCATTGACGCTTCTTACTTTATGATGATCTAATGTCTCTGATCTAACAAAAGTGGCAAATATTTTTGAGAGAGGAGACAATTTTCCTTGTGTATCGACAATTTGTTGGATTTTTCCTCCAATAACTGTTCTCCGGTTGTTTGGATCTGAAGATTCTGGAACTGGATATAATTCTATCAAAGAGCAAAGCTCATCGTGAAGTTTGTTAAGGAAATAAGACAAAAATTCAGAAGCATCTTCCTGAGTTTTTGGCTTTCTCTTAGCGTTGAATGGGCCAAATACTTCATTAAGTATATCTGTATTAGTTGCAGAAGCTTTGTCTATTAAATCTAAGGATTTCAATGAGGTATATACGCCATCTGAAGAAGCGCTGTCTGAGAACTTGAAATTGTTGAGGAATTTGTATAGTGCTGTCCATGATGGTATAACTTCTCTCTGTTTGTCTGAAAACAAAGGATAATACGTCTTCATAAAGTTTGCGAAGCTAACAAAAGGAGGTGAAGCGAATAACAGCTGAATTGAAGCATTGGCGAAGCACATAAGCCCTCTGTTCATCAAGCCACGTGGCTGGACAACCATAGGTGTCACAAAATACTTTCCCGTTTGTAAATTCGTGGCAAAGTCTTTTTCAATCGAATCCTTTCCGTCCTGAAGAATAGTTTTGTATGCTGAAGCTATTTCCTCTGGGAATTCAACGTTTCCTGAGATTTCTATCCACTTTGGATTTGTTCCTAAGTGTTTCATGATTTTGGAAATCCGAACAAACTCTTTCAAATTTAAAATTTTTGTCAATTTTTGGATTTTTTTCATCAACAAAGTGTCCAAAATATCAAATATTGACCAAAACAGATAATATGTTTATGAATCAATGCCAAAATAAGAGCATAATCTACTCTCAAAATCATAACTTTTTACATAGATTTTGAATTTTTAATTCAAATCAAATTCATTGAACAAACTTGGTAACATATTATGCTAGAACTCCTTCAAAAGCTTACTGTTTTATAGTGTTATAGTGTTAGTTATTTGATAAATCAGATGATTTTTTTGTTTTATATTTTACAGAATATGGAATTGTTGCTATAGTTTATAAAATCGATTATAAACCTAATTTATTTCATAAAATAAAATAATTTTAAAATATAAAAATAAATAAAATAATTTTTCTCCGGATTTTTAGTTAGAGTTAGCCTCACTCCAACTCAATCTCTTATTTGAGTAATCTGGTTCAGGCAATGCGTAGAATTGTTCTTTTGTCATTCCAGCGACGGATTTGAAGTTGTCGTCGTTCAAGAACATGTCGCAGTACATCATCCTTCCCATCTTTTTGCATTTGTCGATGTCGCATTCTTGGATTTGGACCTCATTGTAGGATAATAAGTTTGGCTTAGCTACAATTGCTTCTAGGAGCTTTCCTGCGCACTGGGCCTCTAGTTTTCTATCTAACTTGACGTCCTTTGGTATACCAACCATTGGAGTATCTTTGAATAAAACTTCGATGAAGAATCTCGCATCAGGAGAGACAGAGTACGTTGCCATGAGTTCGTGGCCGTATTTGGCTAATATCGATTTGCGGAATGATGATTGATCGTTCTTGAAAATCGATTTAATCTCTTCTTTCGCTTTGTTGAAGGAAATCATTGATGTCAAGCGCTTGAGAAGCTGGCATTTGTCTTCTTCTCCCTTGATTACCTCGACTTGGGCCATTGTCGGCTCGCATACGTCTGGTTTTCCGACAAATTGTTCGAAATTGATTGGTATGACGCAAGATCTGGATCCGAAATTGAAGAACTGCCAGTCGTGCTTTGAAATCAATGTCGAAATGTATGATGATGGTGAGAACATTGAAAATGCAACGACGCATGTTCCTCGGATTAAGCTGGAATCGGTTGAATTCATGACGTTGAATATTGCCTCACCGATATCATTATCCTTTACGAGGTTTTCTGCCAAAGGAGAAGAGCAAATGTGAGCTAATGCGAATAATGCAGCTCTTATCTCATGTTTCTTCTTCGCCTTGATGAGATTGAGCAACTGGCCAACCTGAGGTTCAACGACGGCAAGTCCCTCCGCTGTCTTGGCAAGCTCGCCAAAGATATGAGGGGGAATCCTGGCAAAACCGTTTACCAATGTGACAGAAGGGAATGAAGCTAAGGCGGAAGTGTCTCCGTAGCAAGCCTCGAAGGCAGCGTCGTATAATTTGCAGTACTTGGCGTTGCCTTTCTCCATCCAATAGGTGATTTCCTTCTGTGTATTTAATTTCTTGATGACAGACTCAATGGAGAAGAAAATCGCAAGCATGAGATGGTTCTTTGAGGCAATAACATCAAGTAATTGCATGTCTTCTGCAGCTGCGCGGCGGCATTCCATATCATCGAGACATAATTCGGAAAGTAAGTTCATGGCTGCGTTCATTTGCTCTGGATCTTGGATCTGCTTTACATGTGGAATGATTAAAGCCTTGAAAACTGCATCTACGAAATTCTTGGCCGATTTCTTTTTCTCTCTGATCGCTTCTATGGCGATTTGCTGGGCAGTTGGGACTTGTGAGTTCAAGAAGCTTCTGAAAACATCAATCGAAAGCGTATCTTTCTCAATTTTGATTAATGATAAGCAAAGTTTGATGTTTTGAGGAGTTGTGACTGTAGAACCGAATGTTACGAGTTTGTCGGCGAGATCCATCTTCTTTAATGTGTTTGTTGCCGTTGGATCGCAGATCATTGCAGCAATCATCTCGAAGAAAGTGGCGCAAACGCATTTAGCAGGTATGACTTCGCTTGTTTGGAAGAGAGTAAGTGTCTTTTCGAAGGCTTTCTTGAGATTTTGGTTCTTTTCGAAGTTTTCCCATAATTTCTTATTTGTATCGAGTAAAATGAGGAAGGAATGCAATGTATCGATCATGTTGAGTGTTCTGTTTTGATTGGAATCAAGAGGAGTGTTGTACATTGGTCCGGCAAGCTGATCTACGATACTATTGAGTTTCTTGTTAGTAAATGCTAAGTTTGCTTCTGTATCGTTATGCGGTAAGATGACTGATAAAATCTTATTGATGTTTGGCCAGTCCCATTTCGATGGATCGTCGTCAAGTTTGAAATTAGCGATTGATGTCACGTTTTCAGAAGATTCAGTACTTTGAGCGTGTTTTCTGATCTTAAGAACGATATCGGTATTGTTCTGGTTTGATTGTACTGTGATAGAAGAAGTAGATAAATCGATTAATTTTGTATCTGACTGAGAAACGAAAGGAAGTAACTCGGATAAGAACGATGCAGCCTCTGGAACTGTAGAAGCAAGCTCGTTAAGTCTTTCGATCATTCCGCACTTCATTAACGCATACAAAACTAATCCTGTAAATCCATCGGTAATGCAGCGCTGATCTGTAAGATTTAAGATGTCTTTGAGTATGAGGATAACTGCTTCTGTCTGGTGACCTAAGCAGTAAACGATATCCTTCAATAAATTATTTTGGAAGCCGAAGAGAAGCATTGTAGGCCAAGTTCTGAGCAGCGCGGAAATGGCCTTCGTGCATACTTCGAGATCTTCTGGTTTCGTTGGAATGTATTGTGAAATTGGGTTAATTAATCTGGAAGCAAAGCGATCCATTAATACGAAAGGAAGTTTGTGCTCAGAAGCGTAAGCAATGAGAGCTCCAACTCCTTTATTGCCAGTTTCGTGAAATGCGCTAACTAAAATTGATGATATTTCGGGAATTTCTTCAATCTTGGAGTTAGTTAAAACAGCTTCAAGAAGGTAAGCGAGGATGAGTCCCTTGTAATTGTGATTTGGTACGTTGTACAGAGAAATCATCGCACGAAGAATTGATGTAGGTAAGTATTTTCTAAAGCGCATGAGAATAGAAACGCAGCGGAAAGCAGCAACCTTTTCTTCATCAACCTTTGATTGCATTGATTCACCTGGTCTTTGGTCAATCGATAAAGCTATTAACTTATCAAGATCATATTGCTCTACAATGGAGTTAGGTGAACTTAATTCTAATTCGCAAATAATTTTCATCAAGGTAGATCTCATGGGGCCTGGTGCTGATAAGTAAATATGATGTATGTACGCGGCAATGATATCAACAGGTTGATCTGCGAAATTTACGTTTTCAAATTCTGTTTCTATTAGCTTCAGTGCCTTCATTAAATCTTGTGGCTTCATCTTAAGCTCGACTGCTGCATGAAGAGTAAGGGCGAGCTCGGAAGTTATCATTCCCTGACAAATTTCACTTTTTATTTTTATCTAAAATTTATACAAAAAAATACGTAATATCATGTCTGACTGTATTCGGATTTTGTGCATCTTGTAACTCATATTTCATTCACAGTTCATAGTTTATCTTTGCTTCCTGAATGTAATCAAAAACAATCTTTGCTTTCAATACTACATCTTGTTAGAGAAAACAATAACCACAGTTCACATACTCATTTTGAACTAATGAAAGGTTGAGACAATTTCGAAAACCCAAAAATGCTCAAGTTTTGAAATTGTTCTCAATTGATGTGGAACTTTCAGGGAATGTATCTTGTATTTTGAAGAGTCTATTGAGAATTCATTTATATCACTGTTATTAAACATGAACCAAAGTATATGGTGAATACATTTATATTGAAAGAAAAAAAGAAATTTGTAAATGGGGAAAAAAGCTTTCATATGATTCAAATGTGTTTGTTATATACTTAATTCCCTGTATAATAGCATTTTCTTACTACCAAGTCTATTTTACTGCACAATAAAGTTTTTTTTTCCAATTTTGTTAATATCTACATCAAACTATGTATATGGTAGTAAAACATGCATTTTCCATTTTAAACCAAAATTCTGAAGGCTTAAAACAAAACAAACTATGTAAAGTTTTTTGACTTCATTTTTCAATTAATGATAAAAAAAAATTAAAAAATATTATTAAAATTGAATTTTTTAATCAAAAATACCATTCTGCGTAATTTTAAATCAGCCAAATAGGTTTGTTATTATCATTCAAACTGTTGGAATGTTAGATAACCTTTAATGATATTTTGTTTTTTTTATATCATATTTGATTTTTCGACCTAAAGGAATATTGTAAGTTTATATCATACTATAGATTCCCAAACTTTATTCAACTCAATTGGACAAAAATAACATGATATGCTTGTATAATTACCATTTTGACTCTAATACTATAGCAATAAATAATGAAAACTTATAAATGGTATTGACCTATTTCAATTTTTATATATTCCGTTGGAATTTGTGGAGATTATTAAGGTTTGTTTCAACTACTTATCGATTGAATGACGAAAAGGGGTTTTTGGTTAATCATTGATAATCGTCTTTTGATAGGATTGTCACTTTTTAATAAGAAAGAAACCATTTCTTTAATTTAGCCGTAGTATTTTATTATTTAAATCATTAATTGCAAGGTATGGAAAAGGACTTGTTGATCATGGCTATATTGCAATTTATCAGAAACAAGAGCTTATTGATACAAATATTAATGGTCTACCATATTTAAGCGAGTACAATGATAATAATATCTGGTTCCTCTACACAAAGCCAGATAATTTCATGTTAATTGATTTGAAATCAAATTATTTTATAAATGGAATGAAAATACGAGGAACCATATCTACCAATCCTAATGTCTTGGGTTACCCATGGGAATCTTGTCCTCCAAGTTATGCATTAGAGTTTTCAAGTGATAATAATATCTTTTATCCATTATTCCAAGAAAGTAATTCGAAGAGAATTAATTCTACAAATATAGAAACTGAGTACTTTTTTGAGGCGAAAGGTTATTTTAGATATTTTCGGCTTAGAGAACTTTCTTTAGTATTTAATCAAGATGGACATGGCCAATACATATCATGGCTTGATTTTTATGTAAATTCTAACATATGCTCCGCTTGTAATAAGCTTTGTCTCCAATTTAGTTTCTTTTATTTGTTAACTTCCTCAACAATTTTTACATTCGAGTAACTTACTTTCGAGTTCTTTTGAGAAATATAACTTTAATATTTTTAAATTGAAAATTCTAACTACACTGATTGAAAAACGAAGAATATCACGACTATTTTATGAACTAGATGGCTTATAAGAGAAAGTATTGTAGTTAGATTAAATAATTTAAGTATTTTCATAATATTTAAAAGAAAATCGTGATTATTTTTGTAAGAAAAATAAAATATTAAAAAAATTTACTTTCCGAGAGCAAGGGCACGGAATTCAGCATAGTCAATCTTTCCATCTCTGTTCTTATCTGCTTCGTTAATCATTCGACGAACAACTTCTGCAGATGAGTCGAGACCTAAGCTAATTAATAATGAACGAAGTTCGTTTGGTGTAATAAATCCATCTGTATCACGATCGAAAACTCTGAATGCTTCTCGAAGCTCATCTTCGATGTCTGACTGTCTCATTTGACGTGACATCAAAGCAAGGAACTCTGTAAAATCGATAGTATCATTACCGTCGGCATCAACCTCGTGGATCACATCTTGTAATCAAAAAGACAATTCTATGCAATTTGAAATCAGCCAAATAGTTTTATTATTATCACTTAAACTGCTGATATGTTAAATAGCCTTAGTTGATATTTTGATTATTTCTTATCAAATTTGATTTTTCGGCCTAAAGGAATGTTGTAAGTTTATATTTTCACAGTATATATCATCAAACATTATTCAAATCAATAGGACAAAAAATAACGTGATATGCTTGAATAATTTTATATGATGTTAAACATAAATTATTAAATTATTAAAATTACCATTTTGCCTCTAAAACTATAGCAATAGATAATGGGAACTTATAAATGGTATAGACCTATTTCAATTTTTAAAATATTATGGTTTTTGATTCAACTACTTATTGATTGAATGATGAAAATGGTTTTCCAAATAATGTTGTCAATACAACAAGGGTAAATTAGTCATATCATTAATACAGGAAAGAATTTAGATAGCCAAACATAGTTAACTTTCAAATCTTTGACTTCTAATACAAAGGAGATGAATGTTCAACCACTTGCAGTTTTAGAGTGCTCGTTCAATTTCGAGATTGAAAAATTATCCAAATTCGTCTACTACGAGCTTTTCTAAAAGCATCTTGCCTTCAATTTTCTTTTGTGATTTAATAACATTTTGTAATTTGATAACTATAAATATTGCTATAAAAATAGCTATTAAGGATACCCTTACATTGCGTAGTTAGAAAGAGAATATGATATTGTCATGATTGCTAAAGTTTTAGGCTCCAGAAATGAATATACATCAAACTGAAACAATTGATAAATTGAATGAACTTTTGAGAGGTTCTCAAATAAAAAAAATTATCTAATTTTTTACAATATTACTATTATTTTATCCACATATGTATATATAGTAATTTGAGAAAACTTTTAGGAAAAAATAAGTTTAATAAAAATCTGAATTTTACTTTGTTGTGGGATTGTTATTAATTGACACTCCAGACGTATTACTAATAGTTATGCGTATGCAATTAAAGTATTTCTGATGGACAAAATGTGAGATTTATATCAGATAATTCATTTCTACTATTAAGTTATTCATTTATGAGTTTGCACTTATTCGCACTAAATAAATAACTATTAAAAATTGTTTTAATTAATTGACACCATATAATAGAGTGAATTTTGTTTGATCAAACAACAATAGATGATAGATATAAAGCCAAGAAACTTGCTATTAATATGCTCTACTTGCTATTTCAATGTAAGTATGATATTTTCTAAATGTTTCGTTCAGATAACTTAGATATATTAGTCAAAATTTGAAATTTTAATAGCACATATATTAAAAATAATTATTATTCATAAAAGATTAATGAAATAGTAAAAAAAAATCAATCAAATTATAAAAATACAACATTTAGAAGAATTCTTATTATCCTTCAAAAAGTCAGTATTTCTGCTGTAATTTTCTACAACATTGTAGTTATTGCACTTTGTCTATGGATTTGTATATATGTTATATATAAATTATATATCTAAACTGCCCATAAGTGCAATTTTTATATAAAATTGTTTATTTCTTTAACAATTTCATATGAAATATGCTTTTTTAAGCGTATCAAAGCTGTGTTCTTAATGTGCATGGATATATCAAGAAAAATGTCGAAAAAAAAATGTGAATTCACAAATTCACTGAATTTTCACCGTTTTTTGAATTTTGCTACAGCACTAATATTAAATAATACTAAAATCTTCTGTCTTTGTAAAAGAATAAATTCTGACAAAAAGTGCTCGTTTAAATTTAATGATCATTTGTATGACTAAGTGGTAAAAAGTGTTTATGACCAAAAAAGGGTTACATGCTTAGTCTATTTTTCTGACAGGATACTCTAGATTTACATGATCTCTATTTCATATCTCCGTTTTTAGATTCTTCGACAGATTTTATGATAGAAAACCAAGATTAACAAATTTCCGGCATGTTAATGAAGAAATCTGCAGCTACCCTCAATATTATTTCAATAATCAGTATCGTTTCTCTTACAATTTATATTTTTTCTCAATAATTTAACAAGAAATAACAATACACACTTGGTTTTACGTATAAAAGCTAAGTGTCGAACTTAATCAACTTTACTTACTTAGCAAATGAATATTTTTGTGGTTGCGAGTTCTGAATGCTGAAGTTTTAGATTTCTCTATAAATGATATCATTGCACTTACAATGTTGTTCCAGCCTATCGCATAAATCATAGAAAATCCAAAAAAAAATAATATAAAGAAAATTCATGTCATGAAGTTCAAAAAATACCGTGTAACATTAAAATTTGTTATGCATAATACATTTTAGCTATTATTGATTTTTTTTAATTTTCGAGAAATTGAATGGTGAGTCCGATAGAGAAATTTTTAAAAATCCTAGTGCCTCATAGAAGTAATTTCCCTCGTCTCCCATACTTCCAAATGTATGCATATGACATAAACTTTTATGCATTACACAAGTGGCCAATAATATCTATAGAGTAAAAAATTAGAAATTTAATTTTTTTATATGATAGTTATATTTCAGATTTGCGAGCGTAACTTTTTTCTCCATGGCATACTTGTTTTAAGAGCAAATGATCAAAATCGTCCTTCAATTATTGAAGGAGCTGATATCTTTTGAAAATTGAATTGAAAGGGTATTCAATTTTCAAATTTCCTCTCAATTTTGGAAACATATCAACTCTATGAATTAACAATTATGTGCCTTCACAGTTTATCAGTCATATAAGGTGCTTATAAAGAAAAAAGTTACGCTCGCAAAATATGTTTTTATATAGAGTTCACATAAAATAATTATGTAATTTCTAAAAAGAATATTTTTGTTCTTGAATATTAAAGTGTATTGTAGTTTAAAAAGTTTTAAATATGTTGCTAAAATTTCAGGTTTATAGCTCATGTCTAGCATGACTTCTTCGTATGCGCAAAAAATCTGACACGTAAGGGTATCCTTAATACGATAATACTAAATGTAATAATTAAAGCTAACTGAGTATTAGTGAGTCCATGTTTTACATCTCCAGGAAGGTTATTACATTTACCTGTCTTACTGGCTGCAACATCGCCAATTTTACTTTTTGGATAGTATTCATAAACGGTGATATTTCGAGGATGCCTGCCAATAAGGAAATTACCTTCAACTTCTTGATCACCACAGTATAAAAAGTTGTTAATACGACTGTTTAAAAATGATTTGTCATCAATCTTTTGAATGTTGCCGATTATAATAATATTAACTTCTTTTGATGAGATAAAATTATCTTTGATAATTGATTCATTACCATAAGTAAAGATATTAATGTTTTCAAGAGATTCAAATATTGAAAGTGATGGATATTCTTTAATAGACAAATTATATGTGATCGTTTTGATCAAGTGACTGAATGAGTTTTGTTTAATTATGTCAGAGTTAGGATATGAGATAATTAGATGTTCAATCATGTTGTCGTTCTCGAAACTTGTTAAGTCAATTGAACAATTTGATTCAATGTTAATTTTTTGTAATGATGAACAGTTAGAGAATGAATATTTTCCTAGTTTAATCAGATTCTTAGGTAATACGATACTAAATAATGATTTGCATCCAAAGAATGAGTAGTCATGAATATCAGTAAGATCTTCTGGAAATTGAATTTCTGTCAAATTATAACAATTCATAAACGCTGACGATTTGATAACTGTCAATGAATTTATATTTGAGATTGATTTCAATGAATAGCAATTTTGGAATGAAGAAATTCCAATATTTATCAATGTATTTGATTTGATAAGAACTATTTCAAGAGATTCACATTCATAGAAACAAAAATCTGAAATAGATGTGATACTAATCGGCAATGTTATATTCTTAAGTTTGGTTGCATTGATAAAAAGCTTTTTGATCGATTTGTGAAACATTTTCAGAAAATTCTACATTGACAAGATTAGTACATTTTTCGAATGCTGATCCTTCTATTTTAGTAACTTTGTTTGGAATTTTCAACTCTCGTAAATTTGTAATATTGAAAAACATTTGTTTCCAAATGATTTCAATTTCACTTTGAAGAGTAATATACTCTAATGATTTCAATGAAGTGAAGAAACTCCTATCTAAATTTGTTGGCATGCTTAAAAATACCAAAGTTTTAAGATTGTCGCAACCTTGAAAAGCAGTATTTGAAAGTTTTTCTAATTTTTCTGGTAATGTAATTTGCGTCAATGATTTACAATTTGCAAATGCTGCGTCATCAATTTTTGTAATACTTTTAGGAAGATTTATATCATTTAAACTAGTGCATTCTTCAAAAGCTGAAGAAGAAACAGTTTCTACTGAATTTGGAATAACAATAGATTTTAATGAAAGACACCCATAAAATATTCGTATCATAAGTTTAATTTCAGTGAGTTTTTCGCAATTTTTAAATGCTTCACTCCAAATAATCGTATCTGGATTTAGAAATTCTATTCGCACTAAATTATAGCAATTCTCAAAACTGAGCGTTTGTATTTCAGTAATATAGGGTGTCCAAAGGTGCGTTTAGCACAGCGCTCTATATGAGACTATTAAAGGAGATATATGCTGATTATAAATATATAATAAAAAATATGAATATATGTATATGATGAGTATGTTGTATTTTGGCGCCATGCCGGGATATAAAATGAATTTTGAGACAAGAGGCGGTTTCGCGGGAAATTTTGGCGGGATTTTTTTCATTTTTTTAATGAATCATAAAGAAAACATCCTCGCTCTTGCAAAAAAATGCAAAGACTGTAAAAAAATCTACGAGACATTGGTAAAATGCTTCGGTATGGATGCTCCTAGCTATTCCACTGTAACGTATATGTTAGGATGTATCACTTCATGAACAAAAAGGCGCCCATCATAAAAATTGACAAAAAATCGCCGGATCAAAGAAAAATCAAAGCAATTCTTCAAGCGCTAGATGAAGACCCAAGAGCATCACTCAGAAGGATAGAGGAGATGACAAAGATACCACGTACAACAGTCAGTTATTATCTGCACAATTATTTGAACTACAAACTAGCGTATACACGTTGGGTTCCGCACAACCTTAATTCAGTTCAAAAAAAATCTAGAGTCCAATCTTCGAAAGAGCTCCTCTCTATATTGGGTGCGTATCAATCCAAGAAGTTTCGCTTTTTAGTAACAGGGGACGAGTCTTGGTTTCAATATGCAGCAGAAGCCAAAATCATGTGGATCCCGAAGGATGAAAATCCGCAAACATTCCCGAAGAAAAAAATTGACACACCAATGATGATGTTGTCGGTTTTTTGGGGCGTGAATGGCATCATCGCAATTGATATTCTTCAAAAACCTAATACGATGAATGCTCAGTATCTAATTGACAATGTTCTTACTCAAATTATCAATTCTGATGAGTTTGAGAAATCCAAACAACAAAAACAAAAGTTTGCAATTCATTTTGATAATTCAAGAGTTCACAAAAGTCATAAGGTAATGAATTACTTGGTGGAAAACAATGTCAAAGTTGTTCCAAACCCAATTTATTCACCTGATATTGCACCCTCTGACTTTTATTTATTCGGCACGCTAAAAAAGAGAGCTGAAGGACGCGAATTCGCGAGTCCAGATGATCTTGAAAATTTTGTAAGAGAGCAATTTGAGCAATTTTCTCATGATGATTTAAAGCGTGTCTTTCAAGCCTGGATCGATCGCTGCGAACGCGTGATTGAATCCAATGGTGATTATATTTAAATAAACTTTATATATATGTAACTTGTTTATTTCTATTCGCAGTATTCAGGTTTGTGCTAAACACACCTTTGGACACCCTATATTTTTTGGAAAAGTAATATTTGTTATACCACAATTAGAAAACGCATGATCACCTATCGTTCCTAGTGATGATGGCAATGAGTCAAATGTTAATTTTTGACAATTAGCAAAAGCCTTATCATCGATATAATCTATCGTATTAGGGAATGATATTTTAGCTAAATTTTTGCAATTTATAAAAGTTCTATATGCAATCTCTTTCAATAATGTTGGAAGCTGTATCATTTCAAGATTTACGCAATTTGCAAACGCCTCAGACATAATGGTTGTATCATATGATCGAAATATAACTGTTTTTAAGTTGTTGCAATATCCAAATGATAATGTTGAAACTTTTTGTAAATTTTGAGGTAAATCGAGACTCTCTAAGCCAGCACAGTTATAAAATGATTGACTTCCAATCGAATTTAACGAGTCTGGAAATGAAATGGTTTTAAAATCATCTTTATCTTTAAATATGTAATCTGATATCTCTGTTGTACCATTATCAATGATAAGAGTATCTGAATTTGAGTAATATTGCGCTGTTTGTTTAAAAAGAATAAAAATCAATTTAGAAAGAAACGATAAAAAATATTCTTATTCAAGCCGTATGATTATTTTTGATTCAAACTAAATCCCAAAATTTTCTTTAGAATTCCCAACCATTCTATTCCACATTCTTTAATGCAGCAAAATACTGATAAGAGTTGTACTTAAGAGTTTTGCAACTCTACTACATAGATCATGATAGGGAAAATTTGTCCACTATTCTTTTCTCATGTAAAGATGGCTAGTGGGACTTTTCCCAAGAGTAAATAAAAATAATCAAATCCTAGTTCATGTTATAGACGTTCCATTAAACTCCTGATCTTTCATTGCCAAAATAGTTTATTTTGAGCTTTCTAAAAAAAAACTTTGGAAAAGTAACTTTTTCCCTTTGACCTGCAGACATAGTGTTTTTAAGATCAAAAATTTTGGGCGAACGTGGAGCTCAGACCTCTCGCGTTGCTCAAGCCATCGCTCCGCGTATGCATATGAAACTAAAATGTAAATATTTTAGCAGATATGATGAAATTTTTCGTTTTTGAAAAACAAAAATGAATTCTATTCCATATGTAACATTCACCATGAATTTCATACCGAAAGCTTCGCTTTTTCTCAATTATAATTTCAATTAAAATATTTGAATGAATTTGAATTCACTTTCAAAAAATGAATGAAAAGCTGGTTTCTATTGTCATTTTGAATATGAGTGGCAGCGTATTGTTCAGCCCCATACAAATTGGTCCACTAAAGCTCAAGAATAGGATCATGAGATCACCATGTGTTATGAATGATAGCGACAATAATGGATTCCCGTCAAATAGATTGCTTTCATATTATAAAGAATTAGCCATTGGAGAAATGGGTTTGATAACATCAGGCGGTGTTTATGCTACAAAAGCTGGAAAGAATTGTACTCAAATGGCAGGAATTGAAACGGATCAACACGCAGAGGCTTGGAGATCAACAATTGATTTCATTCATAGTAAGGGATCTAAGTTCATCTTTCAACTGGCAGATTCAGGTGAAGCCACAACATCTGATATTTCTTGTTCGCAACCAAGAGGACCTTCAGGGTTATTACCGAATTCAAGGATGATGTCCACTGCAGAAGTTGAAGAATTTATAGAAATATTCATCAATGCTGCAAACCGTGCACAAAATGTAGGATCTGATGGTGTTTGTGTTCATGCTGCCCATGGTTTCATGATTTCTGAATTTCTTTCACCACATTACAATAAAAGAACAGATAAATATGGTGGAAGTCCAGAAAACAACAGAAGGATCTTGAAAGAAATTGTTGAAGGAATTCGCTCAAGATGTGGAAAAGATTTCTTGATAGCTACTAAGATCAATGGTGCTGATCAATGTGAGAACGGAATTACTGCTAAAGACTTTGTTCAAAATGTATTAAATACACCAGGATTAGACATGGTTGAAGTTTCCTGTGGTTTCCAAAATGATGCTGGATGCAGAACACCTTCGTTTAAGGGCATCAATGGAATCAGATTTAAACCTGGTTATAATCTTGATGAAGCTCTTGAATTAAGAAAATTTTCTGATATCCCAATTGCAGTTGTTGGTGGATTCAGGAAATTAAAGGATATGGAAGAAGCAGTAAAGAAAGGAATCCAACTTATTTCCCTTGGAAGACCAAGTATTTGTGAACTGCATATTGTCAAGCATTTAATAGAAGGACACGGAAGCAAATGCATTTCATGCAATCAATGCGTTAATGCACTTGCAACGGGTATGGCTAAATGTTGTGTGTTTTAACATCTTAACGAAATAAACATTTTTTCCCTTTCTTTGATTCATACATTGATAATAAATAACAAAAAATTGGATCTCCCAGTACAATTGATGTGATTGTCACTTTTCAATATGAAACTACCATTTCTTTAATTTAACAAGAATATATTACTATTTAAATCTTTGCTTGCAAGATACGGAAAAGGACTTGTTAATCATGGCTATATTTCAATTTATCAGAAACAGAATCTTGTTGACAAAAATATTAATGGATTACCATACTTATGCGAGCACAATGATAGTAATATCTGGTTCATATACACTAAACCGGATAATTACATGTTAATTGATTTAAAATCTCAATATTTGATTACAGGTATGAAAATTCAAGGGACTCTGCACAATGAAACTGGCACTCAATGTTATCCATGGGATTTCTGTCCACCAAGCTATGCATTAGAGTTTTCAAACGATAATAATACCTTTTATTCTTTATTCCAGGAAAGCGATTCTAGACGAATTAATTCTTCAAATTCAGAAACTGAATATTTTTTTGAAACAAAAGGTTACTTTAGATATTTTCGGCTAAGAGAAATTTCTTTTGTATATAATTCTGCTATCCATGGTCAATACCTTAAATGGCTTGATTTTTATGTAAATTCTAATATATGTTCTGCTTGTAATAAGCCATACTTTCAATTTAGTTTCTTTTATTTGTTACCTTCCTCAATAATTTTTACTTTCGAGTAAAACATAACTATTAAACTATCTTCGTAACTTATTTATGAGCTATTTTGAGAAATATTGTTGCATGCTAAGATCAGTCATAATGTAAACCTCTCAATTTTATTGTCGTGGGAAGTATCTCAATTCCTTCAAAAAAATTGAAAAACTATTTAATTTTAAAAATATAATACTTTTAATTAGTTAATTAATTGGAGATATTTTTTAAAAAATCACTTTTGATAATACTTTTGAGAACTTTAATTAAAAAAATATATTCAAAAATATCCAGGATATCAAGAGGGAATTGTTCCTTATGAGGTATATAGTTATGATGTATACCTCATAAGGAACAATTCCCTCCTTAAAACGAGAAAACTTGTTCGAAATTGTTTATCATTTCGAACAAGTTTTCTCGTTTTTAATAAGAAACTAAAGGCTATGAGGCACTGATTATATATTAGTGCCTCACAGACTTTAGTTTCTAATAGATAGCTGGGAAACTTTCTCCAAATGATAAGTTATTCAGAGAAAGTTTCCCAGCTATCAAGAGGGAATTGTTCCTTATGATGTATATAGTTATGATGTATACCTCATAAGGAACAATTCCCTCCTTAAAATCGTAGACATTTTTATACTTATTAATCAACCATTCAAAATCATATTCCTCTGAAAAGTTATTTTATTAAAAATTTAGAATTTTAATAAATATAGAGTTTGAATTTCATACAATACCTATATATTTTCAATAATGGAATTTGAAAACCATTCTCAAAAGTTCTCAGAAAACCTTTTTTCATTAATTTTAAGAAATCTGAGTATTAAATTAAGTGATAAATTCGTTTGACACTACTTTAATTTTTAAATTCAAAAAATTATATGTGCTTCTTAAAATGACTCAAAAAATTTTATTATAAAATAATATATAATATTAAAAATCCCACAACATTTTTTTACTTTACATAATCGTACTTCCTCAACGATTAATTTCCACTCAATTTCTATCGTTGACCGAACTTAGCATGCAACAATATAAGTATTAATTTAACCATTTCGACTTTAATATTTTCTAATTTAAAAATCTAACTCAGTTAATTGAAAAACGAAGAATACAACTATGGTTTTACGGACTAGATGGCTTAGAAGAGAAAGTATTGTAGTTAGATTAAATAATTTAAGTATTTTCATAATATTTAAAAGAAAATCGTGATTATTTTTGTAAGAAAAATAAAATATTAAAAAAATTTACTTTCCGAGAGCAAGGGCACGGAATTCAGCATAATCAATCTTTCCATCTCTGTTCTTATCTGCTTCGTTAATCATTCGACGAACAACTTCTGCAGATGAGTCGAGACCTAAGCTAATTAATAATGAACGAAGTTCGTTTGGTGTAATAAATCCATCTGTATCACGATCGAAAACTCTGAATGCTTCTCGAAGCTCATCTTCGATGTCTGACTGTCTCATTTGACGTGACATCAAAGCAAGGAACTCTGTAAAATCGATAGTATCATTACCGTCGGCATCAACCTCGCGGATCATATCTTGTAATTCGTTAGCTGTTGGAGACTGGCCAATAGCTCTCATAACTGCTGCAAGATCATCAACTGTGATAACTCCATCACCATTTCTATCAATAATGTCGAAAGCTTGACGGAATTCCTGAATTTGGTCTGCAGTAAGGGTTTCCACCATTTTGTAAATTCTTTGAACCGTTTACAATTTTGACATCATAGATTTCAATATGTATCATATAAATTAGGGCCTTATGCTAATACAAATATTATTGCTCCTTAAAAAGATCGGAATTCCATATAACGTTTTTGCTCAATTCATTGAAATCTCGAATATACAACAATTTCAATCAAATCAGATATTGGAAAATGACAACATACTCGAATTGAATACATTATGAAAATATGAACTTATGTTTTCATATCCTTTTTTGGGATATCTCATTCAATTGCAACTTCTATTTGCACACGATAAATAAAACAATATCTCAATTTGAAAATAAATTTAAACAACAATTTAAAGATTATTAATATAAAAAAAAGTAAAATTATAATTGAAGTCTACGAATTTCGGAGTCCGTAAGTCCAGCTTTAAGGGTTCCAATATCATAAACTTCTTTTGCAGCTAATCTAACAAGTTCAAACCTTAATCTTTGAGCAGCTTCAACATCACTAGCAGCCTTTCTCATTTGTTTCTGCAAATCTCCTATTTCTGTTCTAAGTTCTGCTTGTTTATTAAGTGCTTCTTCATTCTGTTCTATCTTTTGTTGACGTAATTCAGCTAATTTCCTATTTGCTTCTTGATTTCTCTTTTCTAGCAACTCTCTTTCTTTAGCATTCTCTTCTCTTACTTGTTTCAGTTTTGCAAATGTATCTTCATGCATTTCTTGTGCCTTCTTTGTTACTTCTTGTTCTGTAATAAACTTAGCACATTCTGAAACAGAAGAACCGGTGTAACCAAATTCAATTCCATCTTTAATGACCAAATCAGCATCACTTCTCAAACTATCATATTTCCTAACTAAATCATTGAGTGCGGCAGTGACAGTTGCTGTAACTTGAGGGCTTAAAGGCAACAAGAAATTAACATCTTTCTTGTTTTTATGAGTAACAATTGCAACAATTGTATTTATAAGTTCTTGTGTCTGTTCCAAAGCGTTCTTAAGAGAAGATGTTGCTGAAGGAACTGCTGACTCATCGTTTGCACCTGTTATCTTCATCAAAGAATCAACAAAATTAGCATGACATCTTTCTAATTCTAAAGATTTAGCTTTTTCTTTTTGCAATTCTTGAACTAAACTTTGGACACCATTAAATATAACATTATCATCTGGAGAATTAATATTCAGAAGTCCACCAATCTGTCCTAATAACTGCGCGTGCTGATATCTTTCTGCTGTGAAATCTTCTGTGACTTTTTTAACAGCTAATGGAATTTCTTTTTCTTCAGTTGTTTTTACGATTCCTCCCAAAGCATCAACGAAATTCGTGTGCATAGAAACATGTTGATTCAAGTCTTGTACTAATTTATTAAGTGCAATTGGAAGATTTTCTTCTTCTTTAGTTCCTAAAACTGTTCCTAATTGAGTAACTAAACTCATTCTCTTTTCTTTTTCTTTCTGCAAATTGTCTTTGAGTTCTTTGATAATTCTTGGTGCTGTTTCAGGAGTTGCTCTTGGATCTGCTTTCAACAATTCAGTCTTTAAGTTTTCAAGTGATCTTTCTTTGGCTTGTAACTGTGTGATTTGGGAAACAATCTGTTTCTGGTCTCCACTCGTTAATGCTCCTAAAACAGTTGCAATTGATTGTTGTCCTTCCTCAGCATTTGCAAGTTTTTGTGTCAAGTTCTTAATTGTTTCAAGGATTTTAGTTTCTTTTGGTTCATCGCAATGAACAGCTCTACATAGATCTCTTATAAATGTTTCTCTATTTGTTTTGGCAGCTTCTAATTCATTGTTAATTGTTGTCAAAGCTTGTGGTAAAGCTTGGAAAGAAGTTGCTCCAGGAAGAATTGCAGAAACTTGTTTCTGTATAATATTCATTTGCTGCTCGATTTCTTCTTTCTCTTGTTTGATATCATCGATTTGTTTAAGCATATCTTTTTTGGCTTTTTCATATTTTTCAGTATTTTCTTTCTCTTTTTGCAAAACTTCATTTATTCTCTTGATTTCGTTTTCTTTATCAGAAATGATATGTTGCAATTGCATTTGATCACTTTTCTCTTTTGCAAGAGCAACAGGAAGATTCTCAGGTAAATCAAATTCAACAAATGACTTCGCTTGGTTCATAATATGCATCAATTTTGCATTTTCACCTTGAATTTGCGAAACTTTTTGTGACAAAACTTCTGGAATTTTTTCATAAGAAATTGCTTCTATTTTTGTTGTTGAATTTTGTGGTAATGCATTAGGAGTATTTGTTGCAAGTGTTGTTCCTATTATACCTTGTAAAGAGTTAAATATTGACTTCTTCTTCTCGTTTTCTGAGTTCAAATCATCTTTTTCTTTTTGCAAATTTGAAACTTTTTCTGATGCAGCTGAAAGAGCTGATGTAATTTCTTTAGCCAAAGAAATTGATGTTGGTGGAGAAGAATATACAGGTAACTTCAACACATCATGCATAAATTGTTCATATTTAGTTTTGGCGGCTTTCATTTCTTTGTTGACACTTTTTAGTTGTTCAACAGCTGCATTTTTAGTATCAACTAAAGATTTGACATCAGCAAGAAGATCAGCCTTTCCTGGATTGTTCTGAGGTACCAATTGAGCAATGTCTTCCTTTAGCTTTTGTAATTCATTTACTTCATTTGTTAAATCATTCACTTTTTTGAAAGTATCACCTAAAGAACGACTTTGCATTTGATTTCTTCTATCCATGTCAGTAAGTTTTGCATTGAACTCTTCTTGTTGTTGGTTAATTGTACCTGTAAGTCTATCATTCTGTTCTTTTAATTTTGTCTCGTATTCTGCTGCTTGGCCGAGCATTTTTGATTCATAATCTTCCATTTGATTTTGTAATTCTTTTTTATAATTCTCTACTTGTTTGTTGAGTTTAGAATTTTGGTCTTGAAGAGTCTGCATAGCTGTATCATATCTTGATTGTTGTTTTGACATTTCGTATTTCAAGTTATCATGTTTTGAATTCAAATCAGCTGCTTGTTTTCTCGCTGAAATGATTTCGGATGAAAGATTTTTGTTCATTTGCATCTGAGAATCTAATGATTGTTGGAGAATATCATTCTTCTGCTTATGTGCTTCAGCTTGCAATGTTAATTCATTGAGTTTTTGCTTTGTTTGGGCTAATTCTGTTTTAGCAGTATATGCATCGGCCAAAGATGACTTTAAATTAGCGATTTCATCGCGTCTCTGTCTTAGATTGTTATCTTGTTCCGAAATTTGGGCTCTGAGATCTCCTATTGTTTGATCTTTATCTTGAATCATCGATCTCATTTCACGAGATGCGCTAATATACTTTGTTAATTTAATTGCTTGTTCATTTCGCTTTTGATGCTCTTCAGCGATAGTTTGCTTATTGGATTCTTCTCGTAATTCCATTTCGCTAATCCTATTTTTTGCATTTTCTAACTCTACTCGTAATTTAATTGCTTCTTGATCAATATTATACTTATCCCTCCTGATTTCTGCTAATTGCTTCTGTAATAACTCATTTTCATTCGTTAGAAGTTGATGAGTTGACAATGCAGATTGAGCTTTAAGAAGATTTTGCTCTGTATCATGCTTCATTTTAACATAATCGTTGTCTTTTTCAGCAAGTTCGAGTTTTAATGTAGTTATTTCCTCTATTAAGAGCTCTGTCTTGAGATTTGATGCATCATTGTCTAAAGTAAGTGAACTGAGCTTATTTTTATGTATTTCTAGTTGATTTTGATCTATTTTGAATTGAGTTTTGAGTTTATGATATTTGTCTGCCTTTTTTTGGTATTTAAGTTGAAGATTTTTGAATTGCTCTGTTTGATTCTTGTCCAATAGCGAACCAGAGTCAACTTTAGAGCGTAAAGCAGATATCTCTCGATGTAATTTTATATTTTCATTTGATAACGTATCTGCATATTCATTCGACTGCTTTAATTGCAATTGAAGTGCTTGGATTTCTGATATAAGATCGTTTCTTTCTGTGATCATGCCTTTATAATTCCGCAATTGCTCTCGCTTTTCTAATATTTCTTTTGTTAACTCGTCTTTCTCGAAATTCGCTTGTTGTAAAGCTTCCCTAGATTTGATAAGATCAAACCTAGCTGAGTACAACTCTGCATGTTCGTCAACATCAATTTCTTTAGGCTCCTTCTTTATATTCTTGGAACCCTTCATTGAAATTACAAAATTTTGCACTATCTGCTGGAAATATTTCAAATAACAACTAAGATTTTAAAATAACATCAAAATACCTGTACAAATAATTTAATAACGTGCGGAAATATGATGAATATTAAATTGAGCAATATCCAAAATAAGATTTAGACATTTAGAATAAAGAAATTCTATATATTCTAACTCAAATACTTTTAAAATACTTTCGTATTAATGCAGTGGAATATGCTTTTTGACCTAAATACAATTTGAAAGTATATATAGGTATACAAATTAAAGTTCATAGGATCTATAATGTGCCAATCTCTCTCCCCCCAAACAAAACATCAATAAGCAATTTTTATTTATAAGTAGATTATAATTTTTTTTTTATGAAGTATTGGCACCATGAGAAAGAAGAATTTCTTGCATTTGTTTAATTTTCCATTTTTTAGCTTGGTCAAGTGGAGTTTTTCCATTTTTATCTTTGACGTTGATAACTGCACCATGAGAAATTAGAATTTCCGCTATATCTGGCAAATTCAACTCAGCTGAATAATGAAGAGCTGTCCATCCACTTAAATCTTGAATGTTTACATCTGCACCATTTAAGATGAGGTACTCAGTCATTTCTTTACTTTTAGATATTACTGCAAAATGCAGGGCAGCTTTTCCACCAATATTTTGTGCATTAATATTGATATGATTCGAAACAAGCTTCATAGCTATTTCTATGAAATTTTTTGCGCAGCAAAATGAAGTACATTATATTCATTATTATTTGTTGAATGAATATCGGCACCATGTGAATAAAGCAATTCGAACATTTCAATATTATCCTTTTCTATTGCACGAAGAAGAGCTGTGAATCCTTCCTTATCTTTGGCATCAATCTGCGCTCCGTTTGAAAGAAGAAATTCTATTTTTTCTTTTGAGTTTTGTTGTACTGCATAGTGAAGGGCTGTAGCTCCCCATATATCTCTTATATTGACATCAGCACCATTTTCTATGAGTAATTCCATCATTTCTTTATAATTTTGGTTCATTGCGTTGATGAAGGCCGTTCTTCCATATTTTAATTGTACATTAACATCCGCACCAAGCGAAATAAATACTTGTGCGATTTCAATATTGTTCCTTTCTACAGCATATTGTAATACTGTCTTTTCGCCATTGCCTTTTGCATTGATATTAGCCCCTTGATGAACCAAATATTTATAAAGAGACAGAATATTAAAACTAAGAGAATGAAATAATATTTCATTAATATCATTTGCTTGATCAAAATGAACAAGAAAGGCTTTAAGATTATGATAATAAATACAATCATTTACATCAATTGTCAACTGTTTTTCATACATTAAAAACGTAATAAAATCAATGTTGTGTGAAATTATTGCATATTTCATACATTCTTTGTCCGGTTCTATTTTTTTAAAACATTTGCTCATGATGTCTGCATTTCCTCCTAAAAATGACAATTCAAGGCATCTTTTAGTGATTACTACTTCAAACTCTGTTATCAAATATTTAAAACATTGAACTGCACCAAAATAACAGCATTTTTCAAGTAATGAGTATCTATCTAATAAATATATTCCCCAATCTGTCATTTGATGTTCATCAAAATCATCACTTTCTGTTATCGAGATAAATGATTTTATATCATCATAAGCAATAGCTTTGAACATACTGTTATTTTCAAGGGTATCAAAAACTTTCCTATTTGTGCTATATTAGAAATATACTCCAAACTTTTTCTGAGCTTTGCTCAGAAAAATTGTTTGGAGTATATTGGAATACCAATCACTTCAAATTGTTTTGGGCATTATGATTTCTTTGAAAAAGGGACCCAAAAAATTTGAATTGATGGGTATTTATATTTATGGTCAAATTTCTGGCATAATATGTAATATGATTTGTAATAAGAATAATTATATTCATTAATGCTCTCTATTATCTTAATAATATCTTTTGTCGTCAATATATGAGTGTCGATCAAATTAGTCTTTATAGTTTGGAAAAGTACTTCGATTTCTTCTTTATTCGTTTTCAGTCGATACAATGAATTAAATGGTTCACTATAAAACTTAAATTCACTTAATGCTTCAAAGCAATTCCCAGGTATGTGAGAATCAGTTGACATTAAAAAAATTACGACTTTATATTGGCGTGCAGCACCGATAAATTTTACAAAAATCAAAATCAAAACTAAATCATACCAATGGGAATAGTAAAATATTTTAGCTGCATTCCATTGCGGTTACAGTCCTTAAATAGAGCATAATGTTAAACTTACGATATTCATTAAGAAATTCTACAAGAAATTCATTCCTTCGAGTTAAAAGAAAAAGTAACGTCTATTTATTCGAATACCCATGTGATTCAAGAACATATTGTGAACCATATGAGATTGAATTGCCAGTTGGTGAATGCAAGGTTGAATTATGGGGTTCCTCAGGCGGCGATGCCAGAGTCAAGAATAAACCCCAACTAATAAAACGAAGTGGTGGAAACGGCTCATATGTGAGCGGAATTATCCACATTTCACAAAAAGTGAAATTATACCTTTATTTAGGTGGCCAAGGCGAAGACCAAGCATCCGTGAATGAACTTCAAAATGCTTCCCTCGGAGGCTGGAACTTCGAGGGCAAAGGAGGCATAGATACTTTCGAATATCATGATGTGAATAAATTAGTTGAAGAAAGAAACACTCCTCCTGAGAATGGTGCTGGTGGTGGCGGTGCTGTAGATCTTAGATTATATTACTATGATATAAATTCCGCCCCCATTGATAAAGATGAATTGCGAAAATCGATTGAGAGCAGAATAATCGTCGCGGGTTCAGGCGGCGGTGCAGATTCAGGAGAAAAACCATACGGATATCCAGGTGGTAAGCTATCTGCGAAAAGCTTAACTCCTTACCTATTCGGAGGGAACCAGACTAATGGAGATCTTGGGGTTGGAGCAGATGGAATCTCCTCAGATGATAATCAAGGGGCTTCAGGAGGTCACGGAAGCGGATTTCGTGGCGGATATAACACATTTGATAAGACCAAAACTACTGGAAGCATATTCGAATGGGGAGGTACGGGAGGAAGCTCTTATATCAGCGGACACTTTGGGTGTATTAGTCCTAATTATCCTCCAGGAACAGAACCAAATCAAATAAATAATATCCACTCTTCAAAATTTTATTTCACAAATACTGTGATGAAAAGTGGAGATGAAGCAATGCCTGACCCATTCAGCGATGATTTTGGAATAATCATTGGCCATGTAGGCAATGGAATATGTAGAATTACCTTTCTTGTCAATCCATTTTGCCAAACATGTTATACAAATTTCCCGATGTCATGGTTTATTTATACTCATATATTCATGTTAGTTTGTCCATCTTTTGATGTGTAAATAGTAAAGAGTTATATAAATAACAACTTTAATAAGAGACCATCAGCTAAACTAACATTTAAGGTATATATATAACTCACACCTTCAGATTATGTGTTGTCAATTTTCAATCCTACAATTTTATATAAAATATTTCGACATGTTTTCCGTGGCTTCATTGGTTTTGTTACATCTGCGACTTCCTTTTCGTGTGACTGAATATATATAGATTTGGAATGTTCATTAACATAGGAGTTTGCAGAAGATTAAAGAAATTGTTTGCAATTTTGGACAAGATTATAAAAATTATAAAAAAAATTTATACAAACAAAAAAATTTACATAACAACAATATGTTCTATAGAACAAAAAAATCAAAATTACAAAAAAATTAAATAATCAAATTGAATTCCTCTTTGCTTTGTACATCTGGTAGACCTTATCAGAGCTCTTACTCTTCTCCAAAACTCGTGGAGTTGATTTCATCACGCTCCACATCACGAAAACTGTCCAATGAACTAATGGAACCAAAATCTCGCAAGGAACGACCAATTCTAAGTTGATTGGGCCAACATTTTCATGAGAAATAGTATCAACGCGACATAATCCGTTTCTCAGAGGTTTTATCCGAATTAATGCGATTATATCTGGCATTTTCAAGTCGCTCGTCAATATCTGTATGTTTCCCTCGTTCCATGCAATTGCTATTCTGTTTTCCGATATGATTCCGAGGTCTTTCTCCTCAAAAAGTGAAACAATTTGGAAACAACACTCTAATCTCGTTGTTGACCACATAACAAATGGTTTTCTATCGCTGTCGTCAACGTATTCCTTCTGTTTACCAAGGCTTTTAACGAAATTCATGAATTCCGGTGAAGTTTCGTTGTAATCCAAAGAATTTCCTCGGAAAAACACGGAAATATCGAGATGATAGCCGTAAGGGAATGGTGGGAGTATCTCTGGGATATCGGAATTGCCGATATTATTGAAGATCTCGAGTAAAAACTGAGAAATATCAGTTTCATTCTTCAATTTGTAGTGAAAACAACCCTGTGTGTCGTTTTTCGTGTACAAATCAATTGTATTGTCTATTGGCTGTCCGAAATATACTGCAGAGTCATTATTTATCCGAATAAATTCTTCATTTTGTAAATCTGTCACTTTTTTGAAAATTTTTTCTTTTCCTATGTTTTTCAATAAGTAACAGCTTTCTCTTCTTATGATTTCGTTGATTCCGTCATCGTCATCCTTTTCGATATAGAACCTAGCAAGCAATTCTGTCCTCTCTGCTTTGTCATCTGAGAAAATGATGTAATCAGAGAGAGCTTGAAGGGCTGGGAAGAAGTAGTCACCGGATAATGGCTGTCTGCACAAGAAAAACTTCAGTTGCTGTATCAAATTACTCGTCTTTTGCTTCTTATTTACAAATTTGATCATATACGGAACAATTGACAATATATGAGCAACTAAAGGTAAAGGATCGTTCTGTACAGTGAAAGAGCATATGATAGCAATCAACGAATCAGTGATATTCCTATCAATTAAGCATTGTTTTATCAAAATCACGAAAGCGCAACAAACTAACTGTACATCAGTCGTATTTACCCTAGGCACAAATTCCTTGAGGTGGAGAAGGCACTGCCTGTCAAGTTTGTCCTTCCCAAAGAATTTTCGGATTTGATCAATTGTCACTTTTTCAACTAAATTTTTGTAAAAATCTAAAATTTCATTTAGACTTTGAGATGACGGTTGTTTGATGATCGTCATTGTAGTAATGAACGATATGTATCTTAAATAATGCTCGTGGTAGTTATTTTTGGCATCTTCGAGCATAGATATGTAAGATTTGCAAGGTTGTATGAGTTTCGTGATAACTAAAGGCATCATGAGGAAGGAGAATGGTTTTCCAGCTATTATCTCGTCAATGGCGAACTTAATCAGGTCGTGGGACACTTTTTCTTGTGAAATTGGGATAAATTTTATCAAAAACTTGACAATTTTGAGGTGAACTTCCCTTTTCATAATTTTATTTGTGTCCGGTAACATATAACAAGTTTTTATAGCGGTGAAAACTTGTTCTAAGGACTTGTTCGGTATCACTGAGAAGGAGTCGAGGAGATGGCTCAATATAGAGTAGAAAATCTGCTTCATTTCGGATGAACTCGAAATTTGGTTGTAAATTTGCAGAACTTTTGGCGAACTTTGGAAGTTTGTCACGGAATCTGCGACATTTAGGTACTCCATGAAGAAAGAAATAGCACTCTTCTCATTCCAATTGTCAGCTGTCAAGTTAAAGTAAAAAATTAAGTTTTGAATTTCGGAATTTCCTCGAATTTGCTTCGAAAGACCTCGTTCGTACGAAACACTGTTGATTTTGATAGGTGACTGCATGTATGGAAGCACTGTAAAGAAGTATTGTGAGAGAGTTAAAGCAATTTGAGATGATATGCTGAGAAAGCACTGATTTATCATTTCATTTGTATTCTTCGTGCCTTGTAATGTCTTAATGATGCTTCCCGAATCAAGTTTTTTGGAATCAAACGCTGACATCGAAAATATTATAATTGATAGCGGAATTTTTGTCTTAAATCGCATCGTAAGTAGTAATTGGATGATAGATTCGCAGGTTTTAACAAGATCCGGTTGAACTATCGCGTAATTGTATAATAATCTGAAGGTAAGTAATAATTGAAGCAAAGGAGACAAAATCGGGAGAATTTGACCATGCTGATCGTATACGCTTTCATATTTATGTGTATATTGAACGATTGTACCGAAAATAAATATTAATAAAACGTGATATAATTGTTGTAAGTTATTTGTTGAATCTGCCAACAGAGGAAGGTAATTTTCCAAAGAAGGAGAAAATTTGCAGTCGAACCATGATAAAATTTCGTTCATAGGGACCTTCTGTTTCATTAATAATCCGATTTGTAATGCAAACTGGTCAGCATTTGGATCTAATTCATCAAGAGATCTTTCAAGTGGTCGCCTGCAAGTAATAACTATAGGAAATGATGTCAAAAAGAACTTACAAAGCACTTGTGCGTCAGAAAATTGATCTGATTCATCAAGAAGCTCCAGAGAGTTCTGTATTAAATTCTTCATGCATTCTAGCGGTTCAAGATCTCCTTTATTTGTCAAGAAAGGCCATAATCCTGCATTTACATCGATAATATTTGAAAACATTTTCATAAACTCAGTAGAAATGCGTCGTATTATTTTGTTTTTCGAGGCAAGGAATCTGAATATGTTTGGCAAAATGTGCTGGATCAAAAAATTCCACCATAATCTGATAGTTTCTGGAGGAGACTTTAAATCAATCAATTGGATGAGTGAAGATATCTCACGCAACAGGTCGTCCGCGGAAAATGGTATACAGTTCTCCAATTTGATTACAGGGTATTCGAAAGATAATTTGTCTCCTGGGAGAAGGAAAGCGAGTTGGAAAACCAATGGCCAAGAAAGAAGATTGATTGCATGAGTTATACAATATTTGAGTATGCTCAAAACAGTTTCCCAAGCTAAATCTCGAAGATCTCGATCCATTGTTGGAACAACAAGAAGATTTAGACAAATTAGCATCTTATCGCCTGAGTCTGGTATAAATTGTGGAAATCTGGTAACAGCATCCCTCATGTAAACAACAGAAGTCAAAATTTTTTCGTTGCTTGAAACGTTAGTTGACTTTCCAATTGTATCCATGAGATACTGATATATTTTGTCAATGCTATCCAGGAGTACGCGTAAATTTTGATCATTTAATGACTCATTCCGCGTACTCATCAAAAGTGACAAATCTGAAATCTGTTTCACAAAAAAAGGAGAGGAATAATATAAGAAAAATAAAAGTCTATTAGTAAGCACGCCACATCTGCTATTTTTTGTTGATTAATTTGAGGGGGAAAAACATGGAAATGCAGATCTTTGGATACAAATTGACAATCCAACAAGATTACTAATAGAAAAATTATTCCTGTAATGAATGCAATCCCATAAATTGTTTGTAATTGGCCAATTGCAATTCCAAATTTGGGACGTTCAAATTAGATGTTTAAATTAGGTTTTGAAGGGATTTATAAATGACATTTTACCTATTTGAGAGCATTGCATTTCATAATATCTTAAATATCCTTGCAAATAAGTAAATTAATGAATAAAATCAAATTATTTTTGTAGATGATAAAGATAAAATGTATTTAAACAGTAAATTTTATCATAATAAAAAGAAAGAATTAGAAAAACAAACAGAAATAATAATAAAAATAAAATTAATGAGTGTTCATTCTTTTTGCTTTGATTTCATCGACTTGTCTTTGAGCATCAGCAAACTGCTGTGCAAGGTTTGTGAATGACTCTTCAATATTGTCAACTCTTGTATGCAAATCGTCAATTTTCTTCTCATAAGCTGAAAAATTGTCATTTGTAGTCTGACTTGATGCTGATTGCTCGCTCATGTCATCAAGATTGTTGGAAGATTGAGATCTGTGCTTCAATGCCCTCTTTTTGACAGCTTTCTTGGAATATGTGACAATAAATCTTCCTTTGTGGACTGTATTAGCTGGATCTTCCGCTGATTCATTGGCATCCTCTGATTTTGATGGGGAAACTGTTTTGTCAGGACGAGAAGCATCGTTTTTGTTAGTTTTGTCACAATGTATGAATGTAGCAGCGATTTGTGACCATTCTGGGGTTTCTGAGGTTTGTTCTTTGATGTGGGGATGAGATACTTGATAACGCTTGTAGAGAGGAGGCATATTGCTCATCAAAACTGATGATACGTATTTTGCGCCTTTTGACTCTTTAATGAAGGAAGATTTGAGGAGATCCTTTGCAGACAATCTCTTCTTCTGGTCGGTGTTGAGGCATTGCTTGAGAAAATCGATGAATTTAGATGAATAAGTTGGATTTTGGTCGCTTTTGAGGAAAGACGTTTCTGGAGTCTTGGAAAGAATTTCCTTTGTAACATTCATCTCATCTGTGCCACAATATGGATGATGTCCTGTAGCTAATTCGTAAATAGTAATTCCGAAACTCCAAATGTCAGCTTTTTCAGTATAGCCGTTATGGAGAGATACTTCTGGAGGAGCATATGCTGCAGGTCCGTTATAAGTGTTAGAATAACGAGCCTTTGCACGATGACCTCTCATAATCAAACTTGTTGTCGATCCGATAGCTCCGACTTTAACGTGGCCATCATTAGACACAAGTATAGTCTCTGGTCTGAGATCGCGATGTATTTGATGCTTTTCATGCCAGTATTGCAAAAATTGCAAAATTTGTTCTGCAATTGAAGCAATTAAAACTTCATCTTGAAATCCATTCATGTATGCGAACTTGAGAATGTCGTGCAATGAGCCACCTTCCATATATTCGTAAAGGAACCATAGAGTTGACCCAGATAAGAAAGAACCATAGTATTGGATTTGATTTTCGTTATCTGATGTTGCCCAAAATGCAACACGCGCACGTAGTTCCTCTAAATCGACAGGAAATGAATCCATATCGATTAATTTTGCGCAAACCAATCTATTGTTCAAGATATTTCTAGCAACCCATACAGTAGAAATATCAGATTCGGCAATTTTATGGAGCAGCTCGTAGTTATTTTTATCGAATTTATAATCCATTTTTTTGATTTAAAAAAAGTGACGAAAATAAAATCAGCCAAAAATTCAGTACTCTGACGAACAAGAATTTCTTTCTCTTCATTTAATACTCCTCTTCAGACTGCTTTATTCATTGTCTTGTCAGGTAATTGTTAAATTTTGACATTTGATCGAAAATGTCCAGGCTTTTGAAGTCAAATGACAGTTCCATTATAATCAACTTTAGATGTTTGTTGATTTTTACTGATAATTTATTACGAAAAATACGAGTATAAAAATAAAATTGAAAAAATCAAAGTTTTTTTAAATAGAAAATCTAATATTTATTTATAAAACTCAATTTACAACACTAGGCTTTGGCGGATCCAATAGTTTTCCAATGTATATTACGACATCCTTTGGAAGAATCTTGAAATAAGTTGTCTTTTTCGCCGAAACCGGGATTTTATTGGCAACTTCCATCATCAAAGTCAATAAGAATGGTTTATCGGAGTTAAACAAATTCCATAACACATTTGTTGCCATAACTCTTATAACTTCATTCACTTTCTTTGGAAGACAATTTAATAACAAATTAAACATCTCTAATTCTCTTCCAACAAATATCACTTCTCCATCATAAGAACAAGCAAATAGATCTAATATATTCTTTGCCATAGCAAACGCACTTTCATTATGTATGTTTCCTTCTAATTTTCTTAAACATCCAATTAAAACTGCCGAAAAAAGTGACAATTGTTCACCAACTCTTTGTTTTACAAAAGATCTTGCGACTTGTAATGCTGTTTTAACGATATTTACAGCGGATGCAGCAGCAGGAGTTTGGTTATCAACAGAAGAGTTAAGAATCAAAATTGAAGGACCCCACATCTGATGAACCATTGGTAATAATTTTTCTTCATCAGAAATTTTTGGCAGAGCAACACAAATTGCATCTAAAGCAGCAGTTTGTTGACTCAAAGATGGTGATAAAATGAAGTGTATGCATCTATCAACGATGTCATCGCATACAGCAGGCATTTTTTCAGCACATCTACTTAACATCCTTAATATCGGCATCTGCAAATTGTCTTTTGTATCCAAGATTTCGAAAATTCTTGGAATGATGTGACTCAACAAATTCGAAACATCTCCTTCAACAGTCAAAATTGCTGAGAAAACAGTTAATATCTCAGGATGAATATCAATGAATTGCAATCTAGCCATTAATCTATCTGTCAAATAATCTGCATTTTGCATTAGAAGTGTTGCGATGTCACCATCTTTTGCTATTTTCTTCAATGCAACATGAGCAGTTTGTTCAACAGATGGATAAGGAGATGCCATGCATTCAATGATTCTCGCGAGCATGTTCTGCATCACGTCTGTGTCACAGTATTGGGAAGTCACTTCTAAAGCAAGCTCTAAAGCAAGAACAGACCTTTTGTCATCTTCTTTCAGATTCCACCATTGTGGTTCTTCAAGAATATCCATGATTAATCTTTCATCTGCCAAACCTTTCAAAAGTCCAAAAATGTAAAAAACTTCAGGAGCACTTGACTTCGATTGATTGAGGATATCAATCAGTACTTCAACAAAAGAATCTGCTGGTAAGTTAATGACAATGGTTTCGAAGGTATTCATCAATAAAGAGGTACTTAAAAATGGCCTTCTATGAACTAAAAAACCGTCATCAACTTCACAATATTTTTTGTCAGAAATTTCGATTTCACTAACAAATATGAGAGCTGTGGCCAAACTGGAAAGTGAAGTGAGTATTTGGTCTTCAAATCCGTTGTTTTTGTCTTTGTTGATCAAAATAATTCCTGAAATTGTTTGTAACAAATTTAAGCGCTTTAAATCATCAGAAAGCTTTGCACAACGTGTTAGATCTATAACGCATTGCTCAAATTCGCCGGAAATGATGATGTCGCCGGAAATTTGTTCAATAATTGGAGATACTGCTTGTTTAACTTGTAATGATTCATCACAGACAGCAGCAAATAAGCAGCGAATGCACGGTGAGATGTATTGCTTCATTATTTCTTTTTGATATGTAATTAAAGTGTTCGCAAGATTTACACGCGAAATTCTGGCTTTCCAATGCTGCATTTCTACGGTCAATATGCGTTTAATCAAGTCTCCGATCTTTGGAGCATCTTGCTCTGTAAATTTGACGTTCGACCATGTAAATTCTAAAATCGACATTGCTTCGCAAAGAATTTTATGGCGAGTACCCTTTGTTTGTATGACAGCTGTCATTGCTACTGAAATTCCTGGCAAGATCATCTTTACATCTGGTCCCATAAGATGAGCACATGAATTTGTAAGAATTAATGCATTTAATCCGTGTATTAAGGTGCTTTTTGTAGCATAATTGATTGATTCTGATACAACATATGCGGCTTCGTTTGGTTGGATTTTATCTGGGATTGATAAATTACAAACTTCTAAAGCAAGATTTCCGATTTCTTCAAAAAGTTCGAATTTTTGCTCGCGAGCACGTATAAGAAGCTGAATCAAGATAGTTACTAATGTAAATTTGTCGAAAAATATATGTAATTTGGCTACGAAGATATCTTTCATGAAAATTAGTATTTTTTCAATCAATGTTGGTGATAGATTTTCTTTATCTAAGAATTGTAATATCGAATTTTGAAAAAGAAGTGAAATATACCCTTTGCTTGTTTCATCAGCATTCGTAAATTGTTCGTAAAGCTTAGACATCAACGGAATTACTTCTTTAACTGCTCTATTTGAGTCAATACCATCAACAATTTCACCAATCAAGTCTGATGAAAGATCCCAATTCATTATTCTTCAAAAATTTCTTATCGTCCTTCAGCCATTTATCTAGGTATTGCTCTAAATAGGCTCATGAATAAAAATTTAATTAGAAAAATGGCTTGATTCGAAGAGGCAATTAAAATTATTTTGATGATTTTCAGTAACGAGTCTATTTCTATTGTAAAACTATTTCTAGCGATTAGAAACGATATTTCTAATCTGATGGAGTAATTATAAGACTATTGAGTAAAATATTCAGAAAATAAAGCAGAAAGATACGTTTCCGTATTAACTCATCATCTTGATTGCCGAAATGAAATGAGTCTCGATGGTGTTTTCTCTGTTTTATCACTTATTTGAGAAGATTATTCTCATTTATTCAATCACATAATAGTTCAAAGGCCAAACTACTCAAAATTAAAAATAGTATGCTATTAAAATGTTCATAGTTAACTATTAATCTCATATTTTGTAAACATAATAACGAAAAGCAATTCATGTGAAGTGCCTGATTTGATCTTAAGCTCGTATGATCATTAGAGCAGGAAGTAGATTTATTTGTTTTAAAAGGGGGGAATTCACTAAAAAAGTAATATTTCAAATATTTATTGTATTTTAGATATCTAATTAGCTTTCTTAGCTGGAGCCGGAGTATCTTTCTTGAATCCGGTCATGTTTTTACGCATTACTTTATCGAGGCTGATTTGAAAAGAAACAACATCATGAGCAGATACAATTGCCGAAATTTTAATTTTATTACCATCTGTAGCACGAACTAAAAGCATAGAAGCGCCAGCTTCTGGAACGCCTGGTAATGTTTTGATTGGGCCCTTTCCTGATTTCTTTACTGAATATTTACCTGTGAAATGCTTATATGTAATATAGACGGATCCGTGTGCGCTGCCATATAATTTGTCTAGTTGAGCAATAAAATCTTTTGGTGAAAGCCTGACCATATTTATAAGTTGTCACTTTTTTGACACTTGCTATTTTCTCAGGTTTCTGACAACAAAAAAATAGGATTTGACAATTCATGCTTAAATATACCGTCTTGTGGCATAATTGCCGAAATGAGCAGTTCTTTATTTGAAATGTCTGAAATTAATCTTGGATTATCGCAAATATAAAATTAGGAGCATTGTGCTGAACCTTTATGAATCCTTTAGATCTTGCCTATATATAAAAACATGTTGAAGACATCGCAAAACTATATACAAGAAATAATCTTGGTTTTCCTCAATTATAAAACAAGCATTGTATCGGGTTCCTCACCAAGATCACTTTCATTTCACTATCACTTATACTTATAGAAAACGGCATAGGAAATTCTGAAAGAGGAGAAAATCCATGACATGCTTTTCTCCAACAACATTTGAAAGAAAGCATCAGAAGAATTTGTTGAAGGCAATGAATCTCTAGCTGCAGGAGATTGCCTTTCGCAATTAGAATAGAATCTAGAATTTAATTTGATAATATAATTCTTGCAATATATGCATAATCAGATCCTTTATAACCTTCTTTCCCATTGAGTGATGCTTATACTTTAATTTCAATTAACAAGGATATTCAATAAAATTTGTGCATAATTTCAAGCATTTTCTTTGAACACCTAATGAGTTAAGCTCGATTGAAATCATTTTTGAAACTTTAGATATCCAGAAGGCAAATAAAAATGATTCAATCTTTTCGGCTCAAAAACACATTTGCTTTTGGACAACATTTGCTAAATGTGTGCAATAATAGTATGTTGAAAAGCAAGCTTTTTCAATCCAAATGTTCGAGAGCGTAATTTATACGTTTCAAAATCTTGACAAGAGCTCACTTGAATTCTATTCAAAATGCCGCCAAATACAATTCAATTTTTGAGACCTTTACGAAATGTAGTAATGATAATGGTTCAATAAAATTATGCCAGAAAAAATCCATCTCTTTCCTAAACTGATGTTCGTCATGAAAAGAGTATTAAAATAATAAGGATTTTTACCGCAAACTCATTCATTTCATGAAATTGATTAAATCGCTGTTTTTTATGATTGAATATTGTTGTTAAGGGTGCACACGAGAGGATCATGTAAACTTCAGAATTTAGAACCTTATTTTTAGGCTCGAAAAGCAAAAAATATCAAAAAATACAACTTGACTCCATTATGACCCTTTCATGGAGGTAGTTTTTATCCGCTAGTATTTTCCCTTTGAATCTCTTTACAATTCGAAATCAAATTCAAACCTCAGTAGAAGAAAGGAAGAATCGACTTACTACGGTTGTAATACGAATAAATACATATATTTAATTATTTTTATTTACATAATAATTGTTTGAAGCTCATATTCCAACAAATTTTTAAATAAAAACATTAAAATGTTGAAAATGTTCATATATTTTAATAGGGTTTTGGCACTTTATTGAGGAATTACTACATACATAGTCGAACTGAACTTGATATTTTGAAATTTAAATTATTTATCAAAATTAAAATTTAACTTGAAATTTATAATTATTTAGTCATATTTTGCATAATTCTAAGTAGATTTTGTAAAAAATCAAGAAAGAAAAATTTTAACGTGCTTTATTTTTTCTTTTTTATAATAATACATATTATTATATAATTAACATATTCATAATGTTTCACCCTTTCAAAAATATAATCCTCCTCCTCTCAAATAAACGTACATACGGGTGGCCTCTTTTTTCAAAAAATTAAAATTTGAAATTTTGGGCTCAAATATTAGAGATTTTTTCAACCTTCAACGATATATGTTGTCTATATCAGACCTCCTTTCTTTTTGATACTTAACATTGTTCCTAAATCTTAGCCGTTAAGGCTGTTCTGAAAATATTTTTTTCGAAAAAATTCGAAAAAAATTCTTAAAATTCAAAAATCCCTTAATTCCTGAGGATTTTGGAAAAAAGTTTTTACATGAACATGTGTATATTATATGAAGTATATTGATAAGGTAAAAATCAAATTTTATTGCATATTCATCGAGAAAATAAACTAACGAATCCCTCAAAATTGAGAGGGTAATCCTCCTCCTCTCAAATAAACGTACATACGGGTGCACCCTTAACTAGTTTCAATAAAAGGATACTATTTGGTCATATTTCTCTGAATTTTTTAACAAATTGAGAGGCAATATGATGGGCCGAATTTTGAGTTTTTTATTTCCTTCATATCAATTCTAATACTATAATTTATAAAAAATTTGAAAAGTGACAACGCAAATGAGCGAATTGGTCGGACATCTTACCTTCTGGGCTGGAGAAAATGACTCAGAAGTAAGAATGTGTAGCTATAGTTCCAAGGTATTGACTGTTTTCAAGAGCAATTCGTATCAAGAAATTGATATCGAAATTAATTTTAATGCTCAAACGAAGATTGATACTTCTCCATCAAAAAAATATACAATAGTCATAATAAGTGATGAAACTACATATCATTTTCAATCAGAATCCAAAGAAACCTTCACAACTTGGTTATCAGTTTTATCCTGCTGCACAATTATCCCAACACCTCTTTCAATAGACGACTTCACAATTCTTGATGAAATTGGAAACGGACAATATGGAAAAGTAAAGCTTGCCAAGAAAAAAGATACAGGCGATTTATATGCTATCAAAACTCTTCACAAACAGAAACTTGTTGAGATGCAAAAGATTCACACGATCATGTGTGAGCGAAATATTCTTTCCAAAGCTTCTTGTCCTTTCATTGTCCAACTTCATTACGCATTTCAAAGCGATACAAAGTTTTATTTGTGTATGGAGTATGTTCCAGGTGGAACTTTATTTGATCACATGCGTCTTTCCGGTACAATTCCACCAGATGCGTTAAAATTGTACACAGCAGAACTAGCAATCGCTCTTCATCACCTCCACGTCAATCACATTGTTTACCGTGACCTCAAGCCAGAAAACGTTCTACTTGACGAAGATGGACATATTAAATTGACAGATTTTGGTTCATCGAAGCAAATTGACGAGTCAGGAACCCTCCATTCATTTTGTGGAACACCAGATTACATAGCCCCAGAGATTGTCGAAGGAAAACCATACACATCGAAAGTTGATTGGTGGTCACTTGGAATTTTGATTTACGAAATGGTTTTCAAGGCTCCACCGTTCTATTCCGTCAATCCAAAACGTACTTACGATAAAATTGTTAACGGAAATATCATTTTCCCAGGAGTTGTTGACGAAAACCTTGTCAGCCTTATCAGAGGCCTTCTTAATAAAGATCCTATGCGCAGATTTGGATATAACGAAGTCATGTATCATCCCCTTTTGTCCGGATTTGAAATCAACGGATTATTAAAGCGAGCTTACACTCCAAACTTCTTACCATCAAGTGCTTCGGCGGAATCTATTGAAGTAATTGATAATTCGATTCGGGATAGCCTTGGAAGTAATGTTGACAGCGAATTTCAAAGAGTTCGCGGTTTTTCTTTCACACAAAGTGGTTTTGAAACCAATAGTTAACTTAATTATTGATATTATACAAGCTTGTTTTTTATCCTACGTATATAGAGTAAATATTAGAATTCTTTTATTTTTTTTTTCTTTTCTTTATAAAAGAATGTGTTTATAAATTTATATGTGTTTATTTCTTAAATTTAAAAGTATCCGTTTCCTTAAAACTGGAGCTTACTGAGACCTTAAATTTGAAAAATATTGATTTGTTTCAGCTCCATCTTAATTAATAAGTGAAAATATGATAATATCGTTTCAAACCACAACATAGCACTTCATAGCTACGGTATCTGATATTGCCTTAATTATTTTTGCTCAATATCACTTCGAATTGTATCCTGCTTTTTTTCAAATTGTAAAAAAAAATTGAATTTTTCAAATTTCTCAAGCTTGCATTCTGGGCACTCATGTGCCCAGAATGCAAAAAGCGCATAGCGCTGATGTTCAATTCGTATTCATTTTAATTATTATTTTCTAAAAATTGAATAGATATTACAAGCTGCTGCATTGAGCCAATTTATTTAACCTCTAGATTCATAAAACTTAAATGAGATAACATTACAGTCTTGTCAAAAAAAATCTTGATTAATACAAGTATCTAGATGAAAATTCTATTTTCATCGGCTTTTCCATTGTAACTGTATCACTTCGTATCCATAGACTTAATCAAAATTCATAAATTATATCCGAAATCTTTATGGCCATTGTTTTCTACATGTATAACTTAGTATTTTTTTCTTCTAATGAATTTAAGGGGTAATTCATATGGTAAAACACAAAGATATCTTTTTTAAAAATTATTAATGTCCGAGCAAGACGTTCATCCAAGCAAATACAACAAATTGCGAAGTATCTGCAAATATTATGTCGATTCATATCTTGCATTGTATCAGCTAAAAACTGAAAAAGAAGAAGAATTAAAGTCAATTTACAAAATGATCAAAACAGAATTGATTGATTCAAAGAAATATCTTCCCACAAATGCTATTGAAGACATTTTATATATCATTCCATTTAACAATCGCTATACAAAGTCATATTTATTTCTTGCCAAACTCATATCTGATGATTACCATATCACATATGTCAACCGTGTTGAAACTATTTCAAACTTCTTATTTTATAAAGAATATGGAATTAAATTATACAAATCTGATGATTTTGAAAAAGTTAACTCAGAAAATCTGGACATTCATACAGAAAATACGATTTACAGGGCCATTATGTATAATGACCTAGAAACATTCATCTCATTCACTGAACAAGAAGAATTTGACAAAGATCAAAGACTTGAAAGCAAATTATATCCAGTCTCTTAGAGAGGACCTTCATTACTTGAATTATGTTGTTACCATGGAGCAGTTGATTGTTTCAAGTTTTTAAGAACGAAATTTAGCTCAGAAATAACTGAAAAATGTCTACAATTTTCATTTTTAGGCGGAAATCCAGAGATCATGAGTGAATGTTTGAAAATACAAGAACCAGATTATGACTGCATGGAATATGCAATTATTTCACACAACATTGACTTTGTTACATTCTTGATGAATGTGTACAATATAGAGATCGATTTATTTTATTGCGGATGGTTTAATAATCTTGAATCCTTTTTAGTTTATTTCGATCAAACTAATGATATAAACAAATGTTTCGTTGATTCAGCGATGTTTGATACCCCATCCCTACTCGAATACTTCCTTTCACATGGTGCGAATATCAATGAAAAAGATAATAATGGAAGAACCGCACTTCATATTGCAGTAAAAATAATTATATAGAAACTGCAGAATTTCTTATTTCACATGGTGCAAATATCAATGAGAAAGATAATTTCGGAGAAACTGCTCTTCATATTGCAGTAAAAAATAATAGGAAAGAAACTGCAGAATTTCTTATTTCACATGGTGCAAATATCAATGAGAAAGATAATTTCGGAGAAACTGCTCTTCATATTGCAGTAAAAAATAATAGGAAAGAAACTGCAGAATTTCTTATTTCACATGGTGCGAATATCAATGAGAAAGATAATAATGGAAGAACCGCACTTCATATTGCAGTAAAAAATAATAGGAAAGAAACTGCAGAATTTCTTATTTCACATAGTGCGAAAAAATAATCTTCTTACATAAGATATTCTTTAGTTTTCTGGTATTTTAGAAGAAGATTTTCTGATTGATAGTAAAATAATCGTTTTTATCTCTTTTTTTGCACTTGAGTTTGTTAGATGTGATGAGTTATATTATATTTATCCTCGTGAAGTTGCACATGAATTCACTGAATACAGTCCACCAAAAATGCACTACATGTTTAGTAAGAGATTCAATCTAGATAGTATTACCCCAACGAAATACAATATGTTGAACAAAAAGCCGACCAAAGTCGACATTTCACAAAATTTGTTAAGCTTCAGATAGAATTGAACTCAAAATACAGGCATATTCAATGGAATAACATTGAAATGTGCAAGTAATTTGCTGAAACATTATTTTTGATTGCCAGTGGAGAATCAATCGTTCATCATGCTCTATTTATGAGAGAAATGCATTCCATTGTAGTATTTTGTGCGGATCTTTAAAAAAAATTAATGCTGTACTTTCGCCTATCTTACTTTAAATTCAAATTTTTGACAACTGGCGTGAAGGCCATGTCATTGGGGTGTGAGTGCACCCTTAATCTTGATTGAGGCCTTTCTTACACAAAACCCCGCAATGTCAAAAAAATTCTGACAAACAGAGTCTCAGAAATTACTCAAAAGGTGATTTTTAATTTCTGCACTTTTTTTATTGTCGACCTTATTACCATAAAAACCAGATTTTATTACCTTGGTGGAATATTTCGCAGCAAATGAATCTATTAAACTATGAATAGCATCATATTGTTGAGAAATGTCTCGGAAGTAATTGGTATTATTACGTTATTAATTCTCATACATTGCTTTTGTGCAAATTTGATAAGTAGTTTCTGATCTCATCACTTAATACATCTTGGACGAATCTTAAAGATACATATTTATATCAATAGAAAAGATATTGCATTCCTTAAGTTTTTAATATTAATTCAAAAATCAGAGACTAGATACATTTGAAAGTTTAATTTTTCATTCATTATTTCTCTTCCATGTATGCACTTTTTGTTATTCGGTTACATCACTTTCTCCCCCAATCTTAACTAATAAAAATCATATTCGAAAATATAAGAAAAAGAATGGTTTATTATATAAGAAAATTATTTGCACCATTCGATATAAGAACTTCGCTGTTAATGAATTATTCTCGGTGCTTTTTCATTAATTCGCACCATATGAAATAAGCACTTTTTCTGCTTTTTTACTACGATTCTGGACTGCAATTTGAAGAGCAGTTAGTCCATCTTTATTTTTTTCATTGATATTCGCACCATGTGAAATGAGAACTTCAGCTGTTTCTGGAGAATTATTCCATGATACAATATGAAGTGCTGTTTCTCCGCTTCCATCTTTTTTATTGATATTCGCGCCATGTGAAATGAGAACTTCGGCAGTTTCTGCACAATTAGAAAGTGCTGCAAGATGAAGTGGGGCTTTTCCATATTCATCTTTTTTATTGATGTTTATGTCATGTGAAATGAGAACTTCAGCTGTTTCTTTACAATTGTAACTTGCTGCGGTTTGAAGTGCTCTATCTCCTGCTTCATTGATGTTTATGCCATGTGAAATGAGAAATTCGGTAGTTTCTGGACAATTATAACGCGCTGCAATATAAAGTGCTGTATCTCCATCTTCATCTTTTCCATTGATATCTGCACCATGTGAAAGGAAGTATTCACAAACAGATGGAATATCAAAAATCGATGAATAAAAAAGGCATTTGTTAAAGTCATTAGTTTGATCGAAACAAACAAAAAAAGATTCAAGATTATGATATTGTCCGCAATGATTTAAATCAATATCTATATTGTACTCATTCATCATGAATGTAACAAAATCAATATTGTGTGAAATAATTGCATTTTCCATGCAATATTTATTTGGTTTTTGATATTTCAAACATCCACTCATGATATCTGGATTTCCGCCTAAAAATGATAATTCTAGACATTTTCGAGTTATTTCTGAGTTAAATTTTGTTCTTAAAAACTTGAAACAATCAACTGCTCCATGGTAACAACAGAATTCAAGTAATGAATACCCTCCTAAGGTAACTGGATATAAATCGCTTTCAATTCTTCGATCTTTATTAAATATATCACTTTCAGTGAATTGAATGAATCTTTCTAAATCATTATTCATAATTGCTCTGTAAATTGTATTCTCTGTATGAATATCGAGATTTCTAAAAAGATCTTTTTCGAAGTCATCAGATTTGCATAATTTAATTCCATATTCTTTATAAAACAGGAAGTTTGTAATATGTGCGACATTGTTGACCTCTTGGACATGATATTCATCAGATATGAGTTTGGCAAGAGATAAATATGACTTTGCATAGCGATTATTATATGGAATGATATCTAAAATGTCTCTTATAACATTTCTGGGAGGATATTTCTTTGAATCAATTAATTATGTTTTGATAATTTTGTAAATCGAGTTCAATTCTTCTTCTTTTTCCGTTTTCAAATGATACAGCGCATTGTATATATCGATATAGTATTTGTAGTTACTTCGCAATTTGCTGTATTTGTTTGGATGATCGTCTTGATCAGACATCATTTATTTTTATAAATTGCATATTTTCTTTTTAATATAATATACCACATAAATTCATTAGAAGAAAGTAAAACTTATGTTAAACATGTGGAAAACAAAAATTTCGGAAAAAATTTCGGAATTCCGAAATTGCATAATATCAATAGAAAAGTCTAGAGAAATATGGTTGCCATCTGGGTTCCTATAAATTATGTATAAATTACTTTACTAGATAAAAGGGGGGGACTTCGTCGTCAACAAAGGTATCGACCAAAATTGTTCCCATTATGCTTGACATATGAAGTATAGTAATAGTCTGTATGGACTCATAGAATGGCTTTCGTTTGATTTCGAGATGTATTATGATCTTCTAAAATATGCCAAAATAGTACTTTGGCTATCATTGATAATACGTGAGGTTGCTACTGTTGTAATATTTCGAAAAAATAAAGGTATCAACTTTAATGCAAGATATGATGAGTTGAACATCGAATAATTGGTTTTTTGTAATATTAATATTCTTTAGTCCCTAGTATATCATTGTTTCATACTAATAACGTGGATCAATTCCGTTTCAATGATCAGATAAAGCAGAAACAATATACTCAGGTACCACTTTTTTGGTCTAAAAAATGAGTTCCCCCCTTTTACTAGATGCATATGTTCTAAATCTTTACTTAAATCACATAAATAATCTGCATTTTATAATTTCACGATTTTAATTCGAGTCGATACGAAAAGCAGACTTTTTTTTCGTACCCCCTCTCAATTTTTTTTCCAGTTTTCGTACTTTTTTACAGAGCATAGTATTTGATGTCCAATGTTTGCCTATGATCAGAACTTGTCTTTCTCCTGTTCATATTTCAATCTCTGGTCTAGACATATATCACATCAATATCATATTTGATTATTTACAATTGTTTAAAAGATTTTACTAGCACAAGCATAATGTTTTGTGCAAAACTCAATTTCAATGTGTTACTCTAGAAAACTTGGCTTCTTTTTTAAAATAGAGTTTTGAAGATAAACATATATGATAATGATATGTACTTGTTATTGTAAATACATTTATTGTTATAAATTTACTCAATTATCATTGATGATGAAATAAATATTTTATTATATTAAAAAGAGTGTTTATTCATTATAAAAGAGTTCCGTTAAGCAAATATTTTATTTGTAACGGGTAAGCCCTAAATTTGCATGTTTGAATTATTGAGATCAAATATTCGCATGCAATCAATAAATTTGCTGCAAAATTATAATCTCAAGCATGTACTATTTTGAAACAATAAAGCATCAGAGAGCCTTTTCACTATGATCTTTCAGAAAATGAAAGAACATAGAAAAACTGCCCTTTATAGAGATGCCCTGACCTCAACAAGGGTCAGATCCTGTATCTGTATGTCTTTCAGGGCCGAGATAAGAGGATATCGTCAATGATGTGGGCGATATCCCTTAAACTCGGCCCTGAGGATTAGTATTGCAGGCTCTGACACATGTTGAAGTCAGAAATTCGGGTTTGCTGTTTCCCAGGGTCGGATTCCTCTCCTGTCGCGCTAGATCAGGACGGCATTTGGGAAATCCGGCCCTGAGGACTGTAAGCGAGGCCCTGAACCTTTGCTGAGGCCAGAGCTTAGTATTTGTTGCTTCTCAGAGCCGAGTTCCGCTGAGAAGTGTCCGTAATTTGGACAATCTCAGGGAACTCGGCTCTGAGGACTGTAAGCGAAGCCCTGGTCTCTGCTGAGGCCAGGGCCTGTATTTTGAAGTCCTTCAAGACCGATATGAGAGGAGATCGCCAATAATGTGGACGATCTCCCTCAAAATCGACCCTGAGGATTGATCTTGCAGGCTCTGGCCTTTACTGTGGCCAGAGCTTCGTTTGGTAAGTATCCCAGGGCCAGATTCCTCGCCTGCCGCCCGGGGTCAGAGCGGCATTTGGGAAAGCCGGCACTGGGGACTGTAAGCGAAGCTCTGGCCTTTTCTGAGGCCAGAATCTGTGTATTTCTTTCTTTCAGGGCCGAATTTGAGGGAGATCGTCAACATCATTGACGCTCTCCCTCAAATTCGGCCCTGAGGATTGTATTTGCAGGATCTGGCCACTGCTAAGGCCAGAGCTTCGTATGGGCGCTCTCTTGGGACTGGATTTCTCTCCAGCCGCCCCGAATGAGGGCGGTCCTTGAGGGAACCAGCCCCAAGGATTGTTTGCGAAGCTCTGGCATTTCCTGAGACCAGAGCTTGTGAATTTCATTCAGAGCCAAGTTCCTCTCGGATCGAACCTAATGAGGACGACCGTCGAGGAACTTGGCTCTGAGGAGATCAATTGTGAGCTCTGGCCTCGATGAAGGCCAGAGTTTTCAAGGGAATGTTTTGATGGGATGAGTCTATTATCAGTAAGCTCGTCCCATCAAAACATTCATTTAAAAATTGAATGAATAATTATCGCATGTATTCAAAAATTAAAAATATAAAGATGAATAAAATTATAATGCATATGAAAGAGAATTAAATTACATTGAAATTGAATAATAAAATTCCAAAAAAATTTGAAAAACTGAAAATAAAACGAAAAAATATAAAATTTTATAAGAAAAAACGATTTGAATTAAAAAACGTTTCTACAAAACATGAATATTTATGATTTAGATTAAATTGTAAATAAAATTTACTAGTTTAAAGAAGAATGAGAAAATTAAATTATATTGTAAAGAAGATACTTTAGAAAGGAGTTTACGATTGCAATATTATATTGTATAACATTGTACTCGTAACCTCCTTTCTATAATCTAATTTCTAATGCAACATTGAGATATGAAAAAAATTAGCTTTCTTCGAAAGGGGTTTATAATTGCAATATAAGATGACAGTATATTGCAAATGTAAACTCCTTTCTGGAATCAAATGTCTAATGTCACATTGCGGAACAAAAGTGAGAGTTTCTCCCGATTTGAGTACGTACTTGCAGGATACCATTGCAAGACCCTGCAAATATGTACTCAGATCGGAAACTTTGTTCCCAATGTCACATTGCGGAACAAAAGTGAGAGATTCTCCCGATTTGAGTACGTATTTGCAGGAATATAGAGATATAGTATGTAATAAATGCTTTTATTAACTTATTTACACACATATAATTATATTCAAACTTCAATCTTGATTATATTTCATATTTCTGAGCAAACATAGAGCTTCCACTCATAATTATAAAGACTACCAATTGTAACCATATAAAAACACAATTTTTAAAAGTTATTATTATTCAACTTCCTGTGATACGGTATTTTGATTAGATTCCGTAAATTTTTGTAAAATAAGTATAGCTCTATCATGAGCAATCTTACAATAGTAAATATATTGCTTCCATGCTAAATTCAATTGCGATTATTTTGATATTAAACTTAGAATCCTCTCAAATTCAAGGAGATAATCACAATACAGCTATATTTTAATGTTGCAGTATAGTGAAAGCTCTATGATTATTATAAACTAATAATACCATATGAGTACGAAAACTGGAAAAAAAATTGAGAGGGTGTACGAAAAAAAAAGTCTGCTTTTCATATGGTTTCTTTTAATTCTCTTTAAATTTGCTTTCAGGTTGAACTTTCAGGATATATGATTAAATATAATTATCAGATAATATATAATCATATTATGCCCACTAAAGTATTGCCATGGGCAATAAAAATTTGTGCAATTGTGGGTGATATGAACTTGATATACCAGATTTCGCGGAAAATTTTCCAAAAGTATTGCCAAAAGTTTGGCCAAACCGACCTGCTTAAATTTTCGTATTTAACTACATAATTATAAAGTTATATGAAATATGAAATTACAATTCAGAGAATTTGTAAATCCGAAACTGTCAAAAATGTTTTTTCTTCTTCCTTTTCGAATTTTATCTGCAACATGGGAGGAAATATCTGATGAGACAGGATTTATAATTGATCATGAGAAGACACAAAGATTCGTTGTTCCGGAAATAAAAAAAAATAAATAAAAACAGGAATAGAACCGAAATTAATATGTATTGCGGAGTGGCATGTTTTTTCATTGTTATCTTCACCATATGATTTAAGAGGTTTGGCAGTTTCTTTACAATTTTTATCTGCTGTATTATGAAGAACAGTTACCTCATATTCATCCTTTTCATTGATAATTGTACTATGTGAATAAAGAAACTCAGTTGTTTCTTTACTATCTTCCTCTAATGCAATACAAAGAGCAGTTTTCCCATATTTATCTTTTTCATTGATATTTGCACCATGTGAAAGAAGAAGTTCGGCTGTTTCTTTACAATTATTTTCTGCCGCATAATGAAGAGCAGTTTTTCCAAATTTATCTTTTTCATCGACATTTGCACCATGCGAAATAAGAAATTCTGCATTTTCTTTTCTATTCCTTTCTGCTGAATAATGAAGAGCAGTGTTTCCAAATTTATCTTTTTCATCGACATTTGCACCATGGGAAATAAGAAATTCTGCAATTTCCTTGCTATTATATTTTGCTGCATAGTGAAGAGTGGTTTCTCTATGTTTATTATCTTTTTCATTGATATTTGCACCATTTGAAATAAAAAGTTCGACTATTTCTTTATTATTTTTTTCTACTGCAAAATGAAGAGCAGTTTTCCCATATTGATTATCTTTTTCGTTGATATTTGCACCATGCGAAATAAGAAATTCTGCAGTTTCTTTTCTATTCCTTTCTGCTGAATAATGAAGAGCAGTTTCTCCGTATTCATCTTTTTCATTGATATTTGCACCATGTGAAATTAAAAGTTCAATCATTTCTTTATTATTGTAATCTGCCGCATCATGAAGAGCAGTGTTTCCAAATTTATCTTTTTCGTCGACATTTGCACCATGGGAAATAAGAACTTCGGCTGATTCTTTACAATTTTCTTTTGCTGCAAAATGAAGAGCAGTTTTTCCGAAAATATTTTTTTTCTTTGATATTTGCACCATGAGAAAGGAAATATTTGCAAAGGGATGGAATATTAAAACGTGATGAATGAAGAAAGCATTCGTTATCGTTATTAGTTTGATCGAAATAAACTAAAAATGATTCAAGATTTCTAAAACCTCCGCAATAAAATAATTCGATCTCTATATTGTACTCATTCATCAAGAATGTAACAAAGTCAATGTTGTGTGATATAATTGCATATTCCATGCAATATTTATTTGGTTTTTGATGTTTCAAACATTCACTCATGATCTCTGCATTTCCTCCTAAAAATGAAAATCCTAAACATGTTTGAGTTATTTCTGATTGAAATTTCGTTCTTAAAAACTTGAAACAATCAACTGCTCCATGGTAACAGCATAATTCAAGTAATGAATATCCTTCTTTATCAGTGGATGGATAAAAAGTGCTTTTAAGTTTTTGATCTTCATTAAATTCTTCTCTTTCAATGAAGAAAGCGAATTTTTCTAAGTCATTATACATAATTGCTCTGTAAATTGTATTTTCTGTATGAATTGCAAGATTTTCGGTTTTAATTTTTTCGAAATCATCATATTTATCTAATTTAATTCCATATTCTTTATAAAACAAGTAGTTTGAAATGAGATCAACTCTATTGGCTTCTTTGACATGATAATCATCAGATATTAGTTTGGCGAGAGTCAAATATGACTTTGTATAGCGATTATTATACGGAATGATATTTAAAACGTCTCGTATAATTATTTGAGGAGGATGTTTATTTGAATCAATCAATTCTGTTTTGATCGTTTTATATATCTTGTTTAATTCTCCTTCGTTTTCGGTTTTCAGCTGATACAATGCAATATATGAATCAATGTAGTATTTATAGATACTTCGAAGTTCACCATATTTATTTGGATGGATGTCTTGTTCAGACATTAAAAAATTTAAATTAAAAAGAAGTCAAACATTGAAAATTCTTCAAGTATTCCCATCATATGTCTGAAAATGAATATCATTCAATTTCGGACATAAGATAGGAACACATTACCAAATTCATTGCCTCCTTTTCACGTTTTCCAATGAGGGTCCATCAGTACCATAGTGTGTAAAGATAAAGAGTCCCTTAAAATGATAATGAGTTTAATTATTCCTTCGAAATTAAAAAAAAAATCAGTAATTAGGTGCGTATATCATATTTACGTTTAAGTCATGTATTTAACTAAGGATGTCAATTCGGAAAATTGTTTTCATTTTAGGAGAATATAATTTTCCTTTTCGAAAATTTAAAAAGTGAGACGCGCAGGATTCGAACTTTTTTAAAAGTTGATTTAAATATATTCTAGTGTGGATTCTAAGGATAATATCATATTTAAAATAAGAATATACTAGTTTAGGTGGTATAATTTTTTTCGATAAATTTGAGAGCATGTACGTTTAGGGCATCAAAAGTGTCAATTCGCTTAGCGAAAGCTGAGCTAGCTTCGTTCTCGAAAGAATAGGGAAGGAGTGAAAGAGAGTGATACAGATGTTGACACATTCATATCATTTCAACAAATTTTGATCAAATTGAAATTCAATGAAATTCAATTCACTTCATATCCTTCAGTCAGTACATTGACATCCTTCTACATCACAATGATAACTCGTGCATCAATAGTTCTACAACTAACTCAGAAAAAACAAGATTTTTCCTTCCAGCTTACAGCTTTTAAAAAGTTTCGATGATAAAAATCACTCTACTCTTGTTTATCGATATGTTGTGATAGTAGGTAAACGTATTCTTATCGATATTAATAAAAACATTTTTACGAAAATCTGAACCAATTACAGAGTTATTCATAAAGTTTATGATAACTGTAATTACTTCATCTTTGTTTTATATTTGAATAAACAATTTAATTTAATTTGCATAATTTTTTTTAGTTGAAAGACAGGAAACTTAGTTGAGTTTGTATTATTTTTATCGTTCAATTCATTGTATATGTGAGTGATCCAGATATTTAAGATATTTAGAAAAAATTTATTAATTTGATTAACAAATTTTAATCAAAATAGCAAAAATCTATTTGATAGCTGTAAGCAAATAATAATTTCTATTTCAACCAAAATCACTTATTTTCATATAAACGTATAAAATTGTCAATTTTATGAGAATAAATTTAAAATCTCATGAAATATAAAGGAGAGTAATATTTTTCAATTTTCTTTTTTCTTTCTCTCAAATATTTTCTATTGGGAATTTTCTTGTTATCAAAAAAAAAAGGTACATTCACTAGGCGATAACAGTAAAATGGGATGAAAATAGGATAAATAGCATCCCTATATAGTGCCTAACAATATTTATACGGGCCAAAACAAATTTGGCTAGAGATTTGGCGAGTTATAAAACTTAGAAAATTGAGAGGGATTTTTATTTTTGAATTTTTTTTGGAAAGTTAAAATTGCGATTAAAAATCGATTTCCAGGAGAACTAAGCATCTCATCATATATTTAAATCGATAAAAATATTAAATAATAGTTGAATAGTATAAGAACATGAAATTATGGCTGAATCTACAGAAAAAATGAACATATTTGACATTTTTGAAAATTCATACGTTAGATGGTGACAGACTCATAAACTATACTTTAGCTAAGATTGATATATGGTTTCAACAACACATGGTTAAAATCGTAAAAATATTTTAGATTTCAAAAAGATATATATATGGTAATATAATGGAACAAAGTCAACAAATAGCATGTTAAATATGTTATAATTAACTTTTTATTAGATCCGATAGTAGATATCGAATGGTTTCCAGCTTTATGGTTAAACATTTTCTTTTCGAGCTTCTCTTTAACTGTTATATTAAGGTTGTAAATTTTTGATGCTAGAAACTATGGAATCTTCTTTGCTGCTGCATTTTTCTTGAGAGTTCTTGCAATTTCGAATAGATCTGCGCATTGTATGAAATGGAGGCTTTAAAATATCTTGAAAACAGAATAGGACTGCTTTTCCAAAGGAATGCTTACTTGTAAATCAGAGAGTTTCAAAATTGAGAGCAAGATTATCATCATAACTTTCGATTTTCCTGCGAAAAAGGAAGACAAGTAATTAACAAATCATTTACTGTTGTTCATCAAAAGAAGAAAACTTTGATAACAACTAATGATGATAAAATCAAGCTATCTTTTAATATTTTAAATTGATAAGACATTCAAAATATTTGAATGGTTTAAAATATTTTCTTTTAATTTCTATAAGATATTATCATGATTATATAATAAAATTTAAATTTTTATTCAAAAAGGCAATATTCCAAACTTTTAATTTCAAAAATCTTAATTCTGCAATAAGTGTATTTAATTGTAGCAAATTTAATGATCCTTCGTCATGCTTAGCAATTTGGAACTCATAAATTAATGATTTCTTCAAGTAAAATTCTGCATTATTTCAAAAGTCAATAATTCTTTAGTAACTTTTCTTCAAACCCTAACCATTATATTATATGTATAATGGAGAATAATTGCAAAGAAAGATAGCCGAATTTACTGGGTAGTTCTTGTGATGCGAAATAATTGCAAATTAACACATAGTTTTAACAGCATCAATCTCTTTTTGCTCTCATTTAAATGCATTCGCACACTTTAATTTTGAAATATAAGAGTTTTGGAAATTATCAAATTTATCTGCTCAAATACTATAGAGCTTCATAAGTGTTAATAGAATCATTAGCCTTACATATAGTGTTTAATATAATGATGCATATTATACTGGGATTCATTCCTTATTCATCTAGTTATTATAAGATTTACAACCCCATGAAAATTTAAAATTTTGTCAAAAATAGTGAATGTACCTTTTCAAAAAATAATTTTAATATTTGTTTATTTCATTACATACAATAAAATTTTAAAAACTCTATTTCTTCACAAGAAAATTTTTTTCCTTCATATGAAGAAACATTTTGTTCTCCATTTGATGCTGAGTCTAAATCTCGATTTTTGAATTTTCTTCTTTCCAAATTTCTTTTTTCCAAATTAGAAGTTTAATTCAAATTTTCAATAGTTTATATATTTTCTCAAACCGTCTTAGATTTTCTCACTTTTTAGGGATTTTCTCTCAAAATATACAAAAATAGTAATACCAATACATGTGTCTAATATACTTTAAAACCATCGTGATAAAATTCAAAAACGAAGAGTTCTTCTCTCCAAATTTTTTTCAAAATCAAAAAAATGAGATAAAAAAATTCGTTTGGAAAATTCATTTTTAGCATTTTAGGAATTTTCTCACTTTTCTTCCAAATTGACATCCTTAATTTAACTACTTAATATTAAAGTTATGAAATATGAAATTACAATTCAGAGAATTTGTAAATCGAAAACTGTCAAAAATGTTTTTTGTTCTTCCTTTTCGAATTTTATCTGCTACATGGGAGGAAATATCTGAAGAGACTGGATTTATAATAGATCATGAGAAGACTCAAAGATTCGTTGTTCCGGAAATCAAAAAAACAACAGGAATAGAACCGAAATTATATTCCAAGATCCAAAATCAGAAGCACATATCAGATGATGCCCCATTTGTTGGAATTATCGATTGTATCTTCCAGGACATCTCAGATGAAAATAATCCAGTAATTAAATTATCAAGTTCGTCCACAATCATCAAATCGACCAAAGTTACAGGTATATCGAAATCACCAGTTATTTCATTGACAAACTGCATGAATTCCAAGATTGAATCAAGCAATTTCACTGATATTACTCAATCTTCTGTAATCTCATTTTCATTCTGCCATAACATCGTAATTAAAACATGCCAGTTCGATTCAATTATTTCTACAGATCAAACTTTCGAAAGTATAATTAAAATGGACACATGCACGTTTATTTTGATTAATGAGTCATCAGTTGCTAACTGTGACATTTACTCATCCCCAATTCTCGCTTCCAAATGCAATAGTGTCACTTTTAACCGACTTAATTTACATAATTGCAAATTTACATTACCAGGATTCATTTGCTTAAGTTCCTGTGATAATGCCGTAGTCCAGAATACCAGATTTGTCGAGAACGAGTGCCATTCCCATAGCTGTGGCATATTATGTATGGAAACTACGATTTCCCTTGCTCACTGTTCATTTATCCGCAATAAAGTGGTCACAGATGATTTCAATGTACCCGAAATCCTCAATAGTCTCTACTTTTCAAGTGCTGGAGTTGGAATTACTTTTGTTATCACTTCCAGCTTCGCTAATCCACTTAAAATACCCATAAGTATGAAGAACATCCAATTTTTGGATAACTCAGGCCAAGAGAAACAAAAAACAAAAACGTACAACGCTATAGATTTTTGTTCTTTGACAAACCGCATTTCCTTTGAAGGAACAATCTATTTCAACCTCTACAACGAAAACCAATTCCAAACATTTGGTAAAATCGATACCTCATTGTTCAATTTCGGAATTTCAGAAGATATTTATTCGAAAATTGAAGAGGAACCACTCTCATTCGAAGTAAATAACAATGTACAGCCATTCATGCCCTCTTTCGTCAACTTCAAAGATACCAGAGGCTCATATGATAAGTCATTTTACGTAAATACCACTCTTTCTTACATTTGCATCGACCGCTGCATATTCAAAGATTGTGTCTTCCTTAATGACAACAGCTACGACACATCCGTTGTTCACATTGACCTTCGTGGTTCAGGAGCCATCGCGATTTCGAATACACAGTTCAAAGACAACCTTGTCTATGCATCCACCGTAGAGATTATCAATTCCTATGCACTTTCACTCTCTGATGTAGAGTTCAACCATAACACAGGTCTCTATTCCGGAGCACTTTTCGCTCATTCCATTAAAAAAGTACGATTAAGTGATGTCACGTTTTTGCGAAATATGGCATTTACACAGGGAACTTGTTCATTCTATCAGTGCGACGACGTATCGATTGTTGGATCCATTTTCAGAAGAAATCAAGGATTCCTTACTGGATCTGGCATTGTCAGCTCGAATTCGAAGATCCAAGTAAGAGATACTGAATTCCTCCGAAATATCATCGATTTCGAAGCATCGCAGTTATCAACATTGTATACTAAGTTCCAATCATCAATGCTTTTGAGCGTTTCCCATTATTTATACTCTGACGTCATCACTCACAAAGAAACAGGAATTGCAATATCATTATACGATTCCTCATCGATATCACTTACAAATGGCGTGTTCAGTGATAACAATATCGACTCAGATAACGAAACCGACTCTACAAACACAATTGTTGTAGCGGCCTACGATATTTACGCTGATACTAGCTCAACAGTTAACAGCGGTAATTCCTGTACCGATAGCAATATCAAATCTACTTCATCTAACGTCAAATTAATATTTGACCCAGATACCTGCGAATTGAACACTACTTATGATTACGATGAAGTCTTTGTTCCTAAGGAAGTCGAAACCATCGTTTATGATATCGAAGGAGTCCCAGAATCCGAATATCGAATTACGAAGAGAACTGTGATGATGCCATTATACAATCCAGATGACAGATCATTGATCACATCTGTTATTGTCGATAAAAGACCAAACGAAACTGATACAAGTCAAAATCCGACTCAAACAGTTGAACCAGAGAAGAAAATCTACGAAGATAAGATACCGAAAACAACAATTATAATTGTTTCGTGTATCTGTGTTTGTATTTTGGTTGTTTCTATTCCAATTCTTTACATTTTCAGGAGAAAACCAGAACAAAACGAAGCTGAAGGTGACGAAAAGATTGAAGACGGACTTCTCGACCAGGATGCAATAGAAACTAGAGATATCTAACAAAATTTAGACAATTTATCTTATAAGTTGTAAATTATAAAAATAAATCATATAAGATTGTTCAAAAACATTTATCTTTTTTATATAAAGGAAAAAATGTATTCTTTGTGAATCAATTATTGGAATTATGAAATTGATTATGAATAGAATATGTTTCATACTTCGCAAAATCAAATGGATTCATATGTATGATTTATCAAATCCGAAACTTCTTTTTCATTAGTTTAGGTATCAGAGAAGAGAGTTATGAATTAATTTATTATCATATAATTTTAAGAATTTGTAAAGTCCCAGTAGTATATTGGTTAGAATAGATCCTTGACACGGATCAGAGGCCAGTTCGATTCTGGCCTGGGACATTTTTTTCATTTTTAATTGTCACGTTTTCGTTGAACAAATTTTTCAAAAATTTATCGGTTCTTCGCTAATTTACCTTTTCTCCAAAATAGTCTCAATTAATATATTTACAGCATATCGTTTCTTTTACGATAGGGCTTAAAATCTTTTTTTTATGAAACCTTTGAAATGCATTCGATTTTTAACGATACGATTCAATTAAGAAGAATAATGCCGTTTCACGATATTTAGATAATTCATCCTATGCACGTTTGAAATTGATTGGAGGTCAAGTGATGGGTAACAATTTTGATTGTAAAAACTGATAAAAACAAATATGTGATATTTTATATGTTTGCATATCACTGAGTATAATTATTCATTGTTGTTGAAAATGTCAATTTTATAAAACCCGTGAATTTATCCAATTAAAAATAATAAGTCGAAAGTAAATGATATGATATATATACATAGAAATGAAATCTCGGACGAAAGTAAGTCTGACTTGAAATGTAAGTCTCGGACGAAAGTAAGTCTGACTTGAAATGGTAAGTCTGACTTGAAATGTAAGTTCGGACGAAAGTAAGTCTGACTTAAATGTAAGTCTCGGACGAAAGTAAGTCTGACTTGAAATGTTGAAGTCTCGGACGAAAGTAAGTTGACTTGAAATGTAAGTCTCGGACGAAAGTAAGTCTGACTTGAAATGTAAAGTCTCGACGAAAGTAAGTCTGACTTGAAATGTAAGTCTCGGACGAAAGTAAGTCTGACTTGAAATGTAAGTTCGACGAAAGTAAGTCTGACGATAATGACTTGAAATGTAAGTTCGGACGAAAGTAAGTCTGACTTGAAATGTAAGTCTCGGACGAAAGTAAGTCTGACTTGAAATGTAAGTCTCGAGAAGTAAGTCTGACTTGAAATGTAAGTCTCGGACGAAAGTAAGTCTGACTTGAAATGGAAGTCTCGGACGAAAGTAAGTCTGACTTGAAATGTAAGTCTCGACGAAAGTAAGTCTGACTTGAAATGGAAGTCTGACTTAAATGTAAGTCTCGGACAAAGTAAGTCTGACTTGAAATGTAAGTCTCGGACGAAAGTAAGTCTGACTTGAAATGTAAGTTCGGACGAAAAGTAAGTCTGACTTGAAATGGAAGTCTGACTTGAAATGTAAGTCTCGGACGAAAAGTAAGTCTGACTTGAAATGTAAGTCTCGGACGAAATAAGTCTGACTTGAAATGTAAGTCTCGGACGAAAGTAAGTCTGACTTGAAATGTAAGTCTCGGACGAAAGTAAGTCTGACTTGAAATGTAAGTCTCGGACGAAAGTAAGTCTGACTTGAAATGGAAGTCTGACTTGAAATGGAAGTCTGACTTGAAATGTAAGTCTCGGACGAAAGTAAGTCTGACTTGAAATGTAAGTCTCGGACGAAAGTAAGTCTGACTTGAATGTAAGTCTCGGACGAAAGTAAGTCTGACTTGAAATGTAAGTCTCGGACGAAAAGTAAAGGTCTGACTTGAAATGTAAGTCTCGGACGAAAGTAAGTCTGACTTGAAATGGAAGTCTGACTTGAATGTAAGTTTCGGACGAAAGTAAGTCTGACTTGAAATGTAAGTCTCGGACGAAAGTAAGTCTGACTTGAAATGTTAAGTCTCGGACGAAAGTAAGATCTGACTTGAAAATGTAAGTTTCGGACGAAAGTAAGTCTGACTTGAAATGTAAGTCTCGGACGAAAGTAAGTCTGACTTGAAATGTAAGTCTCGACGAAAGTAAGTCTGACTTGCAAATGGAAGTCTGACTGAAATGTAATGTTCGGACGAAAGTAAGTCTGACTTGAAATGTAAGTCTCGGACGAAAAGTAAGTCTGACTTGAAATGTAAGTTTCGGACGAAAGTAAGTCTGACTTGAAATGTAAGTCTCGGACGAAAGTAAGTCTGACTTGAAATGGAAGTTTGACTTGAAATGTAAGTCTCGACGAAAGTAAGTCTGACTTGAAATGTAAGTCTCGGACGAATAGTAAGTCTGACTTGAAATGTAAGTCTCGAGACGAAAAGTAAGTCTGACTTGAAATGTAAGTCTCGGACGAAAGTAAGTCTGACTTGAAATGTAAGTCTCGACGAAAGTAAGTCTGATGAATTAAGTCTGACGAAAGAAGGTAAGTCTTGACTTGAAATGTAAGTCTCGGACGAAAGTAAGTCTGACTTGAAATGGAAGTCTTGACTTGAAATGTAAGTTCGGACGAAAGTAAGTCTGACTTGAAATGTAAGTCTCGGACGAAAGTAAGTGACTGAAATGTAAGTCTGACTTGAAATGTAAGTCTCGGACGAAAGTAAGTCTGACTTGAAATGTAAGTCTCGGACGAAAGTAAGTCTGACTTGAAATGTAAGTCTCGGACGAAAGTAAGTCTGACTTGAAATGTAAGTCTCGGACGAAAGTAAGTCTGACTTGAAATGTAAGTCTCGGACGAAAGTAAGTCTGACTTGAAATGTAAAGTCTCGGACGAAAGTGAAGTCTGACTTGAAATGTAAGTCTCGGACGAAAGTAAGTCTGACTTGAAATGGAAGTCTGACTTGAAATGTAAGTCTCGGACGAAAGTAAGTCTGACTTGAAATGTAAGTCTCGACGAAATAAGTCTGACTTGAAATGTAAGTCTGCTTTGAAATGTAAGTCTCGGACGAAAGTAAGTCTGACTGAAATGTAAGTCTCGGACGAAAGTAAGTCTGACTTGAATGGAAGTGCTGACGTTGAAATGTAAGTCTCGGACGAAAAGTAGTCTGACTTGAAATGTAAGTCGACGAAAGTAAGTCTGACTTGAAATGTAATGTTCTGGACGAAAGTAAGTCTGACTTGAAATGTAAGTCTCGGACGAAAGTAAGTCTGACTTGAAATGAAGTCTGACTTGAAATGTAAGTCTCGGACGAAAGTAAGTCTGACTTGAAATGTAAGTTTCGGACGAAAGTTAAGTCTGACTTGAAATGTAAGTCTCGGACGAAAGTAGTCTGACTTGAAATGTAAGTCTCGACGAAAGTAAGTCTGACTTGAAATGTAAGTCTCGGACGAAAGTAAGTCTGACTTGAAATGTAAGTCTCGGACAAAGTAAGTCTGACTTGAAATGAAGTCTCGGCGAAAGAAGTCTGACTTGAAATGTAAGTTTCGACGAAAGTAAGTCTGACTTGAAATGTAAGTTCGGACGAAATAAGTCTGACTTGAAATGTAAGTCTCGGACGAAAGTAAGTCTGACTTGAAATGTAAGTCTCGACGAAAGTAAGTCTGACTTGAAATGTAAGTCTCGGACGAAAGTAAGTCTGACTTGAAATGTAGTCTCGGACGAAAGTAAGTCTGACTTGAAATGTAAGTCTCGGACGAAAGTAAGTCTGACTTGAAATGTAAGTCTCGACGAAAGTAAGTCTGACTTGAAATGGAAGTCTCGGACGAAAGTAAGTCTGACTTGAAATGTAAGTCTCGGACGAAAGTAAGTCTGACTTGAAATGGAAGCTGACTTGAAATGTAAGTCTCGGACGAAAGTAAGTCTGACTTGAAATGTAAGTCTCGGACGAAAGTAAGTCTGACTTGAAATGTAAGTCTCGGACGAAAGTAAGTCTGACTTGAAATGTAAGTTCTCGGACGAAAGTAAGTCTGACTTGAAATTAAGTCTTCGGACGAAAGTAAGTCTGACTTGAAATGTAAGTCTCCGACGAAAGTAAGTCTGACTTGAAATGAAGTCTCGGACGAAAGTAAGTCTGACTTGAAATGTAAGTCTCGGACGAAATAAGTCGATTGAATGAAGTCTGACTTAAATGTAAGTCTCGGACGAAAGTAAGTCTGACTTGAAATGTAAGTCTCGGAGAAAGTAAGTCTGACTTGAAATGTAAGTCTCGGACGAAAGTAAGTCTGACTTGAAATAAGTCTCGGACGAAAGTAAGTCTGACTTGAAAGGAAGTCTCGGACGAAAGTAAGTCTGACTTGAAATGTAAGTCTCGGACGAAAGTAAGTCTGACTTGAAATGGAAAGTCTGACTTGAATGTAAGTCCGGACGAAAGTAAGTCTGACTTGAAATGTAAGGTCTCGGACGAAAGTAAGTCTGACTTGAAATGTAAGTTTCGGACGAAAGTAAGTCTGACTTGAAATGTAAGTCTCGGACGAAGTAAGTCTGACTTGAAATGAAAGTCTGACTTGAAATGTAAGTCTCGGACGAAAGTAAGTCTGACTTGAAATGTAAGTCTCGGAACGAAAGTAAGTCTGACTTAAAGTAAGTTTGGACGAAAGTAAGTCTGACTTAAATGTAAGTTCTCGGACGAAAGTAAGTCTGACTTGAAATGTAAGTCTCGACGAAAGTAAGTCTGACTGAAATGGGAAGTCTGACTTGAAATTGGAAGTCTGACTTGAAATGTAAGTCTCGGACGAAAGTAAGTCTGACTTGAAATGTAAGTCTCGGACGAAAGTAAGTCTGACTTGAAATGTAAGTCTCGGACGAAAGTAAGTCTGACTTGAAATGTAAGTCTCGGACGAAAGTAAGTCTGACTTGAAATGTAAGTTTCGGACGAAAGTAAGTCTGACTTGAAATGTAAGTCTCGGACGAAAGTAAGTGACTTGAATGAAGTCTGACTTGAAATGTAAGTCTCGGACGAAAGTAAGTCTGACTTGAAATGTAAGTCTCGGACGAAAGTAAGTCTGACTTGAAATGTAAGTTTCGGACGAAAGTAAGTCTGACTTGAAATGTAAGTCTCGGACGAAAGTAAGTCTGACTTGAAATGTAAGTCTCGGACGAAAGTAAGTCTGACTTGAAATGGAAGTCTGACTTGAAATGTAACTCGACGAAAGTAAGTCTGACTTGAAATGTAAGTCTCGACGAAAGTAAGTCTGACTTGGAAATGTAAGTCTCGGACGAAAGTAAGTCTGACTTGAAATGGAAGTCTGACTTGAAATGTAAGTCTCGGACGAAAGTAAGTCTGACTTGAAATGTAAGTCTCGGACGAAAGTAAGTCTGACTTGAAATGGAATCTGACTTGAAATGTAAGTCTCGGACGAAAGTAAGTCTGACTTGAAATGTAAGTTTCGGACGAAAGTAAGTCTGACTTGAAATGTAAGTCTCGGACGAAAGTAAGTCTGACTTGAAATGGAAGTCTGACTTGAAATGTAAGTCTCGGACGAAAGTAAGTCTGACTTGAAATGTAAGTCTCGGACGAAAGTAAGTCTGACTTGAAATGTAAGTTTCGGACGAAAGTAAGTCTGACTTGAAATGTAAGTTTCGGACGAAAGTAAGTCTGACTTGAAATGTAAGTCTCGACGAAAGTAAGTCTGACTTGAAATGGAAGTCTGACTTGAAATGTAAGTCTCGGACGAAAAGTAAGTCTGACTTGAAATGTAAGTTTCGGACGAAAGTAAGTCTGACTTGAAATGTAAGTCTCGGGACGAAAGTAAGTCTGACTTGAAATGTAAGTCTCGACGAAAGTAAGTCTGACTTGAAATGGAAGTCTGACTTGAAATGTAATCTCGGACGAAAGTAAGTCTGACTTGAAATGTAAGTCTCGGACGAAAGTAAGTCTGACTTGAAATGGAAGTCTGACTTGAAAGTAAGTCTCGGACGAAGTAAGTCTGACTTGAAATGAAGTTTCGGACGAAAGTAAGTCTGACTTGAAATGTAAGTCTCGGACGAAAGTAAGTCTGACTTGAAATGTAAGTCTCGGACGAAAGTAAGTCTGACTTGAAATGTAAGTCTCGGACGAAAGTAAGTCTGACTTGAAATGGAAGTCTGACTTGAAATGTAAGCTTCGGACGAAAGTAAGCTGAACTGAATAATCTCGGACGAAAGTAAGTCTGACTTGAAATGTAAGTCTCGGACGAAAGTAAGTCTGACTTGAAATGTAAGTCTCGGACGAAAGTAAGTCTGACTTGAAATGTAAGTCTCGGACGAAAGTAAGTCTGACTTGAAATGGAAGTCTGACTTGAAATGTAAGTCCGACGAAAGTAAGTCTGACTTGAAATGTAAGTCTCGGACGAAAGTAAGTCTGACTTGAAATGTAAGTCTCGGACGAAAGTAAGTCTGACTTGAAATGTAAGTCTCGGACGAAAGTAAGTCTGACTTGAAATGTAAGTCTCGGACGAAAGTAAGTCTGACTTGAAATGTAAGTCTCGGACGAAAGTAAGTCTGACTTGAAATGGAAGTTGACTTGAAATGTAAGTCTCGACGAAAGTAAGTCTGACTTGAAATGTAAGTCTCGGACGAAAGTAAGTCTGACTTGAAATGTAAGTTTCCGACGAAAGTAAGTCTACTTGAAAGTAAGTTTCGGACGAAAGTAAGTCTGACTTGAAATGTAAGTCTCGGACGAAGTAAGTCTGACTTGAAATGTAAGTCTCGGACGAAAGTAAGTCTGACTTGAAATGTAAGTCTCGGACGAAAGTAAGTCTGACTTGAAATGTAAGTCTCGGACGAAAGTAAGTCTGACTTGAAATGGAAGTCTGACTTGAAATGTAAGTTTCGGACGAAAGTAAGTCTGACTTGAAATGTAAGTCTCGGACGAAAGTAAGTCTGACTTGAAATGTAAGTCTCGGACGAAAGTAAGTCTGACTTGAAATGTAAGTCTCGGACGAAAGTAAGTCTGACTTGAAATGTAAGTCTCGGACGAAAGTAAGTCTGACTTGAAATGTAAGTCTCGGACGAAAGTAAGTCTGACTTGAAATGTAAGTCTCGGACGAAAGTAAGTCTGACTTGAAATGTAAGTCTCGGACGAAAGTAAGTCTGACTTGAAATGTAAGTCTCGGACGAAAGTAAGTCTGACTTGAAATGGAAGTCTGACTTGAAATGTAAGTCTCGGACGAAAGTAAGTCTGACTTGAAATGGAAGTCTGACTTGAAATGTAAGTCTCGGACGAAAGTAAGTCTGACTTGAAATGTAAGTCTCGGACGAAAGTAAGTCTGACTTGAAATGTAAGTCTCGGACGAAAGTAAGTCTGACTTGAAATGTAAGTCTCGGACGAAAGTAAGTCTGACTTGAAATGGAAGTCTGACTTGAAATGTAAGTCTCGGACGAAAGTAAGTCTGACTTGAAATGTAAGTCTGACTTGAAATGTAAGTTTCGGACGAAAGTAAGTCTGACTTGAAATGTAAGTTTCGGACGAAAGTAAGTCTGACTTGAAATGTAAGTTTCCGACGAAAGTAAGTCTGACTTGAAATGTAAGTCTCGGACGAAAGTAAGTCTGACTTGAAATGTAAGTTTCGGACGAAAGTAAGTCTGACTTGAAATGTAAGTTTCGGACGAAAGTAAGTCTGACTTGAAATGTAAGTCTCGGACGAAAGTAAGTCTGACTTGAAATGTAAGTCTCGGACGAAAGTAAGTCTGACTTGAAATGTAAGTCTCGGACGAAAGTAAGTCTGACTTGAAATGTAAGTCTCGGACGAAAGTAAGTCTGACTTGAAATGTAAGTCTCGGACGAAAGTAAGTCTGACTTGAAATGTAAGTCTCGGACGAAAGTAAGTCTGACTTGAAATGTAAGTTCGGACGAAAGTAAGTCTGACTTGAAATGGAAGTCTGATTCTAAATGTAAGTTCTAGACTAAAGTAAGTCTGATTCTAAATATAAGTCTGATATTAGATAAGTTTGTAACTAAAATTAAGTCTTATTCCAAAAGCAAATTTAATTGTATAATAAGTCTGGATCTAGAGTAAGCCTTAGTCTACAGCTATTCTGTGTCAAAAATAAGTCACGAACCATAGTAAGTTTCGGACTAGAGTATGTCTGTAATTCGAATCATTTATATTCTTCAATTATCCCGCCAAAAAAATTATCGTCTTTTTATCATACCATAGTTTTTATCAATCTCGTTCTACTAAAAAACCTTTATATTGGTGATTTCTTTGTTAAACCCGTATTTTTTCATGTGAATCTTATTGTATAAACTCTAAAAGTTCAATTTCCGTCGAAAAAAACTTGAAAACAATTTGTATTCGACGAGTTAAAGAGCTCTATTTATTCTAAATTTTCCAAAAAAAAATTAGATTTCGTTTTTTCGCTTCAAAAAATGTTGTTTTAAGTTTTAAAATTGTAATTCAAAATTTTTTGGAAAGATTTACGATTTTTTTAATACTGCGAATGAGTTTATTTTACATACTCTATTGATAAATCATATTTTTGTCGAGATATTAACTTTTTTTAAAAAAAATATATGCAAAGAGTGTTATAGAATTCTAGAAGTATAGTGCATAATTTGAAGTATACTATCAAATAAAAAGAAATTTTACATTTTTTAGTTTTATTTAGATGTACGTTATTTTAGATGGCTTCGTCGAAAATAAAGCATGTCTGTTAAGTTTATTCTTAACATGGTAAATAAAATGGCAACGAAGCCCAGTGTACTGCGTCTTATGCCGTAGTTTTGTTATCTTCATACTCAAATACAACAAATACAAATAGATTATTACGAAAAAACGTATAAAACAAATGATATATTTATTTCTAGACAAGTTGACGAACATGTAGCGCAACTGTATCGCTTTAGAGAACAGTTCTTCCAACACCTACTCATTCAGTGAAAGACTGATTCACATTGTTGCTGGTAAGTCTGATTGCTTCAGATAGAGAGCATGAATTGCTTCTTTATCATCTAATCCCCATCCCCCTTGTTCCCGATTGGATGACATGGACAATTCATCTTTCTCAACGAAACAAAATGACACTTTTTGGCGGCTTATTGACTCAGAAAAATTTGAGAGTTAACGAATAATTTTGGCGCCAAAAATAATTTCTCTTAATTTATTAAATTTAATATACGCACATCCATAAGTTATGCTATTTTTCTATTTATTTTGTTCTAAAATTCTAAATATTTTTTTTTCATAACATAAAATATATGTCTAGTCTCATTTACATAACAACATGCCTTAGAATAGGTTTTTTATTCTTTTTGTCACTTTAAATTAAGAATAAAAAGATAATTTAAATTGAATATTTGCGATTATTCTCACTAATGCTGCTTCCTCTTTTATTAGGTAGACAACAAAAAGTTAGCCTTGGACTCCCATATCAGATTTTTGATTTGTTGCGTATATAATGAGCTGGGATTGATAGACGAAAACCCAGTGAGAAAATTTTTGACGCCGAATGAATATCCAAAAATAATTCCGTTATACCTTTCAATTTTTTTCAAAATTTGAACGATCGCACACGCATATGAGAATTGATAGTTTCCTTAATCAGTATAATATTATGATAAAAATTCAAATAAAAATTTCTGAAATTTTCATTTTCTGAGAAGAAAAGTTCCGTTATTTTTATACCTCGAAATCAGAAAATTTCATGGATGATGATAACGATTCATCCATTGAAAATCTTGATAAGCAAATACTTAAACGATATGAAATCATCAAGAAGGTCGGGAAAGGTGCATATGGTATTGTTTGGCGTGCACAAGATCGAGTAACAGGACAATTAGTTGCTTTGAAAAAAGTATTTGGTGCATTTCAAAACGTAATTGATGCACAACGTACGTATCGTGAAATTACACTTTTGAGACAACTGAAATCACATCCTTTCATTGTTGGCCTTTTACAAGTTCACAGAGCAGAAAATGATAATGATATCTATCTTGCTTTCGAGTTTATGGATACAGATGTACATACGGTTATTCATGCAGGCATTTTGCTGGATGTTCATCAAAGATATATATTTTGGCAACTTCTTTGTGCATTAAAATTCATTCATTCAGCTGGTGTTATACATCGAGATCTTAAACCATCCAATATGCTAATAAAATCAGATTCATCAATCAAAGTTTGTGATTTTGGTTTGTCAAGGTGCATAAATGACATGCATCAAGACGAATTATTAACAGATTACATTGCAACTCGCTGGTATAGAGCCCCTGAAATTATTTTCGGATCATCAAAATACGGACCTGGTATTGATATGTGGGCGGCTGGCTGCATCCTTGCAGAACTAGTAAGTGGAAGACCACTATTCCCAGGAGCTTCCACAATGGATCAACTAGAAAGAGTTATTTCATTCACAGGAATGCCAAACAAAGAAGACATTGAATCAATGCAATGTCCGATGGTTGAGACAATGCTTGGAAACTTAACATTCTCCAGACCCCAATTAGTATTAGAAGAAAGACTTTCTGGAGCCGATCCAGATGCAATCGATTTAATTAAGAAACTTTGTCAATTTAATCCGAACAAAAGACCTACTGCTGAGCAATGTCTTGCTCATCCATACTTAAAAGCCTTCCATTTCGAAAGTAGAGAAGTATCTTCAAGCGTTCAAGTCAAAATGGCCCTCAGCGATGCAACAAAACATACGATAAGGGAATATAGAAATCAGATTTATAAGGAGGCTGTTTCAAATCCAGACAGAGGCCTAAAGAAGAAGAAATCAGATTCATAACCCAAATTATCTCAAGTTATAGCAGAAATCTCTTTGTTGCATCTCTATGCTCATAATCTTAATTTCCAAAGAAAAAAAAATAATAATTTTATGGAAAAAAAATTATCTGCTTAGTAAGCGGATTGTTAGTAAGGATATTGCATATTTCCTCATATAAATATCCTTTGTTTGTGCGGATACTTGTTACAAAATTTGATTCTAAATAATTTTACAATTTCAATATTATGTTTGATAAACTATGCTTTGTATTATTATATATGACGTATATTTTTAAAAGCATTCGACTCCAAAACGGGAATAAAATAAAAACTCTAAGAATAAGAAAGTTTTGTACAGACACCGGAGCATAGACCATGACCGCATGGCCTCCTGAAAGATGTCCACGAATGTACTCCGTTTATGACACACGGTGCCACTAACATCACCATGCTTATCAACGGAGAGCAACGAAATATGGTTGTCAAAACCGTTTCTATCTACCAAATTCCAAATCCTCATTTTTTATTTCTGTTTATTATTAAGGGTAATTATGTGCTCACTTAGCATATTCTCAAAATGCTCTATCAACGATATTGATACCCTCCATTTCCAGGAATTACCGCGACGTATGATTGTTGGATCATTTTCAGAAGAAATCAAGGATTCCTTACTGGATCTGGCATTGTCAGCTCGAATTCGAAGATCCAAGTAAGAGATACTGAATTCCTCCGAAATATCATCGATTTCGAAGCATCGCAGTTATCAACATTGTATACTAAGTTCCAATCATCAATGCTTTTGAGCGTTTCCCATTATTTATTCTGACGTCATCACTCACAAAGAAACAGGAATTGCAATATCATTATACGATTCCTCATACGATATCACTTACAAATGGCGTGTTCAGTGATAACAATATCGACTCAGATAACGAAACCGACTCTACAAACACAATTGTTGTAGCGGCCTACGATATTTACGCTGATACTAGCTCAACAGTTAACAGCGGTAATTCCTGTACCGATAGCAATATCAAATCTACTTCATCTAACGTCAATTAAATTTGACCAATACCTGCGAATTGAACACTACTTATGATTACGATGAAGTCTTTGTTCCTAAGGAAGTCGAAACCATCGTTTATGATATCGAAGGAGTCCCAGAATCCGAATATCGAATTACGAAGAGAACTGTGATGATGCCATTATACAATCCAGATGACAGATCATTGATCACATCTGTTATTGTCGATAAAAGACCAAACGAAACTGATACAAGTCAAAATCCGACTCAAACAGTTGAACCAGAGAAGAAAATCTACGAAGATAAGATACCGAAAACACAATTATAATTGTTTCGTGTATCTGTGTTTGTATTTTGGTTGTTTCTTCCAATTCTTTACATTTTCAGGAGAAAACCAGAACAAAACGAAGCTGAAGGTGACGAAAAGATTGAAGACGGACTTCTCGACCAGGATGCAATAGAAAACTAGAGATATCTAACAAAATTTAGACAATTTACTTATAAGTTGTAAATTATAAAAATAAATCATATAAGATTGTTCAAAAACATTTATCTTTTTTATATAAAGGAAAAAATGTATTCTTTGTGAATCAATTATTGGAATTATGAAATTGATTATGAATAGAATATGTTTCATACTTCGCAAAATCAAATGGATTCATATGTATGATTTATCAAATCCGAAACTCTTTTTCATTAGTTTAGGTATCAGAGAAGAGAGTTATGAATTAATTTATTATCATATAATTTTAAGAATTTGTAAAGTCCAGTAGTATATGGTTAGAATAGATCCTTGACACGGATCAGAGGCCAGTTCGATTCTGCGCCTGGGACATTTTTTTCATTTTTAATTGTCACGTTTTCGTTGAACAAATTTTTCAAAAATTTATCGGTTCTTCGCTAATTTACCTTTTCTCCAAAATAGTCTCAATTAATATATTTACAGCATATCGTTTCTTTTACGATAGGGCTTAAAATCTTTTTTTTATGAAACCTTTGAAATGCATTCGATTTTTAACGATACGATTCAATTAAAAGAATAATGCCGTTTCACGATATTTAGATAATTCATCCTATGCACGTTTGAAATTGATTGGAGGTCAAGTGATGGGTAACAATTTTGATTGTAAAAACTGATAAAAACAATATTGTGATATTTATATGTTTGCATATCACTGAGTATAATTATTCATTGTTGTTGAAAATGTCAATTTTATAAAAACCCGTGAATTTATCCAATTAAAAATAATAAGTCGAAAGTAAATGATATGATTATTATCACATA